AGTGGGGAAGCAGTTAGATTTTACCAGCATCTGCTGGGCACCAAGAATCCAGATGTTCAGAGAGTAAGCAGTGAGCTGATCTCCCAACTTTTGGTTCACTTTCTCACCCCTGAGCAAGCCGATCCTCTTTGTTGTCCAGTTACCAGAGAAGAAGTGAAAACAGCTCTCTTTTCTATGAATGGAGATAAATCTCCTGGTCCAGATGGCTTCACAGCTAGATTTTTCCAACATAACTGGGAGATCTTGGGAAAGGATCTCACTGATGCAGTTTTGGATTTTTTCAGAACAGGGAAGCTCCTCTCAGAGGTAAACTCTACTTACCTGGCTCTAATCCCTAAAGTACAAAATGCTGATTGTATGAAGCAATTCAGGCCGATATCATGTTGCAATATACTGTATAAGTGTATTGCTAAGGTTCTTGCAAACAGACTTAGGGAAGTGCTTCCTGTTATCATTAGTCAGAATCAATATGCTTTCATTAAGGGGAGGTTTATTAGTGATAATGTTCTATTGGCCCATGAGATGGTGAGGCTTTATAATAGGAAAACTATATCTCCCAGATGTGCCCTAAAAGTTGATGTGATGAAGGCTTTCGATAGTGTTGATTGGTGGTACTTAAAAACAGTTACGGAAGCTATGAAAATCCCTAATCAATTCATAAAATGGATTGAAGTTTGTCTTCACAGTACAAAGTTGAGTGTTTGTTTTAATGGGGGATTATTTGGTTATTTTTCTGCTCAGAAGGGGCTGAGACAAGGGGATCCCCTCTCCCCTTATCTCTGTACTATTGCTATGGAACTCCTCTCTTGTATGTTCAACAGGGCTTATGCCATTAAATCTCTTCCTCCCCATCCTCAAACCCACAGAATAGGGCTTTCCCATCTGTGCTTCGCTGATGACCTTCTGGTCTTTACAAAGGGGACTCCAGAAGCTGTAGGGAAAGCAAAGTCTATTTTGGATGCATTCTATGTTGTATCTGGGTTGAGATGTAATCCTGCCAAGAGTGAAGTGTTCTGTGGAGGTGTGGAAGCTAGGGTTCAGACTCAAATTTCATCTAGTACGAGATTTGCTATAGGGCATCTTCCTGTGAGATACCTGGGGATCCCTCTCATTGCTGGAAAACTGAATAATGCTGATTGTCATGCTTTGGCTGAAAAGATAACTGCAAGAATCAGGGGCTGGAAGGTGAAAACCTTGTCTTATGCTGGTAAAATGAAGCTCATCTCTGCTGACATTTCCAGCATTACCCAGTATTGGATGGGGATCATTCAACTCCCAGTTAAGGTGATTAAGCTGGTTGAGAAAGCTTGCTCTGACTTCTTATGGAGTGCAGAGGAAGAGGGGAAAAGGGCTAAAGTTCACTGGCAGATGATAGCAAGGCCTAAGAAAGAAGGGGGGTTAAAGATCTTAGGAGCTGGAACATGGCTTGCTTAGTAAGGCATCTCTGGGCCATTTCTTCTAACTCTTCTTCCCATTGGGCGAGCTGGGTAAGGCATTACCAACTCACCTATACTTCCATTTTGGGATATACCTACCTCCATACCCTGTTCATGGGCTTGGAGGAAGGTCCTGAAACTTAGGACCAAAGTGGCTCAGTACCTTATAGTCAGGCCTGCAGGCGTGTATTGGGGTGATTGTGTGATGGACAAGTTCTTAGTCAAAAAAGTCTGGGAGACTCTTCGTGATAAGCATGAGGCAGTGCAGTGGTTTTCTTTGCTTTGGAAGTCTTTTGGGACACCTCGAGATAAGCTACTTTTCTGGTTAATCATCTTGAACAGAATAGCTACTCTAGACAAGGTACAAAGATGGAACAATGCAGTGGTTAACCTCTGCCCATTATGCTCCTCTATGGCAGAGTCCAGGGATCATCTTTTCTTTGAGTGTGCCTACTCTCAGCGTGTGTTGCAGGCTATTTTTGCAGGAAGGAATGTGGTGGGGGCAAATTGGGAGGGATCTTTGGCAACTGCCATATCACTATTCCGGTTAAAATGCACCTCATCTGATCGTGGTAGGCTTCTGTGGGTGATGGTGGTGGCTGAACTTTGGCGGGAACGTTGCAGAAGAGTGATGACTGGTGAGGCTCTGTCAGAAAACCAGCTTTTGAAGAAGCTGCAAGGGTTACTACGACTGCTCAGGAATGGATTCTCTCAAGTGGAACTTGCTGTTTCGGAGGATTATGTTAATAGTATAGTGTAGTATAGTGTAGCCTGGGTTTTACTCTTTGTTTTTAGTTTGTTATGTTAACTTTCTCGTTTGTCATTCTTCTGTAAAATGAGGTACTTGAGTTCCAGTTGGGGGGTTTTTAAAAACTCTCCTTCTTGATGAATAAGATCTGCTTATTCATAAAAAAAAAATATTTATCCCGTCAATGGCTACTAGCAAATTAAAGTTTTCTCGACGTCCTAGAAAGTAAAGAATGAATGGAAGAACACACGGTGTTTTGCCAATATCTTATTACTTTAGTATTCAAAAATTAACCAGTCAAAAAAATATGAGTGAAGTTAATGTGGTTTTTCATTTAAGTGCACAAATTATATTTATTCGACTATTGGTAGATTAATCAGAACAAAAGTATATAGAATGTGGTATCTGGCAGACATGGTCCGAATTCGTGTTGCTACCATCTTCAATAAATTCCCTAAAAAATGTTTTTTGAACTACATTAATATTTAGTTCTCCTTATATTTTTGTCAATTGGCCTATTAGCTCAGTTGGTTAGAGCGTCGTGCTAATAACGCGAAGGTCACAGGTTCGAGACCTGTATGGGCCAAAAAATATATTTTGCTAATAACGCGAAGGTCACAGGTTCGAGACCTGTATGGGCAAAAAAAAAAAAAATTCAATTTTGTATAGGTAATAACGCGAAGGTCACAGGTTCGAGACCTGTATGGGCCAAAAAATATATTTTTCAATTTTGTATAGGTAATAACGCGAAGGTCACAGGTTCAAGACTTGTATGGGCCAAAAAATATATTTTTCAATTTTGTATAGGTATAAAATGTTCGATACTTGTATGGCTGATCTTTCGAAGACGACTCATTTATTGATTTCGTAAATTGAAATTCAATAGAATTTGATGGTTTTAACTTTGTAGTGTTGCTGTGATCTGTATAGCATTTCGCCTTTTCCTGTTTGGTTCTTCATGTGTTATCGGATTGGATATATATGCGGAGGTCCGCAATTAGCCACAAAATTGCAAATTAGGGGGTGTGACAATTGAATCCGAACCTATGGATATCCGACCCAAAGTGGTCAAAGCGGGTAAAATCCAGTGCCGACGGGTTTTATGTTGGTTGCGGGTTTTACCTGCTTTAACATCGTTGTGGTGGGTTTTGCCAAAAGTCCAAACCCCAATCGTGCTTTTCATCTGACCCACACCCGAAAAGCAAAATGATGTCATTTTGTATCTAACATGAACCATATGGACAATTGATGAATGCTATTAGTTTTAGCCTTGGTATAAACATAAATATATATGTAATTTATGGATGTTATTAGTCCTTATATAAATATATTTGTAGCATTATGTTAGTAAACTCATGAATGTCCATGCATTCGCGAAAACCCGTTGGATAAAGTTTGCTCTTCCAAAACTTAATGGATATTTTATCCTACTTTTCAATGAGTACATCCACTAAAATAAATTTTTGTTATAAGAAATCTGACCCAACTCGAACTATTATTATTCCTATAGTCAATACTATTTGCCTTTGCCATTCTCCCCGGCGGCCTCTTTCAAGCTTTTGGCCTTTTGCTTTGTTTTAATTCGTCCAGCTGTATAACACCACTTAGCTAGCAACTTCTTATTCTCCCCCAGCTGGCGGAAGTCATCATTAGTCATCAGCATGGTTGTCATGCTAGTGGCATACCACCCGATTGAACCTGGTTCTATATGTGCCGGTCATGAAACCGGCATGATATTATTGGTGCGATCGATATGATCGACTTACACATTATAAGTAAAATGACATCAATTTAATGAATTTAACTAATAAAAAAATTAATTTATTTTTCATTTTATGAATTTAATAGTTAAAAGTTGATGATATTTGTTGGATTGTAACTAAATTGTCCACAAATATGTTTTATATATGATTAAATACATTGGATATTAATTATTTTCACATTTTATAAAACCGGCATGCACCGACACAAACTGGTTATACCACCGGTCGTACCATTCCACTTACCAAACCGGCACAATAGTATAAACCGGTTCGACAACCTTAATTATCGGTCCATCCCATACATAATCCGATACTCAACCAAGACAAGGATGGTTCCAATAAGGTCAAAGTGGTCACTAATTATACCACTAACTAATAATTTGTACTAATAAAATACGCAATGCGCATACAGCCAAACTATGATTGGCAAATAATAGAACTGCATGGGGTTGACTGATCAATACTGTAAGCTTCGAAGCGTCGAAGTTCGCCTCGTCTTGTCTCTCGAAGCAAAGGCCTTAATCCATGTTTTTTTTTTTTCTTACTGGAAAGTGGAAAGCACGCCGCCTAATCCATTTTATACTGTTCTTTGAGAGTCCCTTAATTATTAGCGGTCTCTTCATATTTTATTTTATAGGTAACAAACAACATCACACTGATCAATTTAAGAAATGGGTTGTATCGTTGCTTGATAAATAATTTCTATTTTGTAACTATTTGTCTTTTTTTTTCATTTCCCTATTTGATGCCCTTGCGTAGTCGATTTCTCATCTCTTTCTACCATACACGTTTTTTTTTTTTTGGCTTCTACAAAGAGATGTGAATAATTCAGTGTTCTAAGAAATAGAGAAGAGAAAAATCAACGGAGTTTTCGAACACTTACCTCTGCTTTTGAACTTGGAAAGTTCGAATAGTTTAAGCAATTAAGTAAATATTCACAAAAAGAAATCATTTAGCAAAGAATAGTTTGATCTAGTGATAATACCACTGGTCTTGAAATTAGAGGTCTCAGATTCGAATCCTTTATATAAAACACAACTAAAAACTATAAACCTGTATCACGGGAGGGGTTACGGTGCTAATTGTACAATAGTTAGCACCGTCCTAACCAAGGGAAACACTACTACTAGTTTGAATTAGTAGTGATTTAGGTTAGATGTTGTATTGATTTTATAATAATCCGTAGTGATTTTTGCTAGTTATCACGGTGCTAACCCCTATAAGGGTTAGCACCTAATCCCATCCCCCTGTATCACCCTTATAAGAAAAACCATTTGAATTTAATATGGAGAAATATGATTTATTTTGAAGTTTCATTTTTCAACCACAAATATTTTTTTATATATATATAATGATATCAAAAGATAGTATATGAGAATATTAATTCATTAACTTGGTTGTTTACATGGATAATAATATATCTGTACCAACTTAATTAAAACTAATAAACTATCTTACCCTATGTAAGATATTAATGTTAAACGCATAATAAAGAGAATTCTTAGGGGTGGGTACCCAAAACCTACTCTTTAGTCTTCTTTTCCAGACCGTTCCACTCAGTGGCGGACCCAGAAATTACATCAAGGGTGTTCAACAGTGAAACAAATTTAATAAATTTAACAAGAATTGTCAAATAATTTTGAATTCAAATACCACCATTAATAAATCAAAATTTTACAAAGAAATTTTGTTCTAAAATTGAACCGACAAACCTACCACCAACCTAGGTGCGCCCCTGGTTCCACTGCCTGCCCAAAACTCCAAGAAAATGCCACTTTGCCATCCTCCACCAGATAGATATTCCCCTCTCCTCATCATCATATCCACTTTTTGCCACCCTTTAGTTTACGCGTAACAATAAATCCCTCTCAAGCAAAACACGAATACTATACTCCAACTATACCAAACGCTCAATAATATTCGTCACTATAAATACCCATCTCCCTCAAATTACTTCTCATTATACCCAATAAGCTCTCTTCCTCTCATACAATGGCGCTCTCCAAGCTTGTAATGGCTTCCCTGCTCCTCTCCCTCTTTGTCCTTCAGCTCGCCCAAGCTGATTACTCCCCTCAATCAATCGGTACGTAATCTCATTAAAAAAAAAAATCCTTTGCAAACAAGAAATGGTCACCGAAAGTAATGGAATGGTTGTTAAAAGTTTCTCTTACAAATTTTCTGTTATCGACAACCAATTTTTCAGATTGCGGGAGTGCTTGCAAAGCTAGGTGCCAGCTATCCAGTAGGCCAAACTTATGCCACAGGGCTTGTGGGACATGTTGCCGGCGATGCAGCTGCGTTCCGCCGGGAACCGCCGGCAACTACGACAAGTGCCAGTGCTATGCCACCTTGACCACCCACGGCGGCCGCCGCAAATGCCCATAAGTCGAGATATCATTGCTTATAATGATAAAGTTTGCTTCAGTCACGTGACTTTCACGAGTCAAAACGGAGCTAGTTTGAACGTACGAGGATGATGATGAATGTTTGTTCTCCATTTGGTAAATAATAAAACGGATGTGGTCAAAGCAATAAAAGGAGCTTGCACCTTGTAGTGGTTGCTATTTGCTGGTATATATCTACGTCAGCAAAGGTTTTATTTTTTTTTTCTTCCTTTTTTTTTTTGTGTGTGGAAATATATGTCACTGTGTCATGTTACAATGGATGTTGAGGGATTAATGATATATATATCATGTTTACTACACTTGTTCTTAGCCAAAAATTAGCTTAGAAAGGTTATGTTTAGCTCTATTTCATCAATTGAAAGAACGCTATTTTACGTTAATTTACAAATTAACCAGTATATATATTTTGATCGTAGAGTCATAAGAGCTTTTATGATAGGAATTCCACGTTGATTTTTATGAATGTTGAGTAAATTCGTGAAAGTGGAAAATATATGCATATGTGCAATTGGCACTGGCAAATTAAAGTTTTCTCAACATAATAGAATGTAAGAATCAAATGGAAGTATACACCATCTTATGCTCGTGCTTATCACTTTAGCCACCCCTGAAAGTTGATCATTGAAAAATTATGAATAATTTACTGGAATCTTTCATTTAACTACACCATTTTTTTATTCGACTATTTGGTAGATTAACCCAAATAGAAGGTTGTAGAAAATGGCCTCTCGCAGACATGAACCAAGTTCATTTTGATTGATATTTTGATTGATACTATGTCTATTGAAACTCCCTAAAAATTATTTAGTGAAATAAATCAATTTAGAGTTCACCTAAGCTCTTTATCAAATGGCCTATTAGCTCAGTTGGTTAGAGCGTCGTGTTAATAACGCGAAGGTCACAGGTTTGAGAACTGTATGGGCCAAATATTATTTTTAATTTCGAGTTCGTCAAGGTATAAAATATATATTTTCCCATTGACAATGTGGAGATGTAGATTAAAGATGTCATGGATCACATTAATTTTTCTAGTGATCTTTTGCAGACATTACCCGAACTACACCATTAATTTCCTAGTGTTTTTTAATAAAATATTATTGTTTCATATTAGTTTTGAAAATTCATATTAATTTACAGAATTCTACATCGCTTTTGCATATTCAATACTGCAGTTCGATATGCAATATTTTAAGCAATGAAATTTGTGTTTCAATTTTAAAATTAACCGTCATTTTATAGGTTATAAAAATTATAAATCATGTATTAAATTTTGATTTTAGAAGATTTAATAGGCTAGCTAACTGTGAAAAGTCCTCTGCTTTTCAAATCTTCGTTTAGTGCATGTTTACAATTTATGAAGATAAAACAAATTTGTTTAGAGTAATTGGTTGTGATTATTGTTTTTGTTTTAAGAGACCATGATTTAAATCTTGATATTGATACTTTTTTATATGAAGTATATAATAATGTGATGACAAAAATACTTTTCCTCCTTTCACTCTCGCTTCACGAAATTTGAAATATAAAATCTTAAAACATTGAATATATCTCATAGAAAGAGCTTCTTCAACCAAGTAGAAAATGTATTTTACCTGAAATTATTATTTCTTATAGTAAGTGATTCATTGTGAAATCGGAACTCAAGTAACATTGATTCAAATATTAAATAATAAAATGTATGTGTCGTTCAATTTAGACAAAATAAATATGTGTAGCCAAAACATGAATCTTTGTGACAAATATAGTAATTTTTTGTCATAAATCTACACATAATATAAAGATAAATTGGGCAGTATGACGAAAAGAGCTTCCTATAATCACTCTCAGGTCACGAAATTTGAAATGAGACTCGCATTTTCCAATTTTATCATTATATTATGTGTAGATTTTTCATAAAAAATGACTATACTCGTCACAAAGATCCATATATATTTTGGTCACGAGATTTGGGGATCAGCTAGGGTTCCCTAAAGTCTGTGTTGAGCTATCAGCCAATTTTGAGTTCCCGCGGCGCATCCGGTTGTACCCTGATAATGATCCGGATTTTGAAGTGGGGGTTGATTATTTGCACCTCCCTAAAATTTGCTCTTCTTGTTGTATGTTTGGGCATAGTTGTCAGCAAGAACCAAAAAACAGTGGAAAGTCAAAGAGGATGGGGTTGGAGTAAGCCAGGCAGAAAAGTGCACTGGTGAGGCGGCTTGGGTTGTTGGGGATGAATCTGATGCAGTTGTGGATCAGGTAATTGTGGATGTGGAAGAGGCTCAGGGTGCTGTTGCTGACCCTCGGGGAAGTGAGGAAGAGGTTCAGGTGGATGAGGATGTCATTGATGACCCACAGGGAAGTGTGGTTGAGGGTGTTGTTGCTGACCATCAGGGAAATGAGGATGAGATTCCCACACTTTCAGTTGAAGCTGTTGGCCAAGATCCTTCCACAATTGGGAGCCCACCACTGAGTTTTTCTCAAATTGAAAGGGGATCACCATCTCTGGGTGGGAGTCCCTCTGAAATTGGGCATTCAACTGAGCTTGGTAAGTCACCAGATTCTGGGAGTTTACAAGCACAGTTGACTCAGGGTGGTAAGGGAAAAGAGAATGTGCAGCCAAAGGTTGATAAAGGGAAGAAAGTGTGGCTAGACTCACCTTTAGTTCCTTATCAGCCACAGAGAGGAAAAGGTGGTAGGGGGAGAGGTAGGAGATGAAGATACTCACTTGGAACACAAGATGATTTAAGGCTGATAGTAATTTTAAAGCTATATTAAAGAAAATAAACAAGTATAGTATAGATATAGTTTCTATTTTAGAAACTAGAATAAGAGTCTCTGAGGTAGATGAATTGATTGAGAAGAGGTTTCCTGACTGGAAATCAAAGACTAAGCACAACTTAGCTGGTTTGGGGAAGATCTGGCTTCTCTGGAGAGAGGAAATTCCACTAATTGTTCTTCACTCTTCATAACAGTTTATCCAATTTATGGTTGGGAGATTACAACCTTTCTTTTGCACTGTGGTCTATGTGTCTAATGAGGAAAGGGACAAGCAGATATTATACAAAGAGCTAGCCAGCATTCGTGTCTCTCACATGCCTTGGATGGTGTTGGGAGACTTTAATGATATTCGTCATCCTACTGAGGCATGAAAAAACCCAAGGGTGGATTCTAGTATGACCATTTTTCAGGATTGGATTGTTGATTTGGAGATGGAGGAACATCAAGCGAATGACCCATGGTTTACTTGGCTGAACAAGCAAGCTAATAATCCAATAGCTAAGAGATTGGATAGAGTACTGGTTAATTTTGCCTAGCTAGATACTGTCAAAGAGAGTAAAGTTCATATTAAAGCCCCTGGTGTGTCTGATAATTGTCCTATTTTGGTTGATACAGAGAGTTCCATGAAATCCCTTCCAAAGCCTTTTAAGTTATTCAAATTTTGGCTTCGTCATCCTTGTTTTGATGAGCTACTGGAAGAGGCTTGGAGGAGTAGAGTGTCTGGTCACCCTCTGATCAGAGTTTGTAAAAAGTTGCAGAATCTAAAAAACTTATTACGGAAGCTTAACAAAGAGGAATACTCTGATATTAGGGAGAGAGTTAAGGAAAAGGAGGTTGCCCTTCATTTGATGCAGCAACAGGCCCTCACTGATCCTACTGAGGGTAATTTTGAGGAAGAGAGGAGATTGATTCATGAGTATAAAGATTTACTGGATGCAGAGGAAAGTTTCTTAAGACAAAAATTCAAGGGAGAGTTGGTTAAAAACAGGAGACATGAATTCAGAGTACTTCTATCGACCAGTCAGGTCAAAGCAAAAGCGGAGCACTATTAGAGTGCTTAAAAATGAGCAGGGTGAGAAGGTGCAAGAGGTGGATGAGATGGCACAGATTATTGTCCGTTTCTATAAGAATCTGCTGGGGGTTGCTGATACTGAAGTTGAGGTTTAGTCTGATGATTTCTATGCGAGGCTATTGAAAAGGAAACTTACCGAGGAGCAAACTATTGGGCTGTGTTATTGTTTCACTGATGAGCATATCAAAGATGTGATATTTGGGATGGATGGTGATAAGAGTCCTAGACCTGATGGGTTTTCTGCTGCATTCTTCCATTATGCATGGCCACTTATTGGCCTTGAGGTAACCTCTGCTATTCGTTATTGCTTTGAATAAGATAGAATCCCTCGACCTATTAATGCTACTATACTTTCTTTGATCCCAAAAGTCCCTAACCCTGATGAAATGAAGAACTTTCGGCCTATTTCCTGTTGCAACATCTTGTATAAGTGCATCTCAAAGTTGAATGCTAATAGGTTGAGTCCATTGCTTCCATCCTTAATTAGTAAAAATCAAATAGCATTTGTGAAAGGGAGACTTATTGGATAAAACATTCTTTTAGCTCATGAGCTAGTTAGTAAATACTCTCAACAGAACATCTCTCCTCGTTGTGCTTTGAAAATTGATCTTATGAAGGCGTTTGATTCAGTAGATTGGAATTTCATTAGTCAAGTTCTGAAGGGTATGAGGCTTCCTGAGAGATTTGTGACCTGGATAAGAATGTGTGTGGAGACCCCTATGTTGAGTGTAAGCTTTAATGGGGGTGGTGGGGGGGGGGGGGGGGGGGGGGGGGGGTTGGTGGGTTATTTTCCATCAAAAAAAGGTTTCAGACAAGGGGATCCCTTTTCCCCCTATTTGTTTTCTATAGCCATGGAGAGTTTTACCTGTTTGATTGACAAATCTGCTTCTGAGGAGTTAGTTCCTTACCACCCAATGTGTAAAAAGGTTCAGTTGACACATCTGTGTTTTGCTGATGGCCTGTTGGTTTTCTCCAATGCTTCAAATTCTGGGATGTTTGAGTTGCAGAGAATTTTGGGCCAATTCAAGAGGCTTTCAGGGCTTAAATCTAACCCTAGTAAATGTGAGATTTTCTTTGGGGGATTAGATAAAGATGAGAGGAAAGTGAGGGCTGGTTGGTTTGGCTACCAACTTGGGGACTTCCTTGTTCGCTATCTAGGAGTCCCACTGATCTCAAGGAAGCTGAGTGTAGCTGCATGCAGACCTCTCATTGACAAACTCCTTGCTCGTGTTAAGAGTTGGCAAGCAAAAACTCTCTCATATGCAGGGAGAATTGAACTGGTGGGAACTGTGTTATATAGTATTACTCAAATTTGGATGTCTGTATTTCTGCTCCCAAAGGCTGTAATCAAGGAAGTTGAGAAGATTTGCAGCAAATTTGTATGGGGAGTTGGCAGTGGTGTGAAGCTCAGGGCAAATGTTGCATGGAAGAAGCTGGCTTACCCTAAGAAAGAGGGAAGTCTTGGTTTCAGAGACATCTATAGTTGGAATCAGGCATGCATGATTCGACACATATGGTTAATATTATTACAGGAAGACTCTCTCTGGGTGGCTTGGATTACTCACTATAAAATGAAAGGAAGGGATTTCTGGTCCTATTCTTGTACATCAGGCTCATGGAACTAGAGGAAACTCTTGAAGATGAGGATCAGGGTGGAAGCACTGATTTCAGTTCATGATGATGTTCTCTTGTTTGACAATACTGTTATGCCTCGGTACTCAATTAGAAAGGTTTGGAAGTTACTTCGTCCTTGTCAGCAACGTGTTCCATGGTGGCAAATCCTGTGGAAGGGTGTGGCCATTCCTAGAAACAGAGTTATTACATGGCTGGTAGTCATGGGGAGCATTAACACAAAAAGGAAGATGTTGAAATGGGGGTTCTCGGGTGATTTATCATATTGTCTTTGTAAATCGGCGATAGAAGATAGGGATCATCTGTATGTCCATTGTTCGTTCTCGAGGCAGTTGTTTGTTGCACTTTTTTTGCAGATATCTATAGCTTCCTAGGGTGCAAGATTGGGAAGAGTTGATGGCTTTCTTTATTAAGAAGCTTGGTGGGTCGACGGAAGCTGCTGAATCTGGGCGTGCTATCTGGCAGGCGTGGGTGAGCCACATATGGAGGGAGCACTTAGGCGGTTGTATGCAGGGGAAGCAAAGGAATTCCAGGTCTTGTTGAAAACCAGTCAGGGAGAGATTGAGTGTGTGATGGGTTTGCAGAGGGTTTCCTTGTTTTGGTTAGTCAACCTGCCTTAGAGACTCGGTTTTGATAGGTTTCTTTCCTTCTTTTGTTCGCATTTTGTTGGTTGATTCAGCCTAGTTATCAGGGCAGTTGCTAACAACCCTTTTTCGATGAATGAAGATCCCAACGATTCATAATATATATATATATATATATATGGTGATGACTGGTGTACGTCAGGCGTATATATATATATATATATATATATATATATATATATATATATTCCCATAGAGTATGTGAAGATGTAGATTAGACATGTAATAAATCAACTGGTCCTGATAAATCGAGTTGTTCGGGAAAAGATTATTATGAATTTTATACCATTCTCTTAGAAATATTTCTTGGTTGTTGTGTTATACTCTAATTTCCATAATTTTGCCAAGATCAATTACATGCTTGCAAAGGTAGTTTCAAATATGTATTAGATTTGAAGGGTCTCACATCTCCTATAACAATAATTTTATATTTTCATTTGATAATTCTTTTGTGGAAGTAAATTATATGAAAAATTGGATGGCATTTTTTTTTAAGACAAGGAAGATCTGAGGTGAGAGAAAGTTGAAATTTTAATAATAATAGGGTTAATACCCTCGTTTGGCACGAAGTATAGCGTTAGTGACATTTCTGGCCCAAGTTTTCAAATAAGACATCTCTGGCCCACTTTTCAAATTATCGGACGAATTTGGCCTGTGGGACGGGTTGACTGTCAGATTTGACGGTCAACAATGTTCTCCGTTGCTTACTCAGCATTGGACTCTGACGTGGCTTCTCCACGTCATTTATTTTTATTTCCCCTTTTATATCCATTTCTAATTAAGTAAGTTAAAAAAAAAAAAAACAACAAAACTAAAGGGAAAGGTGGAGACCACACACTACCCATCTCTTTCCATTCTCCCTTCTTCCCTCGATACCCCACCCCCTCGTATCCCCTTCCCCGATCTTCTCCGCCGCCGCCAATCCGACCCAAATCGCCGCCGCCAATCCGACCCAAATCTTCTTCTTCTTCTTCGTCTCCTTCCTCCTTCGTCTTCTTCCTCTTCGTCGCCAACCCATCGAGAGGAAGCAACAGATTCGAGAGCGCGTGCAATGAGACTGCTGCAACTAACCAGACCATCAAAGAAAAAAGAAGAGAAGAAATGGCAGCAGCTAGTGGGAGTATCTTTTCAAAGCTGCAAAAGACCAAAGAGCCTTCCTCCTCCACTCCAATGCCATTCATTTGAGAGAGGACAAATGGCAAAGACAAAAGGAATATCAATCACTTTGCCTTCATCATCAAACCCTTCTGCCAACGACTTCCATTAATTAATTTGCTTCTTGCACTTGATGACTTGTAAGAAGAAGACGAAGAAGAAGAAGAAGATTTGGGTCGGATTGGCGGCGGCGATTTGGGTCGGATTGGCGGCGGCGGAGAAGATCGGGGAAGGGGATACGAGGGGGTGGGGTATCGGGGGAAGAAGGGAGAATGGAAAGAGATGGGTAGTGTGTGGTCTCCACCTTTCCCTTTAGTTTTTTTTTTTTTTTTTTTAACTTACTTAATTAGAAATGGATATAAAAGGGGAAATAAAAATAAATGACGTGGAGAAGCCACGTCAGAGTCCAATGCTGAGTAAGCAACGGAGAACATTGTTGACCGTCAAATCTGACAGTCAACCCGTCCCACAGGCCAAATTCGTCCGATAATTTGAAAAGTGGGCCAGAGATGTCTTATTTGAAAACTTGGGCCAGAAATGTCACTAACGCTATACTTCGTGCCAAACGAGGGTATTAACCCATAATAATAACAGAAAGTTGCATACAAGGCAACATAAAATTTTGAAATCCCCTTACTAATTTCTTTAGATTTTTTCCCTACTATAACTTTGAACATTTGTCACTATAAATGCCTACTCTCCAACTTCTCGTCACTCATTCCAAGTTCCCGTTATCTCTCAAACCACAATAAACTATAAACCCTCTCAAAGACCCTCCACAAAAATGGCCCTCTCCAAGCTTGTAATGGCTACCCTTCTCCTCTCCCTTCTCTTCCTTCAGCTCGCTCACGCTGCTAATTACTCCACTCAATCAATCGGTACGTAAATTGATCCATACTATCAGAATGATCTTTGCAACCAAAATGGACGTCACCAAAAAGTAAAAAAATAATTTTTCATCACCTTTCTACCTGGCTTTTATAGTTACTCACGACCATTTGATCACAGAATCGCAAAAATCTTTTTTCATGTTCTTGTAATTGAAATTTTAGCATAACAATTCATGTTAAATTTGAAGTATATATTCCTAAGTAGGATATTTATCCGTATGATGGTTTTGATCAGATTGTGGAGACGCTTGCAAAGTTAGGTGCCAGTTATCGAGCAGACCGAACCTATGCCACAGGGCATGCGGGACATGTTGCCGCCGATGCAGCTGCGTTCCGCCGGGAACCGCCGGCAACTACGACAAGTGCCCTTGCTATGCGACCTTGACCACCCATGACGGCCGTCGCAAGTGCCCCTAATTGTAATTAATTAATTCACGATTGCGTTTAAAATCTTTAAGTAGTTTGAACGTGCGATAATTAAAAATATTGATGATGTATGTTTGTTTTCCATTTGGTAAATGTAAAATGGATGTAGTACTGATCAATAAAAAGCTTACTGTAGCTGCTGATCTATATCTCTATTTCAGCAGGGACTTTCATGATCCATGCAAATATGCAACCATATGTCTCCCAAAATTTACGTGAGACAAATTATCATTTTTATAATTAGTATAGGTATAAAATGGTTTCTCATAGAGAATGCAAATGTTGCAAATTAGAGACATTATGTGCCACATTAAATTTGTTCTAGTGGTCTTTTATATATAGATGAGTCTAACTCGTTTTGTTGATTTTGTGTACAACTAACGAACTCCCTGTCAAGTATTTAGCGAAATGGATGAAATTTGGGTTCACCTGAATTTTTTAATAATTGGACTATTAGCTCTGTTGGTTAGAGCGTTGTGCTAATAACGCAAAGGTCATAGGTTTGAGACCTGTATGGGCCCAATAGTTTTTTTTCCGGTTCATATAGGTTGGGCCAAATTATCTTCTTTTTTTTATACTTTATATAGGTATAAGATGGTCTTTTGTATAAATGAGTTGAATTTGTTTTGAAGATTTTGTGTACAACTAACTAACTCCCTATCAAGTATTTAGCGAAATGTATGAAATTTGGATTCATCTATTTTTTATTTTTGTCAATTGGCCTATTAGCTCAGTTGGTTAGAGCGTCGTGCTAATAACGCGAAGGTCACAGGTTCGAGACCTGTATGGGCCATATATATAAAAAAAATTATAGTTTATATAGGTATAAGATGGTTTCTCATAAACAATATGCCGAATTATCTTTTTTTAGTTCATATAGGTATAAGATGGTCATTTGAATAAATGAGTCGAACTCATTTTGTAGATTTTGTGTACAACTAATTAACTATCTATCAAGTATTTAGCGAAATATATGAAATTTGGATTCACCTAATTTTTTTTATCAATTGGCCTATTAGCTCAGTTGGTTAGAGCGTCGTGCTAATAACGCGAAGGTCACAGGTTCGAGACCTGTATGGGCCAAATTATTTTTTTTAGTTTATATAGGTATAAGGTGGTTTCTCATAAACAATTAGCATGCGAAGTTCACAGGTTCGATACCTGTATGGGCCAAATTATATTTTTTTATAGTTTATATAGGTATAAGGTGGTTTCTCATAAACAATTAGTATGCGAAGGTCACAGGTTCGAGACCTGTATGGGCCAAATTATATTTTTTTATAGTTTATATAGGTATAAGATGGTTTTTCATACACAATATAAACATCGCAAATTAGAGACGTCAATGACCACATTAAATTTGAACCGGTGGTCTTTTACATACATGTACTGAGCTTGTTTTGTTACTTGTTCCACAAAAAATAATCCGATTTTTTTTTTTTAAGATCCGAACTTTAGTTGAAGATGACCATGGAGACCTGTATGGGCCAAATTATATTTTTTTTATAGTTTATATAGGTATAAGATGGTTTCTCATACACAATATAAACATCGCAAATTAGAGACGTCAATGCCCACATTAAATTTGTACCGGTGGTCTTTTACATACATGTACTGAGCTTGTTTTGTTACTTGTTCCACAAAAAATTATCTGATTTTTTTTTTTTTTAAGAACCGAACTTTAGTTGAAGATGACCATGGAAACCTGTATGTGCCAAATTATCATTTTTTCGAGTTCATATAGGCATAAGGCATAAAATGATTTCTCATGCACAATGTGAACACCACAAATTAGATACCTCATGGACACATTAATCTTGTCCTATGAGTGTTTTACATACATGAACAAAACACATTTTGCTGATTTCGTTTTCACCTAACTCAAAATCAAATGTTAAATTAGTGAAATGGATGAGTTCACCTTAGTTCTCTATGGATTTTCCTATTAACTCGGTTCAAGATTTGTATGTACTAAATATCACTTTTTTAAATTTCAAGTTCATCTCGAAATTTTATTTTTTAGTTCATAATTTTTTTTATGGATAATGAGATAATTTTACAACTAACCCAAAAAAGAAAGGAGTTCATCTCTAAAATCATTAATAATTTCGGACTTTGCTACGGTGACATGCATGTCACCGTAATTTGCACTTTTAGGTCGACCTCATACATGCATATCACAAAACTGAAACGACATATTAGGCCGATCTAATCCTATATAAGGTCGACCTAAAAGTACATATTAAGTCGACCTAATTCTATATAAGATCGACCTAAAAGTATAAGTTACAATGACATGCATGTCACTATAGGCATACCCTAATATTTTCAATTTTAATTTTATGTTCAAGTTCATTTATGCCTCTTGCAGTGGCAGGTGACGGTTTGCAGACATTAACCAAATTAGTTTTGCCAAATTTGCAGTCATTTAACTGGTAAAAAGTTTACGCGTCCATCTAACACACTGGAAATCTACCAAAAACAACAAATCCCAAAGCCCATGAATTAGCTGGCTATTTGGTCCGAACTGTTTGGTTTTATCCAAAATCGGACCGTATAATTCGGATTGGGACCAGACTGGGACCGCATAGCAGACAATCCAATCTCATATTCGGACTTAGATTTGAGATAAAAAATCATTTGGGACCGGATCGAAAACCGGGAAAGACCGGATAAGAGATCACAACTCCACTCAAATCCCCACAAGTTCAATCTAAAATCAAGACTAAATTGGGACCAGACTGGTTCAAGACCGGACCGGATCAAGACCAGACTGTATCCAATCCAATCTTTGGTCCTTATATTCTCGAAAAGACCGAACTGGGACGGATCAATTCGGGTCAATTTAACCGGACCGGACCGTATAGCCACTCCTACCATGAATACCTTTCGAACCTATTTAACTAGGCGGTCTCGGTATTTTTAAGAGGTACTATAAAAGTAAAATAGTAAATAAATAAATATTTAATTTATAGAGTACACAATTTTATTATTTTTACTTGGGCTGGTATTCGGTAAACCGGTATCCGGTATTACCGACTACCGAACCGGTTACCGACGGTATCCGGTATACCGAATACAGCAGTATCGGTATTTGGGGAGGAAATAATCCATTCGGTAATACCGAATACTTGGCGGTAAATACCGATGGTATTTCGGTATACCGGAATACCGAAACTTTAAAAAAAAAGTGCAGCGCAGCGTACAGGCAGGGCCGCAGGGGGATTGGATTTGATTAAATAAACCCTAAACTAAATTTTCCCAGTTCCCACCCGCAGTCATCCCCGACCCGGCGACCCCCGACCCTCAACCTCCCCGATTCAATCCGCCGTTCAACAACCCCCGCCGCCCCACTCCTTTCTCCTCTGTCTGATTCAATCTGTCGCCCCCAATAGCTAGCCTCAGCTTCCACTTCCTCTTCTCTTCCCCGAAGCCCAAACTCGATCTCCCTCCCACCTCAGCCAGCAGCAGTCGCCGACGGGAAGTGCTACGCCGCATCTCCGTCATCCTCTTCTCTTCACCCGCAGCAGCAGTCGCCGACGGAGAGGTAGAAGAAGAAAGGAAGGATTTATAAGACAAAAGAAGGGAAGAAGAAGAACAGGGGAGGAGGCGAGTGTTCGCTGAGTTGGAATGCAGAGATTCCGACGGAGATGACGATTCCGGCGACGACAGTTCTTCTTCCCCATTTTCCTCGACGATTTTCGGGATACCGGGTTCATACCGGATACCGATTACCCGGTAATACCGACTGAAATTTGGTATCGGTATTTGACAGCCACGACGCCAGCACCCGGTATATCGAATACCGAGTAATTGGTATCCGGTATACCGGATACCGACCGATTACCAGCCCTAATTTTTACAGCGAGCAAAAATTTGTATGTTGTGATAGATTAATGAAATACATTAATCGCTTATTTTGTAAATAAAATATTTTTCAATCCATATAATGCAATAATCGTTGAGAAAAGGCCATTAATTTGATTTCGAATATAATTTATTATCAAGTTCATAATAAAAAAATTCCATTTAACTGCTTGCAATTACAACAAATGTGTCAATTAAAAAAATTAGATGTATATCAGAAATCCTAATTTCAAATTTTTATATGACCAAACATAAATATTTCACCAAAATCTTAAGCGAAGATGTGTCGCTTCATATGCTTCCCTTAATATAGGTCCATCCCTGATAAAAGCAACAAAGACGAGAACATAGCTCCATGTAGCCCTACACTAAAAATATTTCACAAAAATTATCCAAACATAAGTTGAAGATGCACATTTTTTTTAAATAATGGTGATATAAGCTTGTTTTCTTTATACACTACTACTTAGTTTGTAGGATTCAAATTTAAAACCTCCAAATTCAAAACTAATACCAATAATATTAATGTAATACTAGACCAAATTATCAATGATTAGCAGTAATTATCAATGATTAGAAGTCGGCTGGTGCATCAAAAAGATGCCTCCAGCAAATCTCTAATCGAGTATACACTTGTTGGCAGTGGGTCAGATTAAGAACTTTTCTCTCTTTTTCCTTATGTATTCTCTTTCAACAATTTTCTTTGTTACTGCTTTTTCCTCGTCCTGATATTGTTTAAAATTAAGCAAGCATATCATAAATTAACGATCGCCTTCGTCTCCAACTGGCTAAATCCACTCGCAAGAAGCCAATTGTGAGAGCTGCATTTTTTTCCAAGTTGAAGCTCTCGCTTTCATCGATCCTATCTATAGACTATAGCGACCAACTTGTTCCCATTGCCAACAGTCCATTACGCATTACTTTTCCCTGCTTAAACAGTCAACTAATAGTGAACTTCATGTACCACTAGAGGTAGCAATTGGATCGGATTCAATGGATTGGTGGATTGATCCATGAATCCAAATGACATCAAAGGCTTGGACCAAAATGTAAAATTTGAAAAGTTTTGGTACTAAAATGTCTTAATGAAAAATTTTAGGTACCAAAATATAATTTTTCAATGATATTTTTCGTATAAAAATATGAATTTTAGGTACCAAAATGTAAAATACAAAAATATAGGTACCAAATTGTAAATTGCCATTTGGATCCATGGATTGATCCATGAATCCACCAATCCAATTGGATTTGGATCAAATTGATTGGATTTAAATGAATTGGATTAGGTGAATAATTTGGTGGATGGATTGAATTGGATTCATGGATTTGGATCCTAATTGCCACCTCTATGTACCACATTACTTTATTCCAATTTCAAGTTCATTTGTCCTTGTAAGGCAGCCTCTGACAAAGATTTGGATTACGATACAAAATTAAGGAGTTGCAAAATCCGCGTTTTGGTGAATAAAATTGAGCACACATTGATAAAAAAAAACACATCCTCATATTATTGTATGATTGTTAAGGGGGCGGATTGACATCGATTCACTCGCAAATAACTCGACCCGCACGCAGTGGGTGATTGATGTGGGTGGATTGCGGATTGGTAAATCTCTCATCCATACCAATGTGGGTGGGTGGTGGGTGGCTTGCAGGTCACTCATATGACCCGCATCCTATTTTTACATGAAAAAATGTTGTTTCTTATATTATCTAATATTCATCATATTTTCGAACTGCACTACAGTCTGACCATATACTTCAAAATGTGGAGAATAAATAATAGTTTTGACTACTATTATTGGTTATTGTGTTATGCAATATCCATTAGATATTAGATATTGGATATTGGTATGCAGATTGTTGTTAATAACCATTAAATATGGGAATTGATAAACGTCGTCCTTAAAATTACTATTGATCATCCTAAAAAATAACAAAATTATACTTTTAACCTTTTGTTATCTTTAGCAAACAAACATCACTTTAACTAAAAAAACTGAAAAACACTCAATTTCCCACACTCTCGAATTCATTGTTGACATTCTCGAGTCGTAATTGTTGGGAATACGTCCGAATCATGAGTAGCGACTCCGATGAGGTAAAAATCTGATTTTTTTTTCAAAAAAACCCAAAACCCCTCAACTGAAGCCAATTTTCGGTTGTACCATGGCTCAACCTAAGGCAATTTTCGGTTGTACCATGGACCAACCGAAAATTGCCTTAGGTTGAGCCATGGTACAACCGAAAATTGGCTTCATTGAGGGGTTTCGGAATTTTTTTGGAATTTTTTGTTTTATATCAATAATTTTCTATTCTTTTACTACGATTTATGGTTCGATCCATAAGATAATTTGTTGGATTTTGGTTTATATTTTTTTAGATTTATGGAAGGGGAGGGGTTGTTTGTTTTGTGTTTGATTTTGAAATTCAAAATGGGCAATTCGGTAAATTACATATTAAGTTAGGACGATGGTTAGTAATTTTTAGGACGACCTTTAACCATTCAGTTAAATATTGGGATGCAAACTATAAATTATTAATTGTATCAAAATCAAAAGTAAATAAAAGAGAATTGGTTTTGGTATGAAATTATTATAAATGTTAGTCAACTTTCTTAATGGCTAAATGGAGAATTGGTTTTGCTGGTTCATCCGCGACCCAACCGCACCCAACCCAACCCGTAGAAGTATGTGGGTGGATTGCAGGTCACATTTATTCCAACCCTCTAATAAGCGGGTGGGTCAATTTGAGACCAAAACCCATCCAACCCGCCCGTTGCCCACCCCTAATGATTGTAATTTGTATCATAGTGATATGAATTGTGACAGGATGATAAAACACTGGATTTCGTAAGTTCCACAGTTTTGTGTTTTGTACCATATCTTTTGGTGTGGAACAAAAACTAATAATGTTTCCCACATTTCGTATTTTATCATTGGGTTAACAACGTAACCATTAATAAAAATCAATGTTTATTAAGAAATTCTACGTACCGGTCAGTTGGACTAAAAATATCGGATATCAAACCCAAATTAATTGAAAAATTTTAACAGTAAAAAATGGTTGAACCACGATTAAATTACGATTTTAATACACAAAGATTCTACTACTAATTTTTCCAAAATAACCTACAATACGATTTCACAATCATTCATTAAACCTCAATATTTTGTCCATAATTGATAATACTCCCCATATACAATTAGCATATTCGCTAAAATGGTCCAATTTTTAGTTGAAGACGACAATCATCAAAATTCGGAAGGCCTTTGGTGCTGCAAAAGGATGCTTCCTGCGAATCTCTAATCAAGTATTACTTGCTGGCAATGGCTGAGATTAATGATGTTCTCTCCTTTTCGTTCTTTCCTTCTTCTGTCTTCTCTTTTAACAATTTTCTTTCTTACTACTTTTTCCTCATCCAGTATTATTTGAAATTAATCAATCATCATAATTTTGAATAAATATACTAATTGTATACTTTCAATTATTCCCGCACTCATATGATCACTTTATAAAAATAATTGGAAGCCATTCAGCTACTACATAATACAACCTCCCTTGCCTTTATATTAACTAACTGATTTTTTTTTTATTTGTGAAACACCTTCATATTCAACTCAACTTGCATTATCCAGTTTCAAACTCGTCACTATAAATACTCCTTCTGATCACACTTCTATGTATCTCATCTCACTATACTCACCTCCTTCTTCAAGTTTGAAACCCCTAGCTCAAAAACAATGGCCATCTCAAGGCTTCTCATTGCTACCTTCCTCGTCTCCGTCCTCGTCCTCCAGCTCGCCCAGGCTCATGATCATGATCATCAGCAATCCAAGAAGGCCTTCGGATTAACGGGCTACACCGGTAGCTCTCCAAAACTCGGTGAGTTATATTTCATTAATTTTCAATGCATATTAAAAGTAACCGGTGTATTGCACTCTTTATAGATGTGAAAATTATATTCGTTTCAAGATTTTTGGTCACCATAACGAACAAGGGTAGCGGGGAATCACATATTGGTCACCAATACTTTTTGGTGACAATTTTGTTACCTTTTCGCAACCATTTTCTGAAATCTATTTCTTGTACGTGTAACAGATTGTGGGAGCTCTTGCGACGTTAGGTGCCAATTATCAAGTAGGCCAAACCTGTGCAAGAGGGCTTGTGGGACTTGCTGTGTCCGGTGCAGCTGCGTCCCTACCGGCACCGCCGGTAACTACGACGAGTGTCCTTGCTACGGCACAATGACCACCCACGGCGGCCACCGCAAGTGTCCTTGATTAGAGGACTCGAAGTGGCCGGCCGGCCGGCAACTTAATTTCTCTATCGAGACATAAGAAAGAATGATCATCACTTTGCTTGTACGATACGAACTTTTGGGGACGCTTGATGTTTGTCAGGTTCCATGGATGAGTTGAAATGGTTTTTATATTTGTTGTGTGTACATCTGATCAGCCTTTGTGATTGATGTTTGGAGAAATAAAAATCAAGGATTTCGCTTATTTTGGATTCCACGAGAATTTTGACTACTAGTATAGAAAGTTATTATAATTATTTATCTAGCCAAGTTAATCGAGGGATTCATTCAAAATAACAAAGTTTTAATTGAAGTGGTTTCAGATACACAATTAGAATTATAAGAAACAAATATAAAAAATTACCAAAAATAAAATTTACTATTCCTTAAGAAAAACCGGGTATACTGTTCACGGATGGATTTTGTGATCTCCTGCGGGCGTTTTCAGATAAGCTTGAGTTTATCATATTGGGTAGAGCAAGGGTGACCGTTGATTCTTTTTATTTATTCACATGGACGGGCCTATATACAAATGGGCACATCTGAGGAGCTGACCATACCGTCCTCTTTTTTCGTGCATCTCACCTCTCCATTCGTCTTTCCCAGTTCACTCTCAAGTCTCAATCTCTCATTTTTTCCTATTGTGAAAAAACCCCTTTCCTTCCCATTTGTCTTCCGCCTAATCTCAATGGGTTGTCATGTTGCTATCTTGGCTCGCAAAGCTGCAGGCGAGTTAGGCCACTCCTTGCTTCTCGGCTCTCGTCTCATCACAAGTATTTTCGACTTCCCTTGAAGTTGGATCCAACAGGTTTATCTCACGAACAACGTACAAGCAAACAATCTAATTCTATTTCTCCGGATAATAAATGATGGTTAACAAGTATCTCCAAATTATAAAGAACAATCCATTTAGCTTAAAACATGTTTATAAAAAATACTAGACATATGTTGCAGCAAATTGTACTTTCTCAAGATTCGAACAACGGAAAATATATTTTAATGCTTTTCCATTTGCTTGAAATTTTAATTAGTTCTTTTCTTTTCATTGTGTGAAATACTTGTCTTTTTCTAGTGTTGGCTTGGATTTATACTTACAAGTACTATACACCAGGTCTGATCCAATGTTAAACAAGTCGAAGCCATTAGAGTTCTAATTATTTAGATGAGTTTGAATTTAGAATTTCTTAAACCGAAATATTGAATCGGATGATTAAAATGATCAAGCCCAAATCACCTATTTAATTACCACCCGTAGCTACAAGTTGGAAGGGGAGTTAGCCAATGATGAATTATTAAGATAGGAACCCGTCTATAGAATAAATGCCAACTCCCTAGTCGCAACCAATAATACTTAAAAATTAGTGTACATAATTCCAGCTGCAGAGCTTAATACTTGAACTCCAGCTGGCTATAGTTATCTTTCTAGTTGAAAGTCTCACTTTAATTAGTCCGATAGACTAGTTTAGCTATAGCGACCAACTTTGTTCCAATTGTTAATTTGTTTCCGTACGTGGACAGCCACTTGCCAACATCTTTTGTCCAACAGCATCCATTATGCATAGAATTAATTACTAATTTGTTTGCCTAACCAGTCAACTAATTAGGGAATAATACAGACTATTTATAAACAAATAAAAATAATGGACTCACTTACCTAACTCCCCCAGTTCAGCTTTATCCACTCTAGGATGGATTGCTTAATTATTAAATGACACTAACATGCATTGTTGATTAATTTGACGTGTTAAAAAAACTTTAATGACTTGGTAACACCTGTATAATAGTTTCACAAAAAAAAAAAACACCTGCATAATAGTATTGGATTCCAATTTAACCTGCCATATATAATCATCTTCTCTAATTTAGTTTGATAGAGGGATTAGGATAGGGTTAGTAACCATTGTTTACTGACGTATGACTCAGGTTGTCATGTTGGTGGCATGCCACCCGGTTGAACCTGATTCAACTTGTACCTATCATGAAACAGGTATGATCGACTTACGCATTCTAAACAAAATGACATCATTTTAATGAAGTTAATTAATAAAAAATTTAATTTATTATTCATTTTATGAATTTAATAGTTAAAAGTTGATGATATTTGTTGGATTGTAACTAAATTGTTCACAAATATATTTTATATATAATTAAATACATTGAATATTAATTGTTTTTACATTTTTTTAAACCGGCATGAACCGACACAAACTGGTTATACCACCGGTCATACCATTCCACTTGCCAAACCGGCAAAACGGTATGAACCGGTTTGACAACCTTGCGTATGAGTAACTAAATCTGGACATTTAGATCTAAGTGGGTTCAGAAAATCTAGATATAAGGGTTGTCAATTAAAGACATTTTATTTTCCGTAGTTTTCTAATCGGATCTTATCTTTTTCGTTCTAACTCGGATTTCAATTTTTTTGCACAAATGGAACGAGTTCGTTGTGCTCTACAAAATGAGATCAATTTTCAATATATTTCGAGAATTTTTTTTTTTTACCAACTACATACCATATGATAACTTTTTTGTTTTTAAGTCATTATTAAAAACGTTTGCTCAGAAGGAACGAGTTCATCATGATCTATTTGATCTACAAATTCCTGGGTGAAAAAAAATACTGGACCAAAAATTATCATACTTTACCACTATGGTATGTGGGTGGTAACTTGTGGTAACTTATAGTAAACAATGATGAAAATCGTAAATGACAGTTAGTATACTCCTACTATCATGTATTCAACTTTTTTACCATATTGGTATGTTCATACCATCATGGTACGCTTTCTTACCATATGGTATTAAATAGGAGCATACCATATGGTAATGACTGGTAAAGAATTATTCAATTTTTTGTATTAAAAATATATCAAAGTGGATATCATTTTAAAGAGCACATTTAATATGATTTATCTATGCAAAAAAATTAAATTTCGGCTTAAAACGAGAGAGAAATCGTCCGTTAAAGATTAAAGGGGAAAAGATAAAAGACTTTCCAGGAGAGAGAGAGAGAGAGAGATTGATGTTATGCTCATGTGGACGGGTTACTCATGGTTACTGACCATAAGATTACTGACTTGATCCGTTCCCTTGATAGAGTGCTTGTCTCGTGGACGATGCAGAAAGAGCATGGATCCTCTTTTCGCCCTAACTCGTTTTGCCTCATCTTATACACTGGGCCATTTTATCTAAATTATATATAATCTTGGGGGAGTTCTACGGTACCCAGGGTGATATTCGGGGTACCGCATAACTTGAGTAAGAAAACGCTATCCATAACTTGAATTGACTGATCTTTCAGGCATGATACTATACTTTAACCCTTAAATATCAAAATCTAGGTCTTAATCCTCTAAATCTTATACTCCAAGATCAATTTAATTAGAAACAATAATCAACGGTTATGATTCGTCCAAATATAGGCAAAAAAATCAATGCACCGTCTTAGGGTTTATAGTTTATGATTTAGATAATTATGACCTCGGGTTCACTCATTAAGGAATAGGGGTATACTATCATGCCCAAAAATTATAGGTGTTGTAGACACCACATTTTGTCCGGAGCAACCATCCTGCTCAAAACTCAAAAGAATATCCAACTTTAAAAGAAAACTCAAGTAAAAATTTGGACGAGGTCGGTTGAGATTAGCAATGGCAAATCAATAAGTACCAACGGTGTTTAAGTCCGTTTTATTTGGTTCTAATATTTGTACTAGGTAGGATTAGCAGTAGCTAATGGCTACCGAATTTGCTTTAATTAGAATAACAATAGTATTTGGTTCGAATATTTGTACTAGGTAGGATTAGCAGTAGCTAATGGCTTCCGAATTTGCTTTATTTAGAATAACAATAGTATGTTGTCAAGACCTATGCTAATGTCATTGTATTCAGTTGGTCTCATTGGTCTAAAGTTGGTCAAAAGGGATAGAAAGATTGGTAATTTTGCTCAACGACCCAAATCCATGGTTTGGGAAGCATTGATTAGATGTTTGGATTTGGTTTGAAATTGGATAAGTGAACAAATTGGGTTGGAAGAATCAATTGAATGTTTGAGCACTACATACAGATACAATGATCATCTAATTCTGAAGGCAATAACATAAATAAATAAATAAATGTGTAATTACAAAGTACAATTTATAACCTTTAAGATACACTTAGTAATTATACATTAAAAAAAAACTATCAGAAACAAACCCACACCAGCAGCCCAATTCTCAAACTATAAAACTCAACCCAGGCCCATATTTCGGCCCAATCCAGTATGGTCGGCCCAGGTCCACTCTGGTCAAATCGGTCAACTCAGGTCAACCCAATCAACCAAACCCATCATCCCTATCTTATCTAAAGGAGCAGTAGAGTAGCAGAGCAGCAGCAGAGTAGCAGAGCAGCAGAAATTACTGCCGCCTCTCAAAAAGAGGAATTCGGCCACCTCCTCCAAAGAACCAACACCAAATTGCCAACACAAAAGGTGGTTCAGACCACCACCTCAAGAGCAAAGGAGGAGCAGCCAGCACACAACGATGAACAGTAAAAAATGATCATATATAAGGGGGTTTTTTACCCCAAAAAGGGGATTGGAGGAGAAAAACATAGAAAAATAGAAACATAGACATTGCAAAGAGATCGTCTTTTTGTTCCTGCCCTTGGCCAAAGTTCAGTGGAAGTTCAGTGGGGAAACTGTGAAATTGAAGGAGCAGATTTGAAGATCGTTGTAGGGAAAGGCCATTCTTAGGCCTTGATCCAGGTTGGTACTTGTATCGACTTCATTTTATCAAATTTACACAATTGTTATGACGTTATACAATCATCCATCTATTTGCATATTTATACTCTTGAGTATTTTCCAATACAAGCTATGCGATGGTCAAATATTATTTATCAAGATCTATTCTTATCAATTTCATTAAGCTCTATCATTAAAGTTTTTTTCCTTCTCATATTAATAGTTTGGGCTATGAGATTACTATTATACCGATTAACTTAACTATGACTAGAGTTGTTTTAAACTCTTTTTGCCATGTTTAGATTTTCCTCATTCGTAGCCATACATACATAATGTACAGATTAAAGTAAAACTAGATATAGCACATATTTTTTTTTTATATATAACAATCAAACAAACTTTTCCCAAGTCCTTGGATCAACCTGGATCCAAATCCAACAAAAATCACTCAAGCACAATAAATTCCAGAGTTTGAAACCCATACCAATTTCGCAAAATCACAGGCAGTGGCGGTGATTTATAATAGCCAAAATAAGCAATTTAGTCTTTGTTAATTAGATTAAAAATCATTTTAGCAACTTCTAATATATCAAAACTTCTAATATATCATTTTAGCAAAATCATCCCATCAAAGCACCAAAATCCCATTTTCTTCAAAACTCATTCACAAAACTTACTTTCTAATACTCAGATCTGCTAATCAATCCCAAATCAACAATAATAATCCGTTTACTTAGTTAAATCATCCCTAGTCATACCAAAACCGAAGTTAGAAGAGCCTTACCCAGATCTGGATTTATTTTTCAAACCTACAAAAAAGAACGAACTAAATTAATTATTTTTGTTAATAATAAAAATGATAGATTAACATATATTAAGGAGCCGAAATCCTACCTTTCTTTTTTTTGGAGACGAAGATCGTCATCGGCAGGATCTCGCCGCCGACCACATCCAAAACACAAGAAAATGAAATAAATATTAGTCGAATCCCAAATAAAATCACCTAAAACGAATTGAAAAGATTTTGCATGTCAAGAATCTTACCTAGTTCGTCTATTTCCGATCGAAATAGGGAGGTTATAGTCATCCTTTTGCCTGATTCCAAAGAGGAGTCTTTCCTCATCTTCTGCCTTTTTCTTCCTCCTCACCGAACCAAAACCCATAAAAAAAAATAATTAGAAAACGAAGGTCAGAAACAAATTCAAACCAACAAAATCGTCAAATAAAACCACATGCATGTTAAAACCTTACCTAATTCGGGCTTCCATTAGGAGATTGGTTGTTGACCGAGCTGTTTTCTCGCGGCCAGTAACGAGAGAAGAGGATTGAGGTAGGATTAAGAGTTAGGGTTTTGATTTAGAGAAAACCCAGAGGGTTTCGGCAGAGAAAAACAAGAGGAAGAGAAGAGAGATCCCGGCGGTCGAGAGGGAGGAGCGAAGAGCAGAGGAAGAGGCAGATTCGAGATGGGGAAGGGCGTCGTTTTCTTTTGGTATTCGGCGGCTAGGGTTTTTGGGTTTCTAAAGGCGAGAGGAGGAACGAGAGAGAGAGGAGCTGTCGTTTTTTTGTTCTCTGGAGAAGAAGGGAGTCGAGTGAGAAAGGAGAGAGAGAGCAGAAGCGGCCGCCGCTTTTGGTAAGGCTGAACTAGGGTTTTCTTTAGAGAGAGTTATATACTCCAATGGTTGTAAAGACCAAAATGCCTCTAGGGTTTATCGTTAATTATGCGGCCGTGTCACCGCGTTTTTTTGCAATTACTAGAATGCCCTTCTCCCATCTCCATACTAAAACGAAAAAAATCGAAAAAATGCAGTCAGTTTGTTTCGAACCCGCGGTCTAGGGGTCGGAGGAAAATAGCGGTTTGACCAGTTGGAATGCCAACAATCATGTGTTAATTTAACCATCCCGCTTATCTTTATTTGTTTATAGTTCTTAATACGAAATGTTAAATGCGGATTAAGTTTATCCAGTTTCTTTTCCAATACGAGTCAAGCCTCTTCCTAATAACTTAAATTATATTCTCTTTTCATAATTTCATAATAATCAAATTAAATTTTATTAACATAAATTATAATACGAAAATCACGATCAGTGGAACGTGATTACAATTAAATTATCAAAGTTCAAACGAACTACGTGGACTTTGATCCCGTCTAACGGGTACGTAGGCAACCGATAAGGTTCGAGTCCAATTAATCAACTAACTTTATCTTTAAATTTTTACGTCAGTGGGCGTATAATTAAATTACAACTAATACGACTCAATCATTAAATGGTCCAGTGGGACCCCAAAAAATACAAAATCATTACTAAAATTCACCCAACTCGCATAAAAACTTATCGACTTAAGTAGTACCGATTTAGGGCGTTGTGGGGGTGTTGCTTAACTTCCCCACACGTAACCGTACTCCCGAACCCAGAACTTTATTTTCGCAGACCATATCTCGGTTCTGACCCTAAGGTTAGAGCCGATTCGAAGAGTGTTCTATCCACTCCAAGTAAGATCGATGGCGACTCCCAAAAAATGCCGACGCGACGACCTACGGACCCCCCGGACGGGACGGTTGCGACAGGTGTCAATTGGGCGGGTTCGGGCGGGTTCGGGCTGGGTTCAATCGGGTTCGAGTTCAAACGGGTTGCGGGTTAGTCGGGTTGAGGGTTCCTCGGGTTCGGGTTCATCGGGTTCAAACGGGTTGCGGGTTCATCGGGTTCGGATTCAATCGGGTTGTGGGTAAATCGGGTTGCGGGTTCATCGGGTTTTGGGTCGAGCGGGTTGCGGGCGGTCGGGTTTCGGGTTGTTCGGGCCAGCGCATCAAGTAACTTAACTCATTACTCATTACCAACTTACACATTTTATTACACTAATTTAAAATATTTTCTCAACTTTTTAACAAATTTATTTCTACCTCGTATATATATACTTTATATTTTTGAAAAAAACTAGTCAAAATGTTAAATCAATTTGTATGACTTGCAAACTTGTTATGTAATTAATCATAATTGGTAAAGTATTATAGCTAATAGTAATAATGGTGATATCAATATTTGCAACCAAAAGACACCGTTAATTGTTTATTTGATATTTTAATATTAATTCAGTAGTAATTGGATTAAAGTATCTCGTTTAGTATAACCATGCAAATCTAGTATTTGGCGTGTGGTATTTGGCAAAAGCATAGTGATAAAAGGAGTTATTTCAAAAAAACTCATTGCCCAAATAACTTTAGTAAACTGTTGCCAAACGAGTTATTTGTAAAATTGTTCGAATTATCCTAAAACTTGAACCATTAAAGATTAGCTATCAAATTTAGTAAAATTATTGTGACTTCAATCATAACTTACTCAATAGCATATACCCTAAACCATCAATACATTATACACTAACCACATAACCTATACCCTAACCATATGTCCTTGAGTTGTGATTTTGCTAGTATAGTTAATTTAAAAGTGAAATTCATACTTTGATTTTCAAAACATAGATAAAAAGTGATATTTGCTAATTATTATACTCTAATCATATATCTTATATTTTACACCACATACCTTGTACCCTAACCACGTACCATAAACATAAATTAAAAAGGAATCTCCTGCCGTTAAAGACTTCAAATGACTTCAAGTGAACATATGTTAATAAAAAACTTAGAACCGTCAAAACCACCAATATCTTATACCCTAACCATATACACCCTAAACCATATGTACCTTATACTTTATACCCTAACCATATACTTTATATCCTAAACAACGAACCGTCAAAGATTACTTATCAAGTTTAGTATAAATTGTTGTAACTAATGGTTAATTTATTTATTAGCCCATAAAAAATTAGATACATATATACATATTAGCCTTCAAAGCATATAAGAATAATTTTAACTAGTCATGCCCTTCATGTAAAAATTAAAGATTCATATTTCAAAAGCTAAAATTATGAAAAACCAAAAAATTGAAAACACCAAATCTGTTCCCTTCTTTCTTTTCACAAAAATACTAAAATTTTCCTCCTTCTTTCTCTTTCCATACATTAGAAAAACTCAATTTTCCCTCCTCTTTCTCTTCCATAAAATTGAAAAAGCCAAATTACCATCTTCTTTCCTTCTACAAAAAGTTGAAAGTCAAAAGTTTCCCTACTTATTTCTCTTTCATAATCAAAATAATCAAACTTTCCCACTTCTTTCTCTTCCCACATATCAAAACCACCAAAATTCCCACTTGTTTCTTTTCTAAAAAATTCAAAGAACCAAATTTTCCTCTTCTTTCTCTTCCCAAAAACTTGAATACACCAAAATTTTCATCTTCTTTTAAAAACATCAAATTACCAAATACGTTACTTTATTTTATTTATATTTAATTGATAATTTTATTGAATAGTTAAATTAACCAAAATTTTAATTTATATATTATATTAATATTGTCATGATCTCAAGAGACCTTCATGTTTCAATTTTTGTAATTTTCTTAAAATACGTAATATCAAGTGAGTTTCATATTTTTAAAATTTCTTATACGAAATGAAAAAATAATTTTACTTAAGTTTAGAATGAAAATCTTTATTTTGAAAAACTATGTATTGTATATTTTTATAATTATTCAAGTGGATTAGATGAAATTCGGGTTGAGTCGGTCGGGTTACGGGTTAGTCGGGTTCGGGTCAATCGGGTTCGGGTTAATTGGGTTGCGGGTCAATCGGGTTGTGGGTCGGGCGGGTTACGGGTTGTTGACTTTTAGTCAATTTGGGTTGCGGTCGGGTTGCGGGTCGGGTTGATCGGGCGGGTTAATCAGGTCGGGCTATGTTTTGACACCTATACCAAAAATCCTGCTAATTCTAGGTCTAGTTAATGTTTTCATACTCAAAGTATACCGTACCCTGAATTTCACACCTATTGATATTTACTGAAATTACTTATGGTTTTGCTTTCTTTACACTATATTTTATTATCTTAGATCCAATGATGTTGTCATTACGTAAGAATCTCTATTTCGAAATAATTTGACTTTATTTATCATGCCACTTCCACGGCTCAAACAGGTAAGAATCTCAAAGCCCGGTCTATCTCTAAGCTCAAATTAAATTATAACTAATCCAACTCATGTTCTTGTGCCGTAGTGTCGAGGAAAATGTTCCGAGTTTGAACAAAGATCAACCAAGAAGTTCATACGTCCAGAATTCTTAAATACAGTCCTAAAACACGTATCAGAGGTGAGAGAACCCGATCCATTATGTTAAATCAAAGTTTATATGAGTTTATTCGTGTGCGCATGTATTATCGGTTGTACAGAAAATTTTATAGGATTTGCCACGGTTCTGTTATCGTCTCTAAAAGCTGATCACTTACGCTCTGTTTGGCAACAAGGGGTGCAAATTGTAGGAGGTGCAGGTTGAGGGGTAAATTGCTAGGGGGTGCAAATTGCTGGGGTTGTAAGTAGGGGTGGTAAACGGTATAACGGTTATCATATTAACCGTTTACCGAACCGGTAACCGGCGATTATCGGTATAACCGATAACCGGCGGTATCGGTATACGGTAGCCAATTTTAGCCACACGGTATACCGTTCCGTTCCCGGTATATTACCGTCGGTATTCTGCTATACCGAGTTACCGAAACCCACACTGCCCTAAATGTTATTTCGTTTCAACCACAAAAAAAAAATGTTATTTCCTTCTCTTCTTCCCCTGACTCAAGCCGCACGAAGTCTATCTCTCCATATTCGATCTCTCCAACTCTTCTCATCAATCCACCACACCAGTCCAGCAGTTCCTTCCACCACGAACCAGTCACCACTCGCCACCAAAATAGTGTGCCGCCGCTGGCTGCTGGTCGAAGGCGATTGCAATCGATCTTCAAACTTCACCGTCGGTTGCTTTCCTTTCTCATCCAGCGATTCAGTTTTCTACATCTATATCCCCAACTCCCTTGTAACCCCGTAAAAAAAGATGAAGAGGAGCGGCTCCAGGAACAAGTTCCTGATGTGTTTCCGGCCGGTCGCCGAAATGGAAGATTGTGTTCTCGATGATGGGTTTGGTCTCCACAAGTCCAAATTCGCCGCCCTTCTCTCGATTGATCGGTCCAACAGTCAGGCCTTTCTGATTTCCGCGGCGGGGAGCGACGAATTCACTGATTCGATGGGGAAGAAGGTGACTCTGGATCGCTCTGTTTCGGATTGCTCTGCCTTCCCCGGCGGCCGGCGCTCCGTCAGTTCCGAGGTGGAAGAGGTTGTTGTTCCGACTCCTCGTCAGCATCATCATCGAAGGAAGAGCTTTTCCCGTGCGATCAAGGCTGTTCTATTCGAGCCCATATCGGTTAGTTTTCTTCTCAATAAGTCCCACCGAACTATTGGCTCCTCTTAATTTCTGTTCGCCTAACCTCTGTTTTTCTTTCCCCTCTCTGGTTATTTCAGTCGAAGCGAGGAAACGACCGGAAATCGATGAACCGGGTCGCCGACGAATCGAATCATGGCTCATCTTGCAATTAGGAACCCAGATTAGGAACCCAGCGGCGACATGCAGCAGTGGCGGGAGCGCGGATTGTGTCGAAGCAAGAGACGCAGGTAGACGATGGTGGCGGTGACTGCGATGCGAGATCTCTCTTCCCGATTGACTGCAATTACCTCCCCGATTTATCTCTCAGAAGACGGCAGTGACGGAAAGGCCAAATGGCCCAAATCTATCTCCTTCACTAGATTTATCTCCCTGAAAAAGCTAATTTTCTTCATATCTTCAAGAACTCCGGCATCCACTTCGGCCCAAAAAATCCCCCGCACCCCCAAATCCACCATGCAAATCTTGCAAGTCGAAGAGGTTGAGGTCATGGTTGCAGGCCCAGAGATTGAGGTCTTGAGGAAGGTGTATCGTGAAGTCGAAGAGGTCAGAGGATTGGAGGTCGGAGGATTGGAAGTCGAAGAGGTCTTCGGCAGCGGAGGGGGCGGTAAATCGGGATACCGACGCAATAACCGATACCGTCCCAATCGGTAATCAGTTTACCGAAATTTACTCGGTATCGGCAAACGACAGTGATAATGGGATTTCCGGAATACCGGTAACCGGTTAACCGGTTACCGACCGATTACCACCCCTAGTTGTAAGTGGAGGGGTAAATTGTTGTTTGGATGAAAAAGTAGGAGGGTGCAAATAGAGTGAAAAGTAAGTAATTATATTATTTTAAAGTAGATTTTAAAATTTTAAAATAGATTTTAAGATTTTAAAATATTATCATAAAATAATAAAATAAATATTACTATATAATAATAAATATACTTTACTAAAAATAGTTATTATATAATAATGCTCAAATAATAATTAATTATAACAATTGTAATAATCATTGATCGAGCGATCTCAAAACTCGAAGCTCAACTCGTAACTGGTCATCCTATATAGGGTTTTCGTGTCTAGTTTAATCTTAAATTGTCAAACTTAGTCAAACACGTTCGAATTTGTAAGTTTTAACTATTTAGTCAAATAAACTGAGTTAACCAAACAATTTCTCTCTATCTTTTCCACAAACACCTCGTATCTCTAATTTTCAATGCAAATTCGATTCAACCAAGAGATCTAGATTTGACTTGACGAACATTGATAAACTTGTTTCCAGCGTCAAATGGTCAACCCCGAATAATGTTTACATTAATGATGTTTATAAAAAGAAGAAATTGATAATATTAATTATTATATAATTATATATAACACAATTAGAAAAATAAAATTCCATAATTCCCCCCTCCCCCTCTCTTCCTTCCTTCCCTTGCACCCCAATTCGGGGGGTAAGCCGAAACAGTAAATTTGCACTCCCGTTTTGCACCCCCTACTGTTCCAAATTAACCAAACAGGTGCAAATGTGTTGGAAACTGTGTTTACCCCTCACATTTGCACCCTCCTCCCATTTACCCCTCTTCCCAAACAGAGTGTTAAGAATAAGGGCCATAATGATAACACAATAGCGACGGGTTTGGTGATGGTACTGGCAGCCTTACTAAAGACTGTTGGGTCTGCTAGTTATTTTTTACAATAATCATATATTTCATTCATCTTCGAAAATCAAATACAAAGAAACAACTATCAGATATGGGCTGAAATTAAAACAAGAATAGTAAGCTAATCGCTTGGGACAGAATGACGAGCTTGTGATCGAGCAACCCAGTCAGCTCTGAAGTTCAAACGACGAGGGATCTTACGAATCTCAATCATAGGCGCTGAGTCGAGGATTATCCGCATAGCTTCCATCATCGAGGCACATCTCCATGGCCAAGAATTCGATCCCTGAGAAATAGCCTTCACCAGAACTTCACAGTCAGACCAGAGCACACATGCCACGTTATACTCTTGACCAATATTCAGTCCTTCTAACATAGCATTTGCTTCAACTTCAATCGGAGACGAACAAAGAAAAGAGTCAGCCCGTCCATCACAAATCTGTCATTGGTAGTTATTGATGACGATATCATAAGCCGCCTCATGGGAATCATGTAGGAATGATTCGTTGCATTGCATCTCCATCAAGGGGGAACATGGTGGTGGGCAAAAATATAGATGGGCCCCTCTGGGTTGACTCAGAGCTATCAGAATAGGAGTGGAACGTCTCGGACAATTTTTCCACTCCGGGAATTCCCTAACTACTGTGATGCAAGTTTCATTGTCTGATGGAGTGCATTTCCTGAATAGCCAGGCATTCCTAGTGTTTGTGCCACGTACTTTGCGCCTCCCCTTACGCGTCTAGCACCCTCCGCTCACGAGCTCTACTACGCGCCTCCCCTGCACACACGGACGCACCGCGAACCCCTTCGGGTCTCGTTAGCACTCCGACGCCCAAATTAGAACCAAGGTTTTTAGAGAGAAAAGTAGAGAGTATTTCTAGTGAGAAGATCAGACCTGAGTAAGTGAGGTTCACCAACTTCACTATTTATACTAGGTGTTGGGCCGACCAACATCCTCCACTTCCGCCCTACGTCAACTCGGCAATTAATGCGCCGTACTCCTCCCATATCATGCGCCTCGACCACCTGACACCCCGCTCAGAGGATTGAGGCGCATGACATCAGCAGGTCAGCCTTCGTACTCTTTCGACCGTTGAATGTCTCGTCTTATGCGCCTCGTGTCAGACTTCCGGCCCCACCTGCTTGGAAAAGCCCTTCTGCGCCCCCTGGGCCTTGTCCTTTATGAGCGTGAGTTTCCCTTCTGGGATTTTCTTTGGCGAGTTGGGCCTTTCTCTTTGGGCTATCGGCCCCGGGCTCCGCAACTATACCCTCAACACCTAGTTTTCCAAATATTCTAATATAGGAAGATGACTGGAAGTAAGCTCGAGGGGCTGCTAGTTAATGATTTGGATTGTCATAATAATATTGCTATTGTAATAGCACATAGATTCAATCAAAATTAACCATGAACTATTATGTACCTTCAAAGAACTTTTTTTTTTGGGTAAGACCCGGGGCGCTAAGGGCGCCCCAACCTTTAATTAAGAATAACGAAGCGGGGGGTCTGATCCCCAATCGTATCATAATACAACAAATAGCTCAACCGTTGAAAGGGTAGCTCGATATCGTGGTCACCTGGCGACAACCCATGACCCAACGAAGCTAAGAAACCCGCCACCACATTTCCCTCCTTATAGACGTGCTGGATATCAACTTCCCAATCTCGAGCTAAGAGGCCCCGAATTTCGTTAACAAGAACAAAATGCGGGTGAAAATCCTTCGCCTCTTTGATTAGTCGGATTGCAGCAATTTAATCGACTTGCACCACCACTTTCCTGTGCCCCAACCTCCAAACCGCCCGCAAGCCATGCACCACACCGGCTAACTCTACTCGTGTCACCGTCCCTCCTCCCAGGTTCCTGGAGTAGGCTGCAATAAGACGTCCGTCATGATCCCGCAACACTCCTCCTGCTGCTGTGTGGCCCGCTACAACCGAGCCGTCATAGTTTAGGCACATCCACCCCGGTGGCGGGGGCTTCCACGCAACCATTTGTTCAGCGTGAAAGCCCCCATCCAGTCCGATCGAGGACATTTTCTCCATCGCCGCTTTAATGTTCTGTTCAAGATGGATTGCACTGTCGCAAATGCTTTGGGCTGGCTCCAACTTATCCTCAAATATTTTCCTGTTGCGATTTCTCCACAGTAGCAGCACAAGACCGCAAACTTTGTAGGTTTGACGATGGCACTGTGTCCTAAGATGTAGTGGAGCGCCCATCTTTCCAGGTTGGGTTGGAAGAAAGTTTGATCCGGCTCATCATTCAGCACCTCCGCCCAGACATAGCGGTCAAAAGAGCAATCTCGAAGAACGTGGAGGGTGTCCTCCCCTTCCGCTCCACAGACTGAGCAAATGTCCGACGAGGCAAGAAGTCATCGCCGATGTTCACTATTCGTGAGTAACCTCTGGTGAGCCACCAGACAGAAAAAAGTTTAAACTCTTTGCACAGCTGGTATTTTCCATATTGCACGCCATATGGGATGGGAACCACCCGACCTTTCCACGTCATCCGTCATCTCATAGGCTGTCTTTAAGTTGAATTTACCCGAAGGAGAAAACCTCCACACCGGGACATCCTCTCTTGTCTCATGCAAGATTGGGTGGAGTAAAACCTGCATTACAGTGTCATGTGGAAGAAAAACTCGCAAGTACAATATGTTCCACTCACCATTGAGGACCGTCTCTGCCACTGTAATGTGGTGCGCTTCTGGAGGGAGGTCAACGGCCAACTCTGCTAGCGTTGGTCCATCTCGCTCCCACCGATCAGTCCAAAATCTAGTTTGTTGTCCGCTCTTGATATTCCACATGACAACTTCTGGGAGAAGGTGCATCACACGTAGCACACCGCGCCAAATGTTAGATAGCCTTCCCTTGACCCGCGGTTGCCATCCGCCCTCAACCTTCCTCATGTACTTCGCATGAATAACTCTTGCTCACAGGCTATTAGGTTCGGTTAGGAGCCGTCAAGCAATCTTGATCATGAATGCTTCATTCATCCTTGTCGCGTTGCGAAGACCAAGCCCTCCTTCCTCCTTGGGGCGACAAATTGTGTCCCAGTTCACTAGGTGAATTTTCATCCTTGCTTCTGAGCTCCCCCAAATGAATGCCCGGATTTTCTTGTCAATATACTCACGCACACCTGCCGGCAGGAAAGTAGTTTGCATAGTGTAGGCCGGTAAGGATGCCAGGACTGACTGTGCTAGAGTAATTCTCCCGGCTAGGGAAAAGGTGTTCACCTTCCAGCCTGATAGCCGAGAATCCACTTTATCAATCAGTTCAACAAAGGTGGCCTTCGGTATCCTATCATGAATGACGGGTACTCCAAGGTACCGCCCCAGATTTTTGGTCTCCGGGATATTGAGGTTTTCTTATATTTCCTTTGCCAATGTAGCCGAGACATTCTTTGAGAAGAATATCCTGGATTTGGGCTTGCTAACCTGCTAACCTGAGGCAGCTCCAAATTGCTCCAGGCATCTCGTAATCGCATGAACCTGCTGTATCAAAGCTTTGCCGAATAAAATTAAATCATCAGCAAAGAATGAGCGGGATAGATCCGGACCTGAGCTCGAGTGCTCGACAACTTGATGGGTCTCCAGGAACCCTCTGCTACTGCAGCCTTGATGACATGACTCAGTCTCTCCATGCACAGGGTGAAGAGATATGGGGACAACGGACATCCCTAGCGGAGACCTCGAGAGGGGACAAAGCTCTCCGTCAAGCCCCCGTTCCACTGTATTCTCATGCTCGCCGAAGTAATGCACTACATTTCCAAATTGACAAAGCTCGAGGAGACACCAACGGACATGAGTGTCTCTTGCACGAAAGTCCAACGTATTCGATCATAAGCTTTGGCGAGGTCAATATTCAGGACCATCCAGCCCTGCTTCCCCTGTTTAGCTCCCATGGAGTGAACAACTTCCTGCAAAATGAAAATATTGTCAGTAATATGCCTGCCCGAGACAAAGCTCGTCTAGGTCTCATCCACAACTCTGGACATGAGAGTTTTCATCCTCTCCGGCAAGCACTTCGTTATGATCTTGTAAGTAACGTTGCATAGGCTTATAGGCATGTACTGCTCGATCAGGGAGGGACGATTCACCTTGGGAATCAGGCAAAGGATAGTGTCATTAACCTCCTCCACTTGTGATGGGTCATTCCAACACTTTTGAGCAAAGTCGACAACACCCGGTCCCACTAAATCCCAGAAACGTTGAAATAATAAAGGGCTTAGTCTGTCACTACCAGGAGCCTTTAACGAACCCATTCCCATAACAGCTTGGCGAATCTCTTCCTCTTTGAAATTATACGAAATGATAGCCCAATCTGCCTCTGCCAGGGAGGGGAAGGCATGGATGGGTAAGTGGCTGCCCCGGCTCGTTCAAAGAACTTTCTAATTCACAAATAGTTCATGGTTAATTTTGATTGAATTGGGAGATCAATCTGGTTAGTAACTACTAACTACCTATGAAACAATTATCTATTTTATGATGTGATCATTTTAAGCAAAAGGTTTTAATACAGTCGGATAATCTCTTTATGAAAGAGAGATAGTTAAATATTGTGTTCATGAAATCAGAAAATTATCATAATAAAATTTATGTTGTATCAGCAAAACCTCTATACTTTGCAATCCTAAATCAAGAAATTCGTCGCCATAACCCCAAAATTCAATCAATCTAATCCGATTTAGATCATAAATTCACTAAAGCGAATCGCATATAGGTCTAGAGCACCTATCAGTACTAGAGTTGCAAACTGACTAGAGTTGATAAGATAAGTGGTTCAAGATGCTATTTCGAAGTTTTTAATTAGTCATTCAATTCCACTACTTATATTAGTTACTTGCATCGATCCTTGTGCTTATGTTTAAGTTATGTGTTCACAAGCTCTCATGCTGAATTAAGTTCATTCATGTTCAGTTATCTAAATTAAATAAGCTAAATTTGGAGGTAAACATGTATAAGTCATATATTAAGCAATGTCATAATACATCAGTAAATATGTTAAACAATCAAGTACAAGATAATAAGTTGAACCAATTAATAGATTTAGATCTCTTATTGGGAAATCATTCTAAGAAACTCGACTTACTATCTTCAGCAAGTCACTATTGTGTGGGAGACTATTGAGATCAAACATGAACTGCAAGTGAAGTTAAGAACAAGTTTAATCCAAGAAAGAAGTTAAAAAAAAAAACCCCCAATGGCTGGGAAGCACTCTGGAACAGGGGAATTGGAGTTATGAATTGATAGCTCCATTCCATTCCATTCCCTTTGGTCCTTTCGCACCTTTCCTTTTACGATTCCACAGCCAAATTCCAGCTAATTAATGTCATATTGTCATCTAATCCAGCATGGAACCATGCACCCCCACCCTATCATGATTATTCCTTTTTTTTATTATATAGCAAGGCATTAATTAATATTCACTTTTTGTTTTCCTTATTTAAGTCAGTGTTTTGTTGTTTTACTCTTTAGAGATTCAACGAGATTGCTCATGTAATGACTATGGTAATTAAATCGGTGACATGTCGGTCGTTATAATCAGATTCAACAGGTATTAGTTACAAAATCGGTTGGAATGTCTCTTGTATGAGCGATTTTAGACCTCTAAATAAAATGATGTAGTTTTGGAGAGCTTAAATCACAAAAAACTATCTTTTGATTTGTTCCTTGAATTTGAAAGTTAAATATTGATGCTATTTGTTGGGTTCAAATATGAATATATAGATGTTTATGTTACTTTTTAGATCCAAGTTTTATTCAAATATGAAGATTTTTCATTTTTGTTTGGAATGTAGTAATTTTATTTAATTTAAATATGGATAACATTTTAGAGAGATTGTCGGACCACGTCACTTGTCAAACTGGTGTCATGGTATAAACTGGTTTGACAACCTCGGTACTCGGTAGTGACAAATTATAATCTTTCATTGATAATGCAGTTGCAATGGGACAATATCATTTGGGTGTTCTCGGTATTATTGTTGTAAGGGATGTCAATGTATAGACTTGTTGGGTAATTTGACCTAATTTTCATGACCCATGTGGATATTGAGTCATATCCAAATGGACTGGACTCCTGTGCACTTTCAATGGTTTTGTTTTGAATTTGAATTGGGTTCAATTTGGGTGAACTCATTTGGATCAGACCATAATGGGTCTGTTTGAGTCGAGATAATTGTACACACAGAAGACAACAGTGATCTTCTCATCAATTGCCTTCAACGGAATTACACTTTTGATGTTGGTATTTCCACCATTCTGTTTGTGAAAAAAAAAAAATTTAAGACAAAAATTACATTAGAATTGGATATTCAATAACAATTCAGACTCAAACTGAAAAATTTGTATATGAGTTTGTCTTAAAAAAACAAAATAAACCAAATCTTATTTGACTTGTAGTTAGATGGATTTCAAAAACACTTCAGTATTGAGTCTTATTTGCCTCTCTCAGTTTTATCTTTTTTATAAAGGCTTTAATTAATGTTCATAGAGACTCCAGACTAGCTTGATTCCCCTACCATACCATCCATAACTCTCCAATCCACCTTAATCATTAATTAGACGCGTCTGATCATCCTCCCCCTCTCTCATAAATACCCATCCCTCCACCACCTCTCCCCTCAACTTCCAAGAGACTAAAACTTCAATTTCAACCATGGCTGCTGCCACCACCACCACCACAAGGTCGTCGCTAATAATCGGCTCCCTCCTCCTCTCGTTTCTCGCCATCCAGCTAGCACATGCCGATCTCCAGCCATCGCCGGCGCCCTACGCTCCGAAATTCGGTAAGTTTATCATTAAACCGCCGGCACCGGTTAATAAAATAACGAACGACTAATCACAATCTATATCTACGGTGACGATTAGTCCATAAATCCGTCGCTAAAAGTGTTGGTAACTAATTGTGGGTTTCTATTCTTCACAGATTGTGGGGAAGCTTGCACCGCCAGGTGTCAGTTATCCAGCAGGCCAAACCTTTGCAAGAGGGCGTGCGGGACCTGCTGTGTCCGCTGCAGCTGCGTTCCTCCCGGCACCGCCGGTAACTACGAGAAGTGCGCTTGCTACGGTGGTTTGACCACCCACGGCGGCGTCCGCAAGTGTCCTTAATTAAAGTGATTTGTTCCGGTGGCCGGAGAGGAGAGCCAGCTGTATTTCGCTTCTTGTAACTTGTGGGTATGTTTTCGGTTTTTCTTTTCCGGGCGGGGGTACTTTGCATTAAGTACTACTGTCTGATGAGTGTATGCAAATTCGGTTGCGAAAGGCAATAAAAGCTTATAGGGATGTTCTTTGTAATGTACATGTCATGTCAAAGTTTGAATGTTACTTCCAAAGTTGGACAATTTATTGTTTTTTGTTTTGGAATGCCGATTATTTATTTTATTGGGACTTGGAGTTATTTTCTTGGGGAGTTATGTTAAGTTACATGGTATTTGAAGAATTTAATATTTTTGGGTAGATTTCAAGACTTTTTCTTCTTCTTTTAATGTGCTTTCAAGTCATAAGAAAATTGAGTCATTGAGTGAGAAGAGAAGAGAAAATTGAGTGAAAAGGAACATTGTGAAGTGACAAGTTATGAGAACATAGAGTGAAAATTAATTTTGGCATTAAGGTTTTTATGACTTATATGTAATTAATTTTGGCATTAAAAATTAAATCGGTTACGATAGTTACCAAACTATAACTTGTATGTGAAACCTCAATGAAAGGGGCACAGAGAAATTCAATACCCTTATAAATAATGTTAGTATGGTGTTAACACTAAGAGATGTTAGCACCCTATCATAATATGTTATTTATGTAAAATACTAATTTATTAGAGCAAAATCATCCAAATTTATAGAATCTAACGGATGCAAGTTGGTTAGTGAGAAAATCATGTCCTAGCATCATTGAGTAATTCGTAATTCAATTTTACCATACTCAATCGAAACGATTTTGTGCGGGTATTCACGCATGTTTTTGTCTTCCCTGCATTTGTGCATTCAATCAATTTTGTTCATACGTGGGCCTGAGGGTTGCGGCCACTTTGAGGGGGACCATGAAGCCCATCTTAACATAACGAGACATCCAGTTTGGATCTTCGGTAGGGCTAAGGAGAGCAGATGACCGTCAAACCTCAATGAACCCATTGGGCCTACAACTACGCACTCATGATTATTTGAGGCAATTACGTATATACCCAATCCCTTTGGAGCCCAAACAAAGGAAGCATTGTTTTGGCGTATGTTGTATTCCAAATCCAATGCCCAAAGTAAACCACGAAACAAGTGTACAAGACAGTTATATTTACAATGGTTTAGGAAATTCTATTGTACCAGCTGTTCGATTAGAGATATCGAATTTAAGACTCTAAGTCTCTAACTGGTATGCGGTTTTAGTGGTTCAAAATAGTTTAACCACGATTTTATTACAAAATATTATGTCGCTAATTTTTTTGTTATAATTTCATGTACTATTTCACAAACATTGACTTTTTTTTTCCATCGTGCCTTGTATTATCACTACTTTTGAATGTTAAACCTTCCTTTTTCACATACTAGATATTGGCCCGGCCTATTGGCCGGAGACATCGATGGTGGTTATTGAATAAAGTTGTATATGCTTTCTTGTAATTGGTTTATTTATGTTGAGCATACAATATGTCGTTATATCAATTTGTAGTAGGAATAGCAATGGGCAGGTTCAGGGCGAGTATCTCGATGCCCATACATGCCCCATGGCAGGTCGGGTCCATGCCGAGTAATTTATTACGGGGCGCGGGTCGTGGCAGGTCGACCCAATGGGTATGTAATTTATGTCAAAAACATTAGAAATATTAGTTATTCTCATTAAAAGACCAAGAAAGAAACCATAATATGATAAAATCTAGTTAAATTATTGAAGAAATTGAGGTTTTCAATTAATTACAACTTTATTATAGCTAAAATATAATGTAATAAGAGGAGAATCCTAAGTAATTTGACTAAGATTATATGTAATTTAGGCAAGAACGGGTCGAGAATGGGGCGGGTCAGGGCAGGTCGGGTCGATGAGAGATACCCATGCCCGCCCCGCCCCAAAAACAGGCCACACAGGTCGGGTAAATCGGGTCAGGTCGAAATTGTCATCCCTAATTTGTAGTAGTTATTGTCACTGTATTAGAAATTTTGACAAAGCTGATCATTTAGTGACATAAAAGCCTCTCTTCTCGTCGGATTAATTAGCTAGTGACCGACGCATTAGATTGTTTCATCTAAAGTTTATTGTGTTGTATTCTTTTGATAGGTAACCACAATAAAAAAATTACTTGTAGTTAGCCGAATTATTTAGGCAAGTACTCAAACTATTCTTATGTCGATTAACTCTTACGTCGATTTTAAAAGGTTTGACTATATTTTGAAAAAACAACACTAAAAGGTTTGGTTATTAAATTGTTTGTAAAAAAAAAAATTACTAACAAAGTAAGGCAAAACAAAGTATAACTTAAATTAAAGTCAATGAAAAAAACATGAGAGTTGCTTTTCAATGATACATATACAATCAATTTTCACCATAAAAAATGTTATCGTCAGAAGCCTGGACTTAAGATCTCTAAGTGCGCTAATGCCTTAAAACAATTCGTCTTTTTTTTTATCAATTTAAAAACAATTTGTCTTTGATGTCTATTAAATTGGGGTGGGGGGGGGGTACTTGGTCAATTCCTTAAGTTGTAAGCTCACGAAATCAATCTGTCTACAGTTACACTCACCTTGATGATATTAAAGTTCAAACAATTGAAACTAAAAACAAAATATTACCAAGATGTTATGATTCGATGATAGTAAAAATCACAATGACAAAAAGGACATATGTTTTCAATGATGCACCAAGAGAAAAGCTTAATAGGAGAGAACAAAATTGTCACAATCCTAAAGGGCCTAAATTATCAGGCTAAAATCCTCGAATTGTGGACCATGGTCAATCTTCTCATAAACTATGGTTATCAATTTTGCCGTCTCAAAGTTCCCCATGGTCGATTTTGAAAGAAAAAGTCTTCCAATATGATCAGTCATTCTCTTGAGAAGATTTATCATTCATAGAAAGATAGAGAGAAATAGAGAATTGAAAATGGCAGAGTCCTTCTCTAAACTCCACCAATAAGGCCATGGAAGAATCAAAATTGTCATTCCCAAATCCTAGACCTATGAACCTCACTAATCCTTAACTCTGAATTATGCTATCATTAGCTTCTGAAACTGAAACTGAAAAGAAAAGGCATATCATCAAGCACCCATGTCCAAGGCTGGAAGTTTGGTACCGGTATTTGGGATATACCGAATTTGTCTATATTTAGTATTACCGAATACACGTATTATTTTGTGGGATTGGGATTGGGATTGAATTTCAATTGTTATTCGGTATTAGGGATTATGGGATTGTGATCGGTATATACCGAAATACCGATCAATACCGAAATATAAGCTAATGTATATTTTATCCTCTCAACTAAACTCTCTCATTCACTATTACGCGACCATCAAGTACCACCGAAAGTATCATTTAATTATACATAGATCATTACATTCACACTATTATTAGTCGTCTCTCAACCTCAAATTCGTCAAATTAAAGATTACCAATTACAATAACTTGAGATGTTAGCTCTAGGCAACTCAAGACTATTTGCTTAGTCTCTTCGGCCTAAATTAAACGATAAAATCAAATTTATATATTTAATTATTAATTGCAAAGATAATTAATTATGTATTCGATAATACCGATTGGGATACCGAAATTATTTAGGGATTGGGATTGGAATACCGAAATTATTTAGGAATTGAGATTGGGATTGATTTTAGGGTGTAATTCGGTATTCGGGATTTTGGTATTTGGTATTGGGATACCGATACCGTACCGATTTCCACCCTATCCATGTCCCAAATGGGAAGAGTAAAAACTCATGACCTTAGATGATAACAAAATAGTTTTAAACATGTGATTTCCTGTTCTTAATGTTAAAGTTTTGGAAAATAAATGTATGAGCTACACTACTGTGATCCGTATGCTGGAGGATTGGGGCTTTCTTTGTAGCTCTATATATGACATACCTTCCATCAATCTATCGCTTTGTAGTTGGGGCTGGGGCGCAACAGTTCATGAGTCTGATATATGATCTGGCATAACTTCAATCCATCACAACACCGTAGCAGGATAAGGTACACATTCAAGTTGCAAGGTTCTGGCTGATTTGACTCAAAACTCCACGTAAAGGAATCCCGATGCACCGTTAGAATCCAACCCAGAGTATTTTATGAGGAAAGGTAGTAGGGCACAACAACATAAAATCAAAATAAAAATGATGCATCACCCTAAACAAAGAAATTGAACTACTAAACAAAATGTAAGTGTCACCACATCTGAAAATCTATACTGATAAAAACAAAAAGCAAAGCAGGCTTTAACTAATGGAAAAGTGAAAGTAAACAGAGATATGAAAAAGAAAGAGAAAATTCATCAAAATAAAACACAACAAATTTGGAATATGAAATCAAATAAATTGGAAATATTGTTTCTAGCTATCTATACAGTCATATTCTCATCAGACCCCTCAAAGTAAATGAGTTGAGGGTGGGCTATTTAAGATGGAAACACAGGGTTTAATATTATGGTTGTGCACAACTCGGACGGTACGGAATGAGAGAAGTTGGGTGAGCTAGGAAGGTTGGGTAGATTCAGATGATGAGGCGAAGAATAATTGAGAAGCTCCAACTGAAGATTGAGGTTAAAACCTGCGGTAATAATTTTGCTTTCGGTGTTTAGGGATTCATCGAGAGAAGAGGAAAGCAGGTGGGGAGGAAAGGAAGAAAAAGAAACTATAGTAGTCCAGATGCGTATAAGTCAAAACGCACTGTGGAATTTAATTTTGGCAATTCCCTTCAATGCCCTTCCGGGAAACACTCCCAGGGCTGCAATTTTGAAATGGAGAGTTTCAGATGCTTTAAAACGTATTATATATTCTCTAGATTCAATACTAATTTATTCCCTATTTTGTCTTTGTAAACACAATATTTTTCAATTATTTCTATTAATAATTGTCAATTATTTGTAGACAAGTATTTGTTACTATTTTGGAGATCGTTTTTAAATATAGGTTATGTTTGGTTGTAAAATTATATATATTTGAAACCATTAAATTTTATAAAAAAACATAAATTAGCGTTTAAAATAAAAGGTATTGTTATATTTTGGCCAATAAAAAAATGCGTTCCATGTTGAATATAACATAATTTTTTTATTATCCAGGACCTCAGTCCCACGTGTCACGTTGTGAAAACGGAGCCTACTAAATTTTAGGGCCACCTGCAATCAATTTGACACCAACGAGACTTCGCCTCTAACTTCGACTATTACACTGACTTTTACTTTGGATAGCGTGCACCCCCCCCCCCCCACCCCAGCAGCCTTGTACCTCCGAGAACACCAATGGACCTCGCTTGGATTTGAAACTAGGATCTGCAACTTCTAATCCTTCACTGTCGTGACAGATTTACGGTTAGGCTATCTTACGTTTGGTTGACTTTTTAGGATACTAAACAAGAAATAAAGCATATTACACAAATTACACATTTAAAAAAGCTCATCTATAAGTTATTTTTACAAAACATTAAATTAAAAAAAATGCTTACCTTGTCAAACATTTATCTTTGACCAAATCACTAATTTTGTAAATACAGGCAGCAGTCTAGTCCTAGATACATGCTCCCTTCCCTTTAACAACCAATTAGACCCTGCCTACATAGCTCTTAGGACTAGAGCGGCCCCTGCAAGATGATAGAAAATAGGCCCACTAACGGGTGGTCTCGTGGCCCAATTCCAGGTCCACAGGTAACCTACAGCCGGCCCCCCTAATTAACAAATCAAATCAGCCCTGCGGCCCTGCTTGTAATGTCTGGTTTAATCTGTAGCAAAGCAAACCCAGGCACAGGCAGCATGAATCTTATCATTCGTTACACTTGTCATCATTTCACTTTTAAAACTTGTCATTATTGCAGTGTTACAATTTCAATCAACTTATTGACTTTAGAGAAGAGAGAAAATGACGAATTCACGCAGGCCCAAGAGCGAGCGAGCGAGCCCACACCGTACTTTTTGGATGAAGAATCGTCTTATCAGCCCGCCTTAAATGAGAACGAATCCGACGGCTTACAGGACTCCAGGATGTTCATCGAGAGCGAACTGGAGACGTCGATTCTCACACCAGCGCAATAATTACGGTAGCAGCAGCACAACGTCCACGCTGGCAAGGGAAAAGGGGTAAAGCAAAACACAAAAAAGAGGTGTCGTGTGGTGGGGGCAATCGTCCGACGTGGCGGACACGTCAGTCGTCAGAAGATCACATCCAACGGCTGAGAAAAAGCAGCGATTAGAGACCGTCGATTGTGGGCCTCGCCGTGGTCGTCCCCGGATGACGTGACGTGAGGATAGAAACTGCTGTATATATATTGCAGGAAAGAGAAAGAGAAAGAGAGAGAGAGTTTAATTCTGCAGAGCAAAAGGTTGGGATTTTCAGTCTTATTTGAGAGCGACTCCATTCTGCCAGAGTCAGAGCAACAGTTGAAAAAATTGAGAAGTCAGTCCTCGCTCTGCTGCTGCTGCTGCTTCGTCTTCTTCTTTTTCTTCTTCAGGATCCCATTCCATTTCCTCTGTAATTTTCTTCTTTCTCGTTCGGCAATGGCGGAATAGGGAGGTGGGAAGTGATTGGGAAGGGGAATTTATTAGGTTGATAACGAAATTGATTAGGAAACTGAATTGGGTGATTTCAATGGGAGGAGGGAGCGCCATTAATCAGCTGAATGAGAGTTGTGGTTGAAGCTCTTTCCCTTTTTATCATCGCCACCACAAGGTGTTTCACGAGAGTGTGACGCTGAAACCGATAGAGTGAGAAAGTAAGAGAGACTGAGAGAGAGAGAAAGGCGTCTCTCTCTCTTTTCACTTTTCTTCTCTCTCTCCTTCCTTACTTTTTTGTTTGAGAAGAGACGAGAGGCCGATTGTCTTTCTTCCTTCTGCAAGGCCATTTCCCCCTTTTGTCTGCTCCATCTCTTTCGCTTTCTCTTTTCTTTTCACGAAGAGAACCTGATTCTCCTCACCCAAGAGCAAAGGCCATCACACTCTTCTATCTTCTTCTTCTTCTTCTTCTTCTTCTTAATTTTCGTCGTTTCGCTCACTCTCTAGAACTGAAGATCGGACACTGAACTTGGATTTTTCTTTTTCGTAGAGACCAAGCAGTTTGTTTTTGTCCTCACAAAACTTCTTCGCATCCTCCTCTTCTGGAGTCATAATTACTCCCACCATTAAATTACCTTCCTCCTATAAACCTCTACCTTCGCTGAACCGACGTTCTCGTTTCCTTCCTTCCTTGATTCCTGCCGCATTCTGCTGCTAAATGCGCTTTCATTAACTTGTGTTCATTTATTTAAACTCTGCTCTGCTCTTCTTCCGTTTCATTTCATCCGTCCTTGAGAAGAAAGGAGAAAAGGTTGAGAGAAAGAAGGAAAGATCTGGCGGTTTTTGCTGGGTAACATTCTCAGCCATGGAAGCTGTTTCAACTAAGAAGATGAAGATGGATTCTGGGTTTGGTTTGTTATGAAAATGAAGATGACACGCGGAACGAGTCGGTTCGCGCGCCAGATGAATCCGCAGCAATCTGGTGAGTGAATACATTTCCTCTTTCTGGTCCCCGGAAATTTTAAAAAGGATTTGTACAAGAAAACAAGATAGAGGAAGCCCAGAATTTATTCCAATTTGTCGTTTATACTCTGTTTTCTTTTTCTTAAAAACTTTTCTTCTTTGCTGGCCGAGCTTTGAATTATAATATCCATCTAGCAACTAATTATCTATCTTCTTTCTTCGTTCATTTGGAATGCAGCAGCTGGGGAAGATTTAGTGGCGCCGGAGAAATCGAAGAAGGGGAGGATTAGGAGACTGAGCGCCGTTAACAGAGCCAGCAGCTCGAGTTTCGAGGATTCTCCACCTTCGTTGATTATGGGAAAGAGGAATAATGGTAACGTGTGTGACAGAGATGAGCAGCCACAACAGTTGCCTTCTTCTTCGTCTTCTCCTGCCAGTGGCAATTCTATCCACAGCAAGAGACTCAAGCTCCCTAGAAAGGTAAAATTTTCTTGATTTGTAGGGTAACTTTGGATCTTTATATAACTGGGAAATCACTTTCGTTAGTGGGTTTTGCTTAGCGAGTCTTATGCTTTTGTTGTTTCTTAGCAGTTGCTTGATGGCTGCAATGGCGTCGGCCATGTCGCTGTTCCAAGGAAGTTACGTTCAGGTGAGGGTTGTTTCTATCGTTAATTATGGATTGGAATTCAAGCAAAACTGATTAAGGCTTTTCAAAACTTTTTCTTCCTTTTAATAGAAGCAAAGATTCTATGTCTCTTATCTTTTTCTGAGTATATGTATAGTTGGAATGTGGATGCTGCAGGAACTCAAAGACTTTTTCAACTTTTTCGCAATGGGCTGATGATAACCTTTCGTATTTTCCTGTTTTGTAATATTAGTCTTGCATATTTTACCAGTGACCATACTGTATCGTGAAAGGTTTCATCTTTTTCTTCATTTCTTTGACTGCTAGCAATGAAGAAACGAAGTAGAGAGTCTGTCTCTCCACCTCTTTCTGATTCACAGAAGCTGAACCGTGCAACTTGTGGTGTCGAAGAATCACGAAAAGGCAATGGCTTCAAAAGATCGAGACTTGACTTGGTCAGTCATAGTTTTCTCCATCTACTCTTTTGCCAGTAGATTCCTTTTTGCCTTCTGGTCAAGGAATTTAATTTACAGGACAATGGGCCGATTACTAAAGATGAGGAGGAAGTTGCTGAGGCTCTTTATGCTCTGGCTGGAATGTTCCCAGACAATACCCTTACAGACAACAAGTCTAAATTACAAAACGATCCTCCAGATGAAAATACTACAGCCTTGAAGGATGGTACTGAGGTTCTAGACCCTGCAATTGGAGGTAGTATTCTGTAGCTATTTGCTGTTAGTCGAAATATGCTGTCATATTCAAGTTGCATTGCTGACGTGCTTTCTACTTGTCTGATTTGGTGGCTGGTGAACAGAAGAGAATTTGAACTCCATCTTGGGGTTGAGGGGCAAACTTCAGGAGGAAACAGCTGACATTAGCTCTTGGGAGATACCCCGAGTCCAGGATCTTCCTGATATATACAATGGCAGAACTCTACCTGAGAAAATTGTGAATCTTGTTGGTCAAGTAAACATGGACACTACTACTCTGGTGGCTGAATCTGAGAAGGAAAAGAAGCTTGTCTGCAATTCGACTAGTGCTCTCATTCCACTCGAGTCAGTTCTTAATACAGTGTATGCCTATTGACTTCACTTTTCTGGGATTCTTCTTCATTACGCCCCTTTTTTCTCAGTGTTTTGGTGTTTGCATAATCTGATGCTGTTCGATATTGCAGAAACAAGAAGGTGCCAACCAATCCAGAACATTGGTTACTTGGCAGAACGATAGAGGTTTCCTTGGAGCTGGTGAGCTCAGTCATTTTTTTCTTCTTCTTTTATTAAATGACAACTTTCCCTTAATTTGAACTTTAAGTTTCCTCATCGCAAAATTTGTGTTTAGACCACTGCACAAGGGCTGCAACTGGATAAGCAGCTTCCGGTCAATGAACCAAAGAAAAATGGTACAGCTCACTTGCTTTGAAACTCTAATTTCTTAACTTGCTCAAATGCTACTACTTCTCGATATATACATTCATCTGTAATGATTTTGGGCATTATCTCTTCCGAAAGGTCTAGCTCTGTGGCCGGGATTGTCATCAGCAGCATCAAATGGTCCATCTTCTAGTCACAGCCCTTCACTGCAGTAAGCTAACAAAAAAGTGTCATACTGCATAGAATTCTACCGTATTTCTCATTAAAACCATTCTCATGCACTTTCCTTCTTTGGCTGCCACAGATGGTCTCCTGCTAAACTTCCTTCTTGGCTGGATGCAGCGGTATCTACTTCTAGGCTAGCAGCTTCCTCTTCGAAGGTAAGTGCTTTGTTTTCTGCTCTTACTTTGTTATCTCCATGGTGTTGTGAATTATGTTTGCATCTCATTGATCAATAGGTCAGTGACAGAAGACCATGGAGGAGAAGCATGATTCACGTTTGCATAAGCCGTCTCATACAGACTTTACAAACCTCAGAGGACAAAGACAGCAATCCACCAGCTAGAGTCGAATCCCATGAGATGTTGAAGCCAGGATTATCTATGACGCTAAGTGACTTACATGACACGAGGAAGGGTTTCACTGAAGTTTCCTCAACAAGTACAAGCGAATCAGCTAGAGAAGGTATCAGTCTGCAACCGAGGATGATTTGCTACAATCAGTCACAACCCGCTCTCTTTCCTCTTGGCACGTACAGTTCTCAGAAGCAGCAGGTGATAATCTTATAAGTTTTCTGATTCCTAGCTGTTGGAAAAAACGCTCTATCCCGACTACCCTCTAATGGCATTATGCTTTCTCTCCACAGAACTTCAATTTCATGTCCTTTCTGCAAGCCAATACAAGTTTCAATGAAGCCACAGCAAATCAGGTTTTCATTCGTTCCTTAAGAAACTCAAACACCTAGAACTTCAGTTCTTCTAATTGTTGCTTATTTCATCTGTGAATGTGTGAACTATAGACTCAACTTCATCCAACAACGACGTATCTCGGCAGGCCACTGTATGCTCCTCCTAACCTAACAACTCAGCAACTACTACTACAACACCATCAGCAGCAGCAAGCACAAGTTCTTCAATCACAGCTTATGGTGGCAGCTCAGTACAGGTCAGCAGGAGCTTCTTCCCCTGCAGCACCATCGCTGACACATCGTTCCACTTGGCAGAACAGGAAGCAAGACCCAACAGCAGCCGGAGCAGCGATAGCCATGCCATCATATGTTCGAGCCATCATCCCACCACACGATCATCAGCTTCACGTCAGAGTGAGAAGGCAAGGCGATGCCTTTCCATCAGGTTATGAACAGGGTGGGGGAAGAGGCGGGTTTAGAACGAATGGTGCAGCAGCAGCAGCAGCACTGCCCCTGCAACTACTCTGCGATGAACGTATATGAGCAAAGAGGGTTGCTTCACCTGATCACCATTGTTTCATTCATTGTCAGTGTGAAACAAACGTTGGCCGCCCCACCGGAGGCGATGATTGAGAGGGCAAAATTGGAAGGGAAAGGGTGAGAGATGGGTTTCGGGCGAGGGAAAGCACTTCCTCTTGTACAGCCGTCTTGCAAGGATGGCAGAGAATTCACACAGCCAAAAACTATATATATGAAACAAAATTTTGCATTCACTGCTCTCTATTCTCTCCATGATAGCCTGCTTCCTCGCATCTCTCCATTGCGCTCAAACTAGTAACTAATGAAACTCTTTCTGTGCTATTTGCACTTGTCAAACGTTTTAATTTCATACCTCAGGGCTCAGTCTCAGTCTTGGTTGATGTTAACGGCCGGCCCTAACATAGTCCGGTCCGGTGCACAACCGGATTAATTTGAAATTGAAGGTTTCATAGTTTTTTTAATAGCAGAAGTGTATTGGATAAGAGTATTCAATTTAAGAATTTAAGTAGAAGTGTATTGGATAAGAGTATTCAATTTAAGAATTTAAGTATACGTGAGTTCGATGAAAATGTTGATTCCAATTGATTAGATTAGAAACAATATGGAATAATAGCAAAAATATCCAATGATTCCAATTGATTAGATTAGAAACAATATCGAAGAATAGCAAAAAAATCATCAACACAAGATAATGGTGACTCAAAACAAAATATGAGAGTTGTGATCAATAACTTAACTCTATATGAGTTTAGCATGAGTAAAATTTGATTCTTTCAATTAAATGTCTTATGCATGAGGTGATGATATAATAAGCCAATGTTAACAATTAACACTAGTAAGGCCATGTTTGTTACTATTTTAAATTATTGAGAGTAACTACATATCTAGGTGAGTAAGTTTTCATTTTTTAAGATATTGGAGTAAACCAAAATATCACTTCAACACAACCTCAACCCTAAATTGATGAAAAGATGAAGGCAAATGGACAAAGAAATCAAATTTAGGTATCGTTCGGATTAATGATTTTTTAGAGGAGAGATTAGAGCCAAAAGTTTCATTTCGATAATGAGGTTCTTAGTTCAAAGACATTTGGATAAATATCACGATTTGGATTGGAATTGGAATTACACAAGTTTTTAATCTAAATCTCAAAATTCATTTTTACCAATATTTTCTTCTCTCACCATGAAGCAGCGGGGGAGGATCAGCAGCAGGAAGTGCATAAGGAGCTAACACCGGGAGTGGAAACACTGTGCCAGTGACCAGATTGGGGCCGCGGCCCGTACCAAACGGGTTAGTGCGGCTCTCTCCGGCCGAGATCGAGCAAAAGAGGCGAGAGGGCAAGTACTTCAATTGTGATGGCCGGTTCACCATTGGCCATCAATGCACGAAGCCGGACCTGATGATGCTCGTCGGACGCTGGGTAGACGAAGTAGAGGACGCGATTGAAGACGTCGAAAATGGAGAGGAGGAGACCCAGTGAGCTAGAGGAACAACCTTGGGGACAAGGTTGCTTTTCGAAAAAAGCGGGGATGATGAAAACTTACACTTTAGTATTTTGATTTATTGTCGGTTTATTGCTATTTCGGATCATTGGAACTATTTCGGGAATTGGAGAATATTTAATAAGTCAGGTAGCAGTAAGGAATTATCCATTTTTATATAAACTACTTGTTCGTGGGATTAGACCACTAAGCAAGATTAAACCTAAAGCCTAATTCCTAAACTCTCTCTCTCTAATGCCTCTGTCGACCTCCCTCTTCCAACACTTCCTTGGCTGCCGAGCAGCATTCTGCTTCTTCCTTTCCTTTTCCCAATTCTTCTGCTTCTTCCTTTCCTTTCCCCAATTCTCCCCCACTACTTCTTCTTCCATTCCTACGAACCCCACGAATCAACTAGATAGAACTCTCAACTAGATAGAACTCGACTCTCCGGGTTCTATCAAATGCCGATGCTTGGCCAGCCTCCATGCGTGAACTATAGACTCAGCTTCATCTGCAGACCACTATATGTTTCTCCTAGCCTAATTTACCTAACAATTCAGCAACTCGTACAAGACCATCAGCAGCAGCAAGCACAAACTTTAGGAATCTCTCAGTTTCTCGTGGCAGCTCAGTACATGGTTGTAGCCGGAGCTTCTACCTCACTAGAAATCTCTTTCTCTTGAACAACCATTTTACCAGGATGCAGAGAACTCACACAACCAAAATCATATACATGAATCAAAATTTCGCGTCACCGTTTTGTCTTTACAACTTGATATTTGTATACAATTGACATTCTTTGAAACGAGTGAAATTCGGGATAGTCGGAATCAGAGAAACACACAGCTGACATTCAACATGCGAAAGAATTCAATGCCTAACGAAATAAAGCATTAATTTTCCCTATGATTACAATGCTTGATATGGTGAGGGGGAAACCGGATGTTCAAATGGGAAGAAGAAACTGGATATTCAAATGGAAAATCGCAGAATTGGGTGAACTCCACTCAGTAACACTCTTCAGTAGAGAAACACTATATTTACTCCAGCTTCTCCAGCTCTCCCATTCTCTCTATGATAGCCTGCAAATTGTCATCGTAAATCTCATAATGCATCCTAATTTGACCAATTACTCGCACTTAAACCTCGTATTTAGTATCTACAACTCTCACTAAGATCAGATGTGACAAAAACTATTCATATGGAGGTGTCGGTATGAATTCCAGCATGCCAGAGTATGTAAAGAAAGGTAAGAGCATAAGAAAAAATGCATACCCTCTTGCTTGTTTCTTGGAGCTCTCCAGCAAGAATGAATTCATCAAGTATCAAATAAACCTTCAAGAGAGCAAAGAAAAACACCAAAATGAGAAATGAGCGGCACAGAGTGAATGCATATACACGGATAACGGATTCTATAACTGGGACTCCTCTCACAGAGAGAAGACCTTGCAAATCAAGTGAAAAAATAAGGGAGTAGCAGTACCTTGTGGAAGTTAAAGACCAAGTCAAGCTCACACACATTGCTGAAGAAATGATCCAATATCTCGACGAACAAATGGATGCATTCCAAATAAGCCAACTCGTTATCTGTTATATCCACACATAGCGAGAAGAACAATCCAGCGTACCGTCGGTAGATCACCTTGTGCGTCCGGAACTGCACCATGGGGGAAAATAACCATCATGTAAACAAGGCTAACATCTAGAGCAAGACACTGTAATAGTTCTGACTATATCAAGACTAAGAGATAAGATAATGGATTGGTAGAAATGAATACAAACACACATTGCCGCAAGCTTAATCACAAAACTTAGAAGACAAAACCAGTTGAGCGATGGAGGGTTTCCTGCTGAAATCAGAAAAACATCCCTCAAAATCACCCAACTGAGAGCTCTAACATCAGTTCTTCCTAAGTTGCAGCCGAATTTCCACAACATCTATATCTTATTACAATGATTAAACATCAAGCCGTTCCATTTATCGAAGAGATCCTAAATGGGGAGAGAAGAGCAATCACCAACCTCAACGAAATTCGTGAACTTGGGATCCCGATTGACCACCAGCCGATGAACCTAACAGGAAAAGAACAATAATACATCAGCAATTGGAAGTTCAAACCAACGGTATCATCCTAATCTGCCCCTACCAATGAAGCTAAGAAGATGGAGAAAGAAACCCAGGATGAAATGACGATGATTCACGAACTCACCTCGTACTCGACTTTGTGCTTCTCCGAATCCTCGAGAGGTACATAATACTTGGCGAGACGAGTCTTCCCCTGCCTGTTCTGTAGAAGTATGAACCGGATCTGCCAATCAACATTACAGCAAAACAAGCAATGCCCAGCTCAGAAATCAATCAAAGAAAACAAACGACGAGCATTGTGTTACTATCGAATAAACACAGTGTGATTAAATGGAAAGGTACCATTTTTTTCAAACGAAGGTACGGATCGCCGGCGAGTTCTACGATGGAGGCCGGAGTTTCAGATGGCGGAAGAAAGGAACAACTCTGCCTTCGTCTTCTTCTGGCTTTCCTTCACTTTTTTTCTTCTTCTTTCTGAATCGTGAAATTTGTCCAGGAGCAGATCGGGTTGAATTTTCCGCGAGAAAGGAAGACCCTAATAGACCAATTATTTCGACTAGGGCTAGAGGTTCGGTTATCGGTTGCCGGTTAACCGGTCGGTTAAACCGATAATCGGTGGTTATCGGTTAACCAAAAATTATGTGGTCGACGGTGTTCGGTAGGGAAGTTAGATGCGGCGGTTAACCGGCTAATCGAGGGCGATAACCGTCAGTTAACTAACTAACCGACGCATCTAACCCCCCTCATTTTTTGTAAAACGACGCCGTAAGAGTCAAGACCTAACCCTAAATCCAGTCACCTGCCCATCTCGTCCCCTTTCCTTCTCTTCTCTGCATCGCGACGCGATGAGAAGTCTCTGCCGCCGCTCGCCTGCCCTAACTCTCTTCTCCCCTGCCTGAACTGTTCAGGCTACACGGCGAACGCCAAGGCGAATCTCCAAGACCCGCGCCCGGCGCCTGCTACTCCGCCATCTCCCTCCACATCCCGCGCCCAGCCCCTGCTGCTCCGCCATCTCCTCCCTGAGACCCCGACCAGTCCACTAGCAGCAATAGCCGTCGTTCTAGCGTCGCCAGCCATAGTCACAACTCGCCGCAGCCACAGTCCTCCGCCGCCGTTCCTCCGTCGCTAGCCATAGTCCCCCACCGCTGTTCATCCGCCGACCAGTCCACCAGCAGCCAGCTGTCTTGTTGCGGTTAACTCGGTTAACCAAGCAACTAACCGATAACCGACCAGTTGGTTGTCGGATAACCGATGGGTTCCGTCGGGCGGTTGGCGGTAGGCGTGTTTGTCGTCGTGGTTAACCAGTAACCGACATTTCGGTTATCGGTTATAACCGAGATAACCGAAAATTCAGCCCTAATTTTCAACAAAGGTTATCAAACTTGATTAACTCATCAGGTCGGTTTGACAATTGGTTTGAGATTTAAGGGTCGTGTTAAATTTTACAAATTTAAATCGGTTTTAATATAATTTGTAAGAAAACTTAATTTGACATATTTTTCGAAATAAACATATATATTACAAATTTATCAATCCTCATCTTCAAACCCGATTTTGACTAGTCGGACTACCTGATTTTAAATGGTTTAACCCAATTTTGACTTGTCAAACTCATTTTCACTTTTTTGTTTAACCGTCTAACCGAAGTGTATTCCAACCGTTTAGATGAATGGTTCCCGTTAGACCCGGTTGAATCGGTTAGCTGGATTGGGGTTTGAGAACCTTGATTTTCAGCATTCGGATAATTTAGGGGCTTTGGAAATTCCAGGTCAAAGCAGTTTAAATTGCAAAATTTAGGAGAAGTTATAATATTAAGTATTAACCTTCTTCATTTCAAATGTCGCAAATGGTACCATGAGTACATAGAAATCATATTAATTATACTCTAGACGTCCACTTTTATACATTTTGGGGAAAGTGTAACGTTTATCTATACTTTTTTCTATCGAAGATATCATGATAGTATGAAAATATTTTATGACCGGAGAAATATATCATAGTTAACATAAGTGATATGCATGATGGTAAAAATATGCAAATCGCCATCTAATATGGTCTAGCACTGTCCGTAAGTCTGTCACCACTATAGTAGAGGGTGATAGAAGGTAATATAACTAGCAAGAATTTTTTTTCATGAAATATATTGAGAATGAATATAAATTCATAGTTTAGATAGGTGATAGAAATATATTAATCATCTAACATGGTCTAACAAGGTCCGTGAGTCTGTCACCTCTCACCGCTATAGTAGAGAGGTGGTAGAAGGTGATATAATTAGTAATGATTTTTTTTTCCTGAAATATGAGAATGAATGTAAACTTGAATATCATATTGATTCGTCATTTATTGGAGACGATCTAACATTTCTGGTGACCAACTAACAAGGGTTTGGCCTAGTGGTAATGCAACAAGCCTAGAAGCTGGAGGCTCAAGGTTCGAATATCTTAAATATTACCTTAATGATAACAAAATGAAACCTATACCACCCTCATTAAAAAAAACATTTCTGGTGACCATGCACATTGATCATATGAGTTGAAAATGCAACACACAAGAATAATTAAAAATATGGAATTATAAAAAAACCACAATATTTATGTAAAAAAACCTTCTAATTTTCTCGTAAGTTTCCACATCTTTTATTTAGCTTGAAAAATATATATGGTAATTGGTAAATAACACTAGCATGCGTGAAAAAGAAGAAGAAAAAAAAAAGCGATCTTTCAAGTTGAAATCATGCGTCGAGTTCGGACATAAGCAATATGCTTGTCTCTGGGAGGAAGAGAATCCACAACCACATCCACAGCCATAACTTTTCTCATCCATTTCAGCAGCTCAGGAACTCTGTCCTCAGTCATCAGTTTCAGAGAATCCTCCACCGCCATTGCTTCTTGAATCACATCAAACCAGTAAGCCATAGCAAACGCAACAATGTCAAGCAACCCGATTCTCTCCCCTCCAAAGTAGTCCTCCCCGCTCCCCACCAGCTCCTTCTCCAGCATCTTCAGCTGCTCACCCACTTGCCCAATTATCCTCTCGATATCGCCCCTGTCTTTAGTTTTCACGCTCTTCGCCGCTGTCTGCAAGATCTGCACGAATCAACGGTCAATTAGTTTGGGAGCGGACGTACAATTCAATTCAAGCATATAAATATGGCAAACTCTCATATCTTTACCGTTTCTTCGATGAACTTGATCCAGAATCGAGCGGTGGATCGAGCGAGGGGATCTATGGGGAGGAGTGGGTTGCTGTTGTTGTTCTTCCATGTATCCTCAATGTACTCGAGAATGACGAGGGATTCTGAAATGGGTTTGCCATTGTGTATAAGGACTGGGATCTTGTTGTGGATTGGGTTGGATTGAAGAAGGAGAGGGGATTTTTTGGAGAGGTCTTCTTCTATGTATTGGTAGGGTATGCCCTTCAGTTTAAGGGCTACCTCCACTCTGAATTTGTAAGGGCTGGTCAAAACCCCCAGCAGCTTCACCTCTCCTCCACTCATACTCAGAAAAAGAAGGGTTGCAATTGAATTGAATTGTGTCTTGTGATTTGTGCAGTTTCAAGTTTGCTCTTTTATAAGGACTTTCCTACTGGTTTGAACTTTGAACTCAGGGGAAGCCAAGTTTGACTTCCTGTGACGTAGCAGATGACCTCTTTTTTATTTGAAGATAAGATGGTGCCCAAAATTATGGCCCAACAAACCAAACTCACTTGATCACACCCCTAATAGTGGCCAACTTATTCACAAAACTCTCAATCCAAAACCAATAAGGAAAAAAATGGCCAAAAGGAATATGGAAAGGAGCCCTTTAAAACATTCTAATGCTCGTACTTGGAGTTGGTAGCAGCCAAGAGAGCAGCTCCAATCCCAGACCCGTCTTTCGAGTGCTCAATCACAATGTTTCTCGAAATTTCTGACCCCAAAAGCTCTTCAACAGCCCTTTGCATATACCCTCTATACTGAGGGTAATGCTCGTAGAGGCCACCATCCATTGCCACGACAGTTTGCTTCCCGTAGATCGAGCCCTTTGAATCCTGGTCCATCTTCTGCAGGATCCCCACGATCCCGGCTCCTGCTAGCCTCCCTCCTCGTTTCACAATCGCGTCGCAGACCTCTAATGCCACTTTTCGGGAGCTCAGGTTGGACTCCACCTTGTAAAGAGAAGTGATAAAATGTAGGCATGAGGTGAGTTGCTTTTTCGAGGTGATTAGTGACTTTTGAAGGGGCTTGAAGTTGAGAACATTTTTTCAATTACCTGGGTCGCATTGTAGAGAATAGAACCAACAGCTTGGAGATCGTCAGAGTTGTCTTGCTGCATTGCACACAAGTCCGGAGTTCTGTAATAGCAGTAGTTACATAGTTCATGACGAGCATTAGTGTTTTGTTTGGAAAAGGTTCCGCCTTTCTGGTACACAAACACCCAAATGGAGTTTAGAAACTGTTCATAACCTGAGGATAAAAGGGGTGGTTAGTTTCTCTGGGAAACTTCTGCCGAACAAATCCCCTTCTTCTGCCATCTTCAACAGCACTCTTCGAGCGATTTCACCTAGATACATCCCAGAGATCGTCTTCTCAAATATCTGTCACCATTGCACAATGAACATCAACATTTACGGCATGTTACCTGCATTGCAGAAGTCACATTACACAAGGGACAAGTCAAAATGCCATGAAGTTTTCTTTCTCACCTGTTCTCCCGGGTTGATACTAGCAGCATCCATGTCTCTATCGAACACAGTCAATGGAATCCCATTTGAGAAAGCTCCCCATTCGGTGTTGATAATCTGAACCAAGATGAATCGAATCCATTACACGTTTTATCAGCTAGATTGGGGCTGAAATAAGGTAAGAGTTAGCTGCACATACAGTCATTCCTGAAGCTGACATTGTACCATTTAGCCTTGGAATTGCATCAGTCCTCTCTACATAACAAGCATTGGTTCCGGTACCCAAAATGACTGCTACCATGACATCGTCGTCCCAGTACCTTGCTCCGGCCAATGCACCCACCGTGTCGTTGACCTAATTCCGTTCAATCAATCCCACATAACACAATCACAATCCTAGTTTCCAGAACAAAGATCATCACCAAGAAGTACATAGCAGCATTACCAGGGCAGACACTCGCATGTCCAATGCTTGTCTCTCCATTGCCTCATTCAAACAAGCAACAACATCTCGTCCAGCCTGGTAAATTTCCCACGAAGATTGGAAATCTAAGCTCACTAAAACCAACTAAAGTTCACTGAAATTTGACTGTGATTGAAAGAGAACAAACCGTTCCAGAAACTGAGAAGCCCTTAGTCCACTTCATGAGTATGCCAGAGTCAATGGAGGTTTGCATTACTGGGAAGGAGAATGTGAACCCAACCTCCCTCTGCCTCCCATGTGGCAACCTGAAATTCCCACCTTCCACCTCCGCAAATGTCGCCAGCCCATTTGCAATGAAATCGAACAGTTGCTGCACATAAACCAAAAATTAACAAACACAGACAAACTATTTCGACACTAGGATTCAAAATTCGCACATTAAAAAAGATTCTTTTTAGAGCAAGGTTCACCTCGGAGGTTCCAGACATGAGCTCTTTGGGGATGGAGACTTGCTCTGACTCAGTAGCAATCACTCTCTCTTCCTTCCCTCCAAGCTGAACTCTCAGCACCCTGAAATTCGTCCCGCCCAAGTCCAACGCATAGAACAATCCCTTCTCATTTCTTATTTTTCCCGAACCCAGAAACAAACACGCAAAACCCAGATCAGAATCGCGCCCAAAATGTCCAAAGATGAAAACTTTATCCCTTTTTTCCCCCTTTCTTTTGAACAGAGTAAGCAAAAAAGTTGCAATTTTTTTCTTACCCGCTGGGCAAGGCGTCGACGTAGCTGAGAATCATCTTAAGGTCACTCCCGCCTTCGACAGCCAGCCCGGCTCGCATGTCCTCTGTCATGGCGTCCGCCACGTGGCGCAGAACGGGAAGCGGAGTGGCGGATTCGTGCTGGAGGTTTGTCAGGATGGTCCCCACGCTGGAGGCATTGGATTGCAAGGCGCCGGCCATCATACGAACTCCGGCAGCGGGTATGCGATGCGGCGGAGGAGGGATGCGGAAGAATCCGGCGGCGGAGGTGGTGGTGGTGGGAATTGACGACATTGTTGGGGTTGGGAGTGTTCAATTTGGGCGGTAAGATCAAAGTGGAGGGAGAGAGGAAATGTGAAATGATCATATGAGGCAGAGGCAGAGGCAGACAAGGGAAAGTAATTGGTTTAACCGACGGTGACCCTACAATATTCACGGAAAATATAGGTGTCCGTTATTTATATTCTATATATATAATAATAAATGAAATAAAGATTTGGTCATTTGGATCCAGAAATTGTATTGGGCTCGATGTGGTAGTCCGAGTCCATCAAATGACTTAGGGCCCACTACAGAACCACTGATACGGAAGCCCAAAGCTGTGCAATGAGGAAGAGGAAGCACAGTGGAGTTTCAGTGTGTTTATTGCATTCTTCTAGTTGAATTGTGTTAGGTTGAAACCCATAGTAAATATTTCATTTAATGCACGTATATGTATCCGTACATATTTTATCCGTTTAAAACTTTAGCATTCGTATTATATATTATTAAATCGTTTTATTTTTTTTGTTCATTTGATGGCTCCCGTACTAAACACGTATAAAACCCGTATAACACATTTAATATTCATATTTAATAAATTAAATAGTTACTTTTATTTATATATTTAAAAAAACTAATTTATATATTTATGACTATTAATGTACTAATAAATATATCATTAGTTTAGAGACGAAGTAAAATATCCGCACATATTTTATACTTAACTTTCCCGTACCCCATTTTACTAACTACGATCCGAAGACCGTCCGGGATATGTGATAAATTTAACCAAACGTTATATGTAAATTGACCTGAATTAATAAATTTACTTCCATTTAGATGAATCACTTATTTCATTCAGCCATATCACTAATTGGAATTCAGATAATTCTATCCATTTCCCCTAATAGTTTGAAACTTCCATCACGAGGGATTCTATAAGCAAAATGTGGAAACGGAAACAGTGAATTAGAAGAATTGGGAATGCACTAAGAAGTGCCAAAAACTGGGGGTGCAACTTATTGAATCTGCCCATCTAAGGGAAGCACCATTAGAGAAAGCTTAGGCTGGTAGGCAGGGTGCCGGCAGATATGGGTTTTCCTTGGAAATTGGTGAAAGGTCACTCTCTAATTTCCTACACCATTTGTATCAAGAAATATGCAGTCTCGTCAGAAATCTGGCACAACCAACACAACATGTAACAATACACAACCTAACAAGTACTAACAACATAATAATACTCAACCTTTAACTAGGCTTGCTTTTTTTTTTTTTTTTTTTTGCCCCAATCGAATTTAACCTTTGAAGATGTTCTCGTCCTCCCTAGATTATTAGGTGTGTTGACATACATGTAGAGAAGTAATATTCAAGAAAGTATCAACCTGAAGCAATGCATCAAGCGGACGAGAGATGATACAGACACGTCGAAAGTTATGAGAATTTGAACTCAATTTCTCTCGTTTTGTTGTATGTGTATTGGTTGTCCTTCATTATCAACATTCGCGATGGTTGATTAAAAGAGTTCATTTTTTCGAAATCTTGTTTCACTTGAATTGGATGAAGTACATATTGATAATGTCAATATATTGTAGTGTTTCTCTATCAAGACAGTAATTTTTTTATTTATGTGAAATAAATAATGTCATGTAAATCAAGAATGATTACCCTCAACCAAATCATAGGTTCGAATTTTCGGCCTAACATCATTGAAATGAAACAATTTGATGATTGAGGGACTAATAATTGAATAATTGATTGCTAATGGTTTCCGTTTCTCTATCTTGAACCATAATCAATCGTAAAATAGAAGAGGAAATCAGAAACCGGATAAGGAACAGAAGAAAAAGAAGGCACTTGTCTCGCACACAACAGAGCAGCAGAGAGAACAAAGGCAAGGGGATTCCACACATTCCAGTGAAGTGGACGCGAAGCAAAGAAGCTTTCTTCCACATCTCCTTTTTGCATATTTTCCTTCCTCACAAGAACTGCGACTTCCCAACCCACAAGAACGTCGTTTTCAGTCTCCTCCAACTTTCTTTATAAGAAGTAAGAACTCCCTCCCGCCACAAAGTTCTCTGCTCCTTTTCTGCCCCCCTGAAAGTGATGGGAAGCGACGGCGGAGCAGCGGCGGGGATGACGAAGCGCGCGGAGGTGGATACTCGGCAGCCGTTCCGGTCGGTTAAAGAGGCCGTCACGTTGTTCGGCGAGAAAGTTCTGGCCGGGGAGCTCATGTACTCCGACAAGATTAAACAGGTACCACCAACGAGCTAACCCATTATTTTCCTTAGCTTCATTTTGCGCTCTCGCGATTCCTGATTGCATAAGGAAATTTAAGGGAATTAATTAGTTTATTAAACGTCGCCACTTTATCTGCCCTGAATTCGTATCGGTCACCTTTTAGATGCAGACGGGACCATCGGAGTTGGAAGAAACGAAGCAAAGCCTGGAGAAAGCCAAAGAGGAAAGCACCCTCATGGCAAACTCCATCTCCCTCCTCCGACAAGAGCTCGAGAAAACGAAGCAAGAGCTCCGGCAGCTGAAACAGAGGGAAGGAGTCAAGACGAAGCAATCGACGGCTCCGATTCGGCAGCCCGAGATCAACGGCCAGGACGTGAGAGTCGTGGAACCAACAAGGTCGTCGTCATCATCGTCCTCCTCGAACAATAACACTAGTGAATTAAGTCGTCGTCATCCTGAGGTAATGGAGTTCCAGAAGAAAAGGTTCGTGACGTTTGCTAATCCGCCATCTCTAGCTCAGGTCATGGTTCCTCCAACGATCGATCACCATCACCAGACGCTGGAGAGACATCCTTCGCTGAGGAGGAAGAAGAAGAAGCCGTTGATTCCTTTGATTGGAGGCTTCTTCTTCTCCTCCAAGAGAAAGGGGCATCACGAAGTTGCTTGATTGTGATTGTGTAATTTGACTAATTTCTTCCATTGTAAGATGATGATGACTTCCCATTTTGGACATTACTTATGGCTTAATTTGAAATCACAGTCACTAATAATAAGTTCAGGAAGAAATGAGAGATACAAATTAATAATGTTATCTTACTACCCTGTAGTAGTATTGCAAAACAAGGGTTTCAGGGTTTCATCTGGCATTATGAGTTATGAATCATCCATCAGATTTGTTGTACCTTGTGTTATCATGAGTTATCACTATTAATGTTAAGTTATTGACAAACATTATACTAATAAAAACAGATAAAACCATTGAAATAAATCGAGTTAGTAGGTATGTTTTCAGAATGAAAATGAACATTGTTTATTCTTCCCCACATCGATGAGAGGCCATTGTCAAGCTACCGAAAGCATCGTCCAAGTACCAAATTGCCACTGAAAGGGACCGCCTTAATCAAAGTACTCCTTAGTTCAATGTTTAGTTACACTAATCCACTCACTTTTGTTGTTTTTTAGCTTCATTTAATTTAAGATGAGTACTCTTTAACTGCAGAGATCGATACTTTTAACACAGAACTTCGACATATTGATCGCCTCATGTCCCACTTGTGTAGCAAACAACAACATGTTGTTTTGAATTGGCTTTTGTAAACGTTTAGTGGTTTTCCTCATTTAAATAAAACCCAATTCTCACTTGTGAATTCAAGCCAACGGAGAACAAACTTGGTGTGCGTGAAAGTAATGCAATTGAAGTGATAAAAATCCTAGATTTGACTAGTATCGTATTCCACAAGGTCTTCTAATAATAACTACTCATAACCAATTATCTAATATTCAAACAAAGATACAACAAAAATTGATTGGATGAGATTCCTTATGTTTAGTGATTTTCAAGATAAAGCATAAAAACAAAAACTAAATGAAAAAAATAATTAAAGGATACACAATTGATGAGCATACATCTCAATCTCAATAATAGTATGCATCGATGCATCTTCTATCATGCAACCACCCTTCAACTAAAGCATTCTTAATATCTTTCACCACATGTGAAGGAAATATAACTATGGATTGGTCGGACCCAATGTAGTAATAATCTGATAGCTAATAAGACGAACAGTAGCAGAGAGAGTTTCAGGCCTAAAGGATGAAGCGACATGAGATGCTAGAAGAAGTGCACAGGTAACCTCTAAACGCATGTATGTTTTTACGTTCTACAAGAGCATTTTGCTAGGAAACTAGGGACAATACTTGTAAGTAAGAATGCCAAGAGAATTATACGAGTTCATACATGGCGGCTGAGACAAACCAAAACCACCTCGGTCATGAGGAGATAATGGCAATACAAAACATAATGGTAGTACAGAACGACATATTAATCTGGAACCCTAGATATCACGTGAAGACGTGAAGATAACATATTGTAGAGAGACAACCGTAAGAACTTGTACATGTGGAAAGCATATCTGAAAGGAGAACAGATCTCTGGTGCTTTGACAGAAGGACAAAGCTTCGGTCTCATAAGCTTCTGCTTGGTTTTGTACTATATGACGCACAATGACTTTTGCAAATATTCTTGTCTCACAAAACATATAAATAAAAAACAGTGGAGTATATATAAATTAAGAAATAATATTATGCTCAAATTAAGTTTTCCATTGATAATATGAGAGAATTGTCACACATTGAAGTATAATAAAAAAAATAAAATTTGAAATAAGAGGACTTCAATTGTGGAAATTAAATAAGATGTATTTGAAAAATTATCATCATTAGTGATTATATTTCCCATCAAGATTAATAATAAAATAATAATATACATGTAATCTATTATAATTAACTTACAACGGGCAATGTAGTTAAAATTCGGATTTTGATCTTAAAATCTTACGATTTTATGATCTTACCCATGAGTTCCAATCCTGATTTTACTGTAAAATCTTTGAACCTTAAAATCCCAAAAAATCAGGATTTAAAACTCTAAAATCCTTAAAATTTACGATTTCTACGATTTTGTACGATTTCAAGGTTCATATCAATTGGAGCAAAATTAGGCCGGTCAAGTCGGGTTGTTCCCGTGAACCGAGTCAAGTTTACTTACCCCAACCCAACATAATGAACAACACAACCCTAACCCGATAAACAACCCTCACTTTATTTTCATTCTCTTCCTCGTATCTTCTTCTTTCGCACGTCGACGCCCAACTCTTTCCATCAATGATATCTTCCACCCTCCCAATTAGATTGTAGCTTGTTCCCGCCACCCTCACAATAATTCAAATCTCCATTCCATTGCAAGCTTTCGTTCATCTCTCAATCCTACAACACCACTAATCCCGACCTTTTATCAAATAATAAGGGAATGCATCAATCAATGAGTTATCTTTGCCAGATGATGGTGATAAAGGAAATATGGTTAATGGTGAAAGTACTTCAAGTGATCCTAAGAGTAATGATATTAGCCCTCAAGCAAATAGACAAGGATGAGAGTGAGGGTGAAGGTGAGGACGATGACGATGATGTGTAAGTGATGTTAATGTTGATCCTAATATGTGATTTTCTACTCTTAACTATTAATTAAGTGATTCTATAAAAAAACTATTAATTAAGTGATTTCTACGAGGTTTTAGGTTGCTTATTTGTGTGTTTATATTATGTACAAGAATAAATATACGGATTTAATTGTGTTTATTTAGCAAACAAACTTATATTGGGAAGTAATTATGTTTTATGTGGTTGATTGTTATTCAGGATATGAATTTTTATTACAATATGGTATTTTAAGTGTGTATTTTAATATGAACCTTAAAATCTTATGATTTTACGATTTTAATCTACGATTCCGATTATACCTCAGTTTTTAATTTTACTTAAAATCTTGATTTTGACTGCATTGACAACAGGTATAGTTTATAGGAATGACTTTTGCTACTTGGATCATCGTGCCATCGCTATTTGTAATCCTCCTTTCCTTTATTTTTCTCTCTCACTTCAAGTGAAAAGATAAATAGTTGTTATCTCACTTCATTCACTTCCAAAAATGGTTTATTGCATTCACTACCAGAAATGAAAGAGATCTTTTTGGACAAATTAATTGCTTTTGTTATCATAAATTCAATACCATTTTCAACTTAAATTATAAGAAATTAACTTAAACCTTATAAAAGTTCATTCATAACATTGCTACTACATGAGCAAATATATGCAAAATAATAATAATAATAATAATAATAATAATAATAATAATAATAATAATAAGTCTTGCTATTAATGAACAAGATACTTTAGCATACGACAAGTACACGACTAGTAACATTTTTCACCATACCAATTACACATATCTTAAATATTTCTGTAAGCATTTGCACTTTGTTCATTAACGATTTTTCTTTCATGTTTCCACTTCTTAGAAAAAGATCGACTCTTCAACTTTTTATTTTCTACATGTTAATATATGAATTGAAAAGCATGAGATGACACATATAAATCGAGAAACCAACAGAATATTCATACAACTCCTGTTGCTTTGCTTGGATACTAATTTGGTAAGTGTTAATCATCTAACTGATTACTCTTGTGAATGAAGCATGTCCTAGAATGTGAAGTTAAGTTGATGATTGATAACATCGTATTTGCACATGTTTGCACCCTCGTTTCTTGATCATTTTGGCTCGAATTTGTTCTTTCTTGGACTATTTTTATGCTAGGTTGTGTTCCTTTGTCACATTTCAGGTCCTAGCATGTAAATTGAAGCAAAGGCGCAAGTTTCAAGTCAATCGGAATTCATTTGGCAATTCGGGAGAAGAAACACGAGCATGACCTGAGGAAGAATGAACTTCTACCTCATATTATGGACAAATAATCATGTAATCTTGTCATGAAAAGATAGAGGACAAGACTACGAGCGTCTGGGATCAAACGGCGACTGATTCGGAGTCCGGACGAGGGAGAAACGAAGCTGTGAACAGGAGCGGAGGAAGAATTACGGGCAGGAGAATTACGACCGTATTTTCCCCTCCCATGCCCGTATTTTCACTGCCGAGAGGAGATTTGGGTGCGCTGAAACTTAACCAAAACGCGTGTTTTGGGAAAAATACGGGCATGGAAGAATTACGACCGTAATTCAGCCCGTAATTCGCCCAGAATCGGGTTTTTGAGGCAGATTCGAGCCAAAGGAAAGGGAGAGCTGGGTTTTGGTTCCCAAACACCCAAGGGACGAACCCTAGAGAGAGAGAGTGACTTGGGAACATTCTTGAAGCTATTTTGGAGGATTTCTTCACCATTGGAGCTCGGGAATCAAGCTTGGAGATGGAGATTGAAGATCTAGATCAGATTTCTGCAGTCTCTCTCTTCTCTATGGAGTAACTTCCTTTCACTTAGGTTTTGAGGAACCCTAGTTCCATGTGTTAGGATCTTTCTTGTATGAAGTTTTGGATGCTATATTGTTTGATTATAATCGATTGAGGCATGATTTATAGAGTCAATTGAAGCCTGATCATCTTCTCTTGATTTCTGCTTTAACCTATCATAGATAGAATCTGATTAGGTTAAGAGAGCTTCCTTGATTGATAGTGGTGAATTGGTTGTGCGAGAGTCAATCAATTTCACTGCTTTGTACTGGAATTCATTCCAGTAGTGGAGATCTGTGTGAATTGCCTTAGCAGTCTATCCTGGTGAAGGCTAGTCGCCTGCCGGGTATTCTGTCTAAGAGGGCTTGGTCAGCTTAAGAGATTCCAAGCTAATTTAGGATCTTCCGCAGTTTAATCAACAGTAGATCAACCAAAGGTAATTGCAACTTGGACCTAATTGAGGAGCTAGGGGTAATCATACCTAAGTGAGTTCCCAACTTGTAATTAGTAGAGTAGTTTACAAATCAATCCTTAATCTAGTTTGCTAGATAATGAACTGAAGCTGAGTAATAGTAACTCTAGAGACCCGTGGATTCGATATTTATTACTTGTGCCACTATACTGCAGTCCCTTTCATTGGTTACACTTGGCCATTGTTAGGTGTTGTGTTTTAGCGAGTCAATGATAAATGTAAGAGAAGATTCAAAGACAAAAAAATAACAATGAATCTTTGCTATGCTGATATTAAATATGGTGATACTCTTTTTTCTTTATGAAGATAAAGTAGATCTATTAAAACCATTGCAAGTAAGAAGCAAATTAAGCGAGACATATTCGTGTAGCATATGACTTAATTAACTATGTACCCACGACATGGTTACTTAAGAAGAAAAAACTAACCAGTGGTATTTTTTTCATTTAAGATCATTCAAAATCCTTTGGTATATATAATGAATTTTATCGAACAATCTCAGAAAGTAAAAACTTGTGTTTCATTGTTGTTCTCCATTACGACAATATACAGGCGTATCACAATCATGTTGCTGAGTTTCTATGATTTTATAGAAATGCAAGTGATGAACAGAAAGGAGTAAGTATGCAATTTATCACTAATCATCTGCTTTCCAAGATTTAAACTGAACTTAACATGTTCTTATTTATTTGTTTATATGTAAGGTTTTGCAGTTTCTTACAAAACACAATTGAGGATGTTGTATAATATCTAGCCACATGTTTTTGTTTGATGAGTAAGAGTTCGTCAAGATTCTTAGATATTTACAATGAGATTCATCGAACATTCTCAAAAATAAATTTTTTTGTGTTGCGTTATTAAGTTCCAGCCACATGTTTTTGTTTGATGAGTAAGAGTTCGTCAAGATTCTTAGATATTTACAATGAGATTCATCGAACATTCTCAAAAATAAATTTTTTTGTGTTGCGTTATTAAGTTCCTACATTTCTGTACGAATGCAAATGAGCACTTCTCGAGAGAAACAAATAAGTAAACATGGTATCTGTAGACACCACTTTTTGTCCAGGTTAAAATATTTAATTAAATAAAATTTCATTTTGTTTATGGTTGGCAATAGCAAACCTTAAACAATCTTATAGCTAAAGTTGGGTTTACAGTTATTTTTGTAATGCTTGATCGATTGTATTTGTCTTGTTTTAATAAGATTGGCAATAGCGAATCTTTGAACGTTGGTTTGAGGCCACATTCAAGATAGTATTGGATCTCCATGTTGGGTTTTGGCTTTTTTTTATCCAAGATAAGCCCCCAGGGCATGGTCGGACAAAAAATATATAAGAAATGCAACACTAAAGAACGGTAGCCAGTATGCAACCAGACTCCCGATGAAAGAGCCTTTTTTGCCACAAGGTGGGCAGCTCTGTGAAAACTCTGAAGAGCAAAAAGACACGAAACTAACTCAGAAAGAGAGAAAGAGAAGAGCACTTCCCCATAAATACCCCATCGGGGAGTGATAAGCATTGTTATTGCATGAAAATGCGAAAGCGAAGGAAAGATCCCCTGCAGGCCTCATGAATGATCAGGGTCAATGGATCACGGACGAAGGACAATCTCACGCCCTCGAGCATCCTCCAAGTTGTGTTTCTGTGCTGGAATATTTGGAAAGCGAGGAATGAAATTGTGTTTAGGGAATCTACTCCATCACCGTACAATGCCTACATCAAAGCTTATTGTGAGTGCTAGGAGTGTTCTACGTGTCCCAAGAGGTTTGTTGTGGATCATCTTGTTCAGACTCAACCATAAAGGCCCCACTCTCATCCTTGTATACCGCTAGGCAATCCCGTTATGGAGATTTGCTGTGATAAATAATTTTTACATGATTCCCAGGAGGTGGCATATGGTATCGTTATTATCAACGACCAAAGACAGATTTGTGACAAACGAGCTGACTCAGTACTTTGCTCTTCACTCATAGAGGCATAAGCTTGTGCTCTATTGGAAGGTTTGAAGCTTGCTCAAGAATATAATATCCCGTGTGTGGTCAAGTCGGATTGTGATGTCTTAGTGAAAGCCCACTTCTCTTGTCCCTTGACATGGCCATGGCGTTGCTTGGCAAAGCTTGCAACGATGCGTGAGATTCTTAAAGCAACTGATCCTATCAAGGTGGTGGCCATTATGCCCCGCCTTAACGTTAGAGTCGATTGGGTAGCCCGGCTCACTCCAATTTTTCACATGATTGGATAACTATTCTTGATCTTATATTCTTATCTCAAACTTGATCACATGTGTGTAACACTTTATCTTCGTTTGGTTAAGAGATGAAAGTTTCTTATTGCCAAAGAAAGAATCATGTCCTTATATTGAAACTAATTGCATTTTCTTGGATAACGAGGTTCGATTCGCAAGACCACAAGTCCCAGATATCAGGAGGACCTACCATCCACACCAAAGGTTCTGTAGCAGCAACAGGAAACAACATGCAAGAACCCTTCAAAATGCGAAGGAGCAAATTATGTCTTCCAAGAATAAGTCAAGAAAGAAAGATTATAAAGATAACAGGAGATAGAAAAATTATCATCATAAATCACGATAGAATGCATGTAAGTTGGAAGTAAAAAAGACAAACAAATTAACATGATTTTCATGAAGGGTTCAGGACTAGTCTACAGAAAGTGTTTTATGTATTCAGCTTGTTCATCATATACCTGCTACATGTGTTAATATATACCTCTAAAACCCTAACCCATAGCCATATGCTATGACTACTATCTATATCTATGTATACATACATGGGTCGTAGGTTACAACATGGGCTATGTGAACTCTTTCACACGTAGAGTTCTGTACCTTTACAACGATGATAACCAATCTCACGTAGCTCTCTTCCCACAAACTAACATATAAAGGGATTGCTATATACAAAACTCACTCAAGCAGTTCTTCACTAGTCTTTGACTCAATATTTTCAATAGCTCATTGCTCAAGAAATTTGTAAGCTATTGAGCTATGATAATACTTTTTTTTATTGTTAAGTAAGTTATTAATCATTTTAATTAAATTCATCATGAAGTACAACCTTCCCACCCTTCTTCCCCTGCTCCAAAACACCACTCTTCTTCTCCCTCATTACTTTCTACAGCAATAATACTTAGTTCCTTACTCCTACTCTCATCGCTGCTCCATTTTGAATCTGGAGCCCAATTCTTTCATTACCTACCGATCACAATAAGCGCGAAAATAAAGAAACAATGGCTGACAACAGCGTTCCTCAGTCGGATTCAATGTAGAGCTCCAGAGTGGCGTGGGAAGGTAGCAGCGTGTTGGTCGACGTCAACGATGGCGACAAGCTCATTTTCTCTCGTCTTACCTCGGGAGCGTAAGTGTTCGTCTTCGTCTTTCTCGAGCTATGATTGATTCATTCTTTGTGGCTGGATGATGCCTTAGGTAGTTTCCTCGATTGATTTTTCACAGGACATTGAAAATTGGCAATAAGAACTGCTCTTTGGAGCCGTTGATTGGCTGCCCCTACAGCTCTTCGTTTCAAATTGAGAGCGCAGGCGACCGCACGTATTTGGCTCGAGTTACTCCATCAGCAGAAGGTTAGCTTCTCTAATGCTTGTGCTCTCTGCTTCGTAGCATTCCTCTGTTAGATGATCTTCAATTTTGAGCTGTGGTTTTGGTTTCTTTAGGTTTTGCTTCTTCTTTGTAGAAAATAATGATGTCCAAGAGAAAGGAGAATGTGAAGTAATGGACGAATCGAGGGACAATCGAGCTTTAGTGGATGATAACAAAGCTCAAACTCTTACGAGAGAAGACATTGATGAAATGCGCAAGTGAGAATTGCTACTTTGTATAGTCTTTTCCTTGAGTAATCTAGACTTGGCCCTGATGGAGGCTTTTTATTATTTGGTTTAGGCAGGGTGCGAAAGGCGATGAGATGATTGAAGCTCTAATTGCTAATAGCGCAACATTTGGGAAGAAGACGCAGTTTTCTCAAGTATGTGGTCTGTGCTTGTTGAGATTTCAGAGGCAAAATTTTAAGAGTTTTGCTTATGTGATTTTGATATCTTTTTTCTCATAATTGCAGGAAAAATATAGGCTTAAAAAGCAGAAGAAATATGCACCCAGAGTACTCATGAGGAGACCTTTTCCACGAAGGTAGCCATCTATTACCACCATTCTGTTTCTTTTCCCTGTTATGTTCCACACAAATTAGCCTAGTTATTGTTTAATGCGGTGTTGTAAGGTAAATGCTTTTCCAGTTGGATTTTCCTTTTGGTATGTTGTATTTGAAGAACCAACTGATTTTCACTAGATATTATCTTTGGCATTTTCCTGTGTCTTGTTTACATAACTCACACTTTGTTCCTTTTGTTATTGTTTATTGCAGCATATGTGAGGCTAACTTCAATAAATATGGTTCCAGAATGGAGTAATCTTATAATTCTTCTGTTAGTTGATTTAGTATGTATATTGACTAATGTTGTTCATTTGTTTATGGAGCAGATTTTTACGTGTTGACACGCTATCCCTGCTGCTGTCTATGGCCGATGTTGGTGCAAGCTCTGATGTTCTTGTTGTCGATATGGTTGGTGGCCTACTCACTGGTGCTGTAGCAGAACGTTTAGGAGGTTGGTGATAATTTTTTTATCTACTCATGTGATACATCTCACCACTTTCACGTCCATTTCCACTTTCCATGAATGCTATTGGTCGTGGACCTATGCTTTTGGTCTCTAACCTAGTCAGTGATTGTGAACAGGTACTAGTTTTGTCTGCAATACATATAGTGGAAGTGCACCATATTCCATGAAAATAGTAAGAATATTCAATTTCAATGATGAAATTTGCAAGAGGTGCCTCTTTCTTTTTCCTCTCTTTTGATATACTTATCCAATCATGAAGTGTTTAGGAATTGTATAATGGCAATACTAAATGATAAGCAAGGGGGAAAAAACTAATATTTCCTGCTCCAGGATTGTGCGAACTCATCTGGATAACCTATGCTTAGCTCAGCCAGGAACTTCTGGGCAAATAGATAAGCATGAAAGTGAAAGTAATATAGAACTACAAGTCAATATCTTGCTCACTCATCCCCAATATAAAGTCTCATGTTCTTTCCTTAAATGTTCTTTTTGGTTATCAATACGTGCAGGAGAAAACTTCATCCATGAATGTGGAAGAGATGCCTATCTCAGCAGAACACGAGGTTGCTGATTCAGATACCAAAACTACTCCAACTATCAAAACAAACAAATCACTTAAAGCTGGTGAAAATCCATCACCTGAGGCATTTGATTGTGGAAGGAGAAGGGTTCTCTAGGTATACTCTATAAATCAGTGGTTTCATTGATGAATCATAAGAAACACACTTGGATAAACGCTGACTTTGTAGTGTCCGAACTATCTGCAGTCTCATAATTGTTGCACCTGATCTAGATCCATGGAGTACGGTTAAAAGACTGCTTCCACTTTTGTCATATTCCGCTCCATTTTCCATCTACCACCAACATCTCCAGGTCAGTTTCTTCAAACTCACTCAGAATATCTACACCACTGTCAATTCTCCACAGATTATAATGGCCATTCACTATGCAATACAACAACTTCACATGATCATGTTCCCCCACCCCCCATTTTCCCAATGCAGCCTTTGGCAACATGCATGCACAATTTACAGGTCGAGAAAATGGTGATTGGGCCGCAACTATCTGAACCTTGGCTTCGCGAGTATCAGGTAATGCAAATTCTCCAATATCATGGAATCAACAATAGTCACTTGAGCGTGTGACCTCTTGCTAGTTTACCCTTCCTAGCAATTTTACCAAATAAGCTCTCTCATCATTCACAAACATTACAGGTTCTTCCGTCCAGAACTCACCCGTTCATGCAAATGTATGCATTTGGTGGATACGTCCTAAGTGGCACAAGGATACATACTGATACAACTAATGGAGGCACACTGAATCGTGACACGGCGACGCTTTAGTGTTTAGTTGATGGCTGACTAGCTCGAGTTTACATTTGACTAAATTCTGAAAGGTTTAGGGTCGCAAGTCGCAACATTGTACTTTCCATCACTACATTAGACATTTCACCTTTTTGTAACTTTGATCAGGTGTCATTTATGAACCGGGTAGAACGCTGAACGTATCATTCCTTGTGCCGCTAAACCATTAGGCTTTCAGTTTGTACAAACTTGTCATTCCTTGTACTAAACCATTGTTTATATTGGGGGTCGTCATGAGGATTCAAAACCATGAACTTACGGTTCTAGACTCTGATATCATATTAGCGAACTAACCCCTTGATCTCAATAACTCGAGTTGTTGTAAAATGATTTGTTAAGTCTTTTTCTTTTACAAGTTTTTTTTTACAAGTTACTACCTTAGTTTTGAGGTTAATACTACAGTGCCGCTATAAAAAGTGTGGCACCAGTAACGCACGGATGTGAGGTGACCAAAAGGATGTGAGGTGGCACTGGTTGAATGTATACAATGAGAGCCCAAACTGATTTTCCCAGGAGAACTGGTTCCAGAACTTCATATACTCCAGATTCTTGGTTCCAAAAAATCAACTCCATTGGTGGCTTTTCACGAGTCATGTACTTATAATTGAGTTGCTGTGGTCATTGATGTCATATAATCTGTCATTAGAAAGTGAAAATTTGTTAAGAGGTTACTAAATTATGATGATTTGCCCTGAGTGATTATTGCCCACGTCATTGGATACCTTGCCAATTAGAGCAGACATATGCAACATATGAATCTTGGCTTCCAGTTTATTCCTTATAACTTAAGTGTTTCTGTTTTCATGTTAGCTTCCTGCAATGACATCTGCAGCAACTAGCTACAACTGCATAATTTCACCACTCCGTGTTCTTATTATTCAAGTCAAAATTGGAACATACAATCCAGCTCAGAGTATAAAAGACATTATGGGAATTGATCATACAATGACATTCAATTAAGTCTATGTGTTCTTGGTTTTACTTTATCTTGCAAAAGCAATCCAACTGTAGAGGGCCTCAACAGAAAGTTCCCAGCTCCTATGTCGAGCTCTTTTGGGATACCTTGTCTTTTAGGTTCCAATGGTGAAAGAACAAAAAGAAAGAAGACATAAGACATCAAATTTTAAAATGTTTCGGGATATTTGCAGATCATGGAGCTCAGCCTGAGACCATATAGCCTAGCATAGTGGACTGCATAAATTACTCTATACCATTGACTGGAATATCGAACTTTCAGTTTGTCTCCCTTCATTATAATAAAACAAACATTCATCAAAAGAGAACAAAACTTTTACAACCTCATTCAACATCATAGAAAGCTTCTAGGCGCACAAGAACAACAAAGCAAAACCATCCTAACGTACCAATCGTACCACGAACACAGTAATCAACCTCACAACCCCTTGTAGCAAAAACCTTGTTGTTCTAAACTCTCTCTACTAGACTTGTTGCACATTACAGACTAACAGCAGCCCACAGCCAATTACAACCATCTCCAGTTAACATAAGAAATAAAAGCGTGAACTGAAAGAGGTAAGGGGAGAATAACAATAGATAGGGATATAGTATCGATTCCCCTGCTGCTGGATAAACCCAGGACGACAAATGAACAACAAAAAACGAGCCTTCCGATCCCTGACTTACAACTTCAGAGCGAAAAAAGGAACTGAAACGACGACATGATTTTCCTACCTCTGTTTTCGTTTGGTGGTTGATCCTCTGTTTTCATTTTTTTTTTTCTTTCATAGAAATATTTTCTATTTTCTGTTCCATGATTTTGCCGAAAAAGCAGATATCTGAACTTCAATTTAATTAATTAATTAACATTGAAGTTGATCCTTTCGCTGTTAGTTTTGGACAGGGCTACAAGCCATTTGGGCCATTTCTAACGGGCATATAGGGTTCAGTCTGTTGGAATAAATTAAACAAAATCAGTGCTACATAAGCTCCACGTGAACCAATGAAAAGTTGTGTCACCAGTGCCGTAATTTTAACAGCGGCACCGTTGTATTGGCCTAGTTTTAAACTAGTAGTGAATTTCTCTCGTTTTAAACTAGTAGGCCTCGGCCCTCAAGGCATGGGTCGTAGTTACGAAACTATGGGCTATAGAATTAGCCCAATATGAGTCGTCATAAAATTTGTGCCCAATAGAACTTGGCCCATCTAGTTAATAAAGCAGAATAAACCTAAACGGCTAGACCTGGAACTCTTGGAAGTCGGGATGTCAATCCAACCCGTAACCATGGGTATCCTACCCGATCGTAACCGGTCAACGAGGGTAATTACTCGCTTTGACGGGTTAAGGGAGGGTACGGGTAATACCCGGTTTCAAAACAAAGGGTAAGGTACGAGTATGGTAATCGATAATACCCGCCCTGTTATACCCGCCACGCTAACCAAAGGGTCAATTTCCCTAGCCCTAACCCTGCCCACCAGTTGATTTTCCTTGCCCTCACACAGGTGAGGTGCTTGCTCAGGCTCTTCTTAAAACTTTACTTGCTTGGGATATCGACACAAAGGTATCTACGATTACCTTGGATAATTGTTCTACTAATAATGCCTTGATGGATGTCATGAAGCATAAGTTAAGCAATGAGCATTTGATGTGGTCTGGTTCTAATATTGTCTTTGTTGTTTTTGTTTATGTGTGGATTGTTGAAACTAGAACAAATATGATGTATTGTGTTTTTGTTTGTGTGGATTGTAGAAGCAAGAACAATTATTATGTGTTTGTTGTTTTTATTTGTGTGGATTGTTGAAGCTAGAACAGTAACAAGTATTGAGAATTTTTAATGGACAACAGTATGTATGTGCATGTATGTATATAAGTTCACATTTTAGGATTCATACTCATGGTACCCGAATACCTGTGGTTACCCGATGGGTAGGGTATGGTTACATCATTTTTATACCCGGTGGTTATTTGGTTGGATATTTTAAGAGGCTCTACCCGACGCGTTAGAAGTTGGTATAGTGTAAACTCGCACCCGACCCTACCCATTGCCATCCCTACTTGGAAGGACTAGGAGTAGGAGGAGAGTTCCTTTTTTTTATTCTTCTTTCGTTGTTTGTGAAAATAGGTATCACAATTCAATTCACAATTTCTCACAAACACGGAGTTATAATAATTAATCAAATAAAAATATGAGGTGACAGAAACGTAATATATTTTTTTTTATATGAATGAAACGTAATATTCTCAATTCCTATCTACTGTGTTTTCATTAAATTGGAAAATTATTTCAATTTTGCGCTTTTTCCGTTCCACAAGGAAAAGTCCATTCCGCAAACTAATTGCCGCCTGTTTCAATACAAAAACTCGAACTCTCTCTTCCGTTCCGCTCCTCTCGCCTTTTTCCCTCCAACTGCCAACAAAACCCTTCTTCGCGCCTCCCTTCCCTTTCTCTCACTCTCAATTCAATGGCCATGGCGACCAACTCCGCTCAAGATCCGACGCGTTCAGCTCCGCCGTCCCCTTTCCACTTTCAGCTCCTCCATTCCCATCCTCACCTCCACACTCCGAATCAAAACGTCGCCACCGCCTCTCCTTTCCCTCCTTCTCCCAATCGAATCTTCGCCTCCCCTCTCCCTTCCGCCGACGCCGGCGGCGGCATCGCTCGCCACTGCAGCAGCCTTCTCGCTCCTCCCCCGACGGCAGCAACGATTCTCCACTCGCCTAATTCGCATTCTGCTCTCTCCGTGAGTTTTCTTTTCGTTTTCTTCTATTTGACATCGTTTCTGGAATCTTCTCGGTGTTTCTTTGGTCCGGTTTCATTGAATGAATGCTTCGGCACCAATTTTTTTCGAATTCAGCTTCGCTTTGTTAGGAATTCATGTAATGGCGGGCTTTGCCTCTGAACACTGCTTGCTTGAAATTGAAAAAAGAGGGAAGGACTTTTGGAAGAAGGAATGTGAACTGCCGAGTGCTTATAGTTATACCACTGAGTGCTCTTTTGCAATTTTTTAGTGCTTGCGGTTTCTAGAGTTGGTATCAAGTTGGGAGGTTAATGAAACGAATTTTCATGCTAATTGCTTGCAGTTTATCACTAACCACACGAGTGAGGATGGTAATTACAAGGTTCAAAATGGAGGAGGAGGAGTGGTGGAAGTCCCTAATGGCTTCAGTCCAGTCAAGGGGAAGCAGCATAACAAGGTGAAGGTCACAAAACAAAGCAAGTTGGCTGGGAAAAAGTCTAACCCTGGTAAGTTTTTTTCTTTTGCCTCCTTCTAACTTCTCATTTCAAGAGCTCAAGATTATTTGCGTGTTGTGATGAGCGTGAGTTGTCTGCTATATGTGCTTCACTTGGCAGAGTCTGTTGATGGTCAGAGCCCAACCAGTGGCTGCAGATACGACAGCTCTTTGGGTAAGCTGTTGACATATTTTACTGCAATTTCTCATGTGGCTGCTGTAAGTCTGAACGTTTGGGTTCGTGATTCTGCTGTGAACTAGGGCTGTTAACGAAGAAGTTCGTGAAGTTAATCCAGGAGGCCAAAGATGGCACCCTTGATCTCAACAAGACAGCAGAAGTTCTGCAGGTATTCAACACATGTACCATAGTGCTTTTGGTGCATGAGATTCTGTGGTAAATTTGATGTTGGGATTGGGTTACTAATTGTTTCAGTCCCTTTTTGGTGCGCTTTGCCCGTTGTTCGTTGTTATCAGGTTCAGAAGAGAAGGATATATGATATCACAAATGTTCTGGAAGGAATAGGGTTGATAGAGAAAACTTCTAAAAACCATATACGGTGGAGGTAATTACCCTTGAATCTTCTCTCAACCTTTAACATTTAGCTTCATTCTTTTTGTAATTTGAAAATTTGACTGATGTGAGATTTATATATGGATTAGGGATTCTTCTGATGGTTCTGGGACAAAGGAGTTTGATTGTGATGTCAATAGATTAAAGGTATGGATCAATGAATGCTACATGAATTTCACTAATCATGCTTTCTTTTAGAGAGCTGTGTGAAGAATCAAAACCTTACTAGTTTCACAAACCCACCTCAACACTTTCTTCTGCGCAGGCTGAAGTTGATAGTCTTCATTCCGAAGAATGCAGGCTTGATGAAGCTATAAGGTCTGTTAATGCAAATGGATTAAAGTTAGTCATGTTTATTCTGGTTTTGTCCACTGCAGTTGGATTAAGTTGATCATGTTTCTCGCTCTCTATAGGGAAAGGGAAGAAAGCTTAAGGCGCCTACAAGCGGAGAAAAGCAATCAAAAGTATCTCTTTCTGACTGAGGAGGATATTATCAGCATTCCCCAATTCAAGGTCCATGGAATCTTAGTTTAATCTCTGTTAACTGCGATGCAGACATGTTTCTCTTTCTCCCCCTAATTAATTAACTTGGTAGTAACTTTGACTGATAATGTCACAGAATAGCACATTGATGACAATCAAAGCCCCTCCTGCTAGTAATCTCGAAGTTCCTGATCCTGATGGTGACCAGGTATGAACTGTTTGCCTGCGTCGATAGATTTTTTCGCTTTTCGTCTCATAGTTTATCTACCATCTGCTAAGCAAACTGTTAAAAATGAACAGGACTTGGGCTCCCGCCAACACAGAATGATCATTAGGAGTGTCACAGGACCAATCGAATTGTATCTCCTGAGGTATATGACCTTTTTTTTTTATTTTTTATGTTTCTAACTTCTATTTATAGCTTTTCCAAAGCATCTTCCTTTTTGGCCTTCATGTCCACTTTAGAAGAAACTCAAAAAGTGACATGCTCTTCTTATTTGAATAGCAAGTATAATCACCAAGCGACGGATGTGGTGGAAATGGACACCTGTGACGATGCTAGACATAGTTGCAGCAATTCACCAAATGGCTCTACTTCTCCTGCATCTTACACGCCTGGGGTTCAGAGGATGGTACCTTCTTACAATGATGTAAGTATCAATCACATATGTTTGTCGATCGCATCACTTGTACGATAACGAACCGCTTCATTAATAGGCTTTATTTTTTCTTTGACGTTTTATCATATTCATCAATGGCAGAACTATGATGACTACTGGCTGCAATCGAATAATGAAGTGTGCCTCTCTCAGTTATGGCGTGACTGAGTACTGAAATGTAACTGTGCTCGAGTACTACATCATGTTATGACTTGTATCTGGTAATATCCCATGATGAAAAGAGTCTCTGATCTAGGTATGAATTATTAGCAGTGCAGCAATATCTGAGGTGATTCTTTTTATAGTTTTAGATCCTGGTGGGGGAAATTAAGTGTAGATAATTAGCTTATCCAGGGCTGATCGCAGGGCTTACCAAATAACAACCCTATATCAAGATTAAGGGTTCGTAGTGAGATTCGTTCAAGTATTGGGCCATATAGGAAATTTGTTATTGTTGCATTTCCAATAACAAAAAGGATGTTCCTTTGTTACCAAAAAAAAAAAAAAAAAAAAAGATGCTCCTTTTTTTTTTATCACAGTTCGGTGGTTGATTCAACTAGATCTTTGTTCAAGATCACAGAAATATGGAAGTACTTCCTATTGGTGTTTTCATTTTTCCATATCCATTTCGTGGTTATACCATAACAATGGTGGAGTTAACTTATGGTTCAGAAGGTGTTGTATCTCTCTTCAATTTTTTATTAAAAGTATAATTTGTCTTTTTTTTTACCAAGTAATATCAAAGTACAATAGTTAAAACCTCTACCCAAACTCCAAAAAAAAGAGAACAAATAGAAGAGCCACCCTACAAAATCGAAGGACGTTATCTCCACAGGGGATAGCAGCACGGCTTGTCTTGCCACTCTATGGGCAGCCCAGTTGACAGTCCTCGGGACCGAGCTAAAAAGAATACAAGCAGAACATGAACTCAACAACTGAAAATAATAACGAAGTAAGGGCCCGCCCACTGAGTCTTCAAAGCACCTGCCTTCAAGTTGCCGGATAACTACTTCTAAATCACCTTCGATGATGACGAGAGGAATATCGCGAGAAAGCACTAAAGAGATGGCGTCCCTGGCAGCCAGCATCTCTGCAAGATAAGGGTTCGAAATTCCTGGATGAAGGAACCCCAAGGCCAAGAAGACTTGCCCATCCGGACCTCGAGCTACGATGCCTGACGAGCTACCCGCATCTCGAACAACAGCGTCGAAATTGATCTTGAAAAACCTTCAGGAGGACCAACCCAACTGGAAGGATGAGAGGGCTGCAGGCGAGGAGGAAGGATCTGGGGGAGGGGGGAGACAGAGGAGTATTCTTGAACTTGGAAGAAGAATTGACGGGCAAGCGAACTGGCTAGTGGTTGAATAAATTCAAACACCACTTTATTTCTAGATTTCCAAATTCTTCAAAGAAGGCAAATGCAGGGGAGATAGTGGATTTGGAAGCTTTCCGAGTTCATAACATATCGCCACCAGATCCCAAAGTTTTTAGTTGGGGCGGAGAGAAGTAAGCTACTTAGTCCCACCATATTCCAGAGGTGAAAAGCAGGTGGACAATGAAAGAAGAGGTGTTCAATACTCTCTTGACTATCCCAACAAACTGGACAACGAGCTTGACAGTTAATTCCCCGGGACCTAAGAGTCGTCGTAGTTGGCAAAATAACTTTCAAACATTGCCATATAAAGAACTTGAGCTTTGGCGGGACGTCGAGTGCCCACATTCTTTTCCAAACAGGAGGATCAATGATATTAGCCATCGATTTTTGGCTGAGCATTAAGATATTATCCAAGGTAAGATGATACCCTGTTTTTACCGAATAAGATCCACTTTTGGTAAAGTGCCATACTAACTTGTCTTGTTGAGGAAGTATGGGAACTACCATATTACGAATGAGATCAACTGAATTTTCTTTGAACCAGTGCCTTAATTTAGGAATATGCCAATCCCTTTGAGAAAACATGCGGGGTCACCCGTGGGTTTGGGTCGATTCGCCTGCATTTTATCCGAATTTTGTTATGTAAGTGAGTCTGTGGGTGGGTGACAGGTTGTGCTGTGAGGCATTCACCGCGTGATGGGTGGGTTGTGGGCATGTGCGCGGGTGACCCGAACAAAGTTGTTTGCGTTAGAGAGTGGAGACACTGACGGAAACTAGTGTTACTAATGGAGATTGAATCTCAAAGCCAATCTTCCAAAACTTGACTTCCCTCTTCTTCCCTTTATTTTTTTCTATGATTCTTGTGCCCAAATCACCTCTCTTACCGCTGTTGAATTATTATTTTTAGTTTCCTACACTCGATAATCATTTCTATCCGTAGAGAACACCTCCATAAAATTATTTCTATCCAATTTCAAACTAATTCAACATTTTTTCTTCTAATTCCATCTTCTTGTTTCCTAGTAACTCTCCACCAATTATCTTGCCACTTGAAGTGATTTTCAAATTTGGAGGGTGAATGGATGTTGAAATGGATTTTTATTTTACATATTGACATTATACAAGGGGTTAATTTTCAAATTTGGAGGGTGAATGGATGTTGAAATGGATTTTTATTTTACATATTGACATTACACAAGGGGTTCAGAAATATAAATCGATCTTGTCAAGTTGACTCATTTATATTATGCACATTGTGATGTGGATGACCTGAAAACCCACCGGCATCACCCGCCATCCACCCGACCCAACCCAAAACTAAATGTGAGTGGGCGGTGGGTTAAAAATTGTCAATCCGTTTAAGCACGAATGAGTGCATTTTGTGAGTTTGAGGAAGGAGGAGTTTTATTGAAACAAAATAGAAGGATTACACGTAGGAGTTCCAACGAACAGATAACAAACCTTAAGAAGAAATCGATCAATGATTTCTTCTTATACAACAACACAAACCTGTCAATCTACTTCCCAAGCTCGATTCAAAACCAACACTGTGAGTCGAGCTACCGAAGAAGATAAAGAAACTGAACCCAATATAGAAGACCACTCTCTACTTAATCTCTCCGTAAACTGTCAGTTTCTAACAATCAGATGAGCAGGGTTTAAATAGAAGGGAAGCAAATGACCCTTTACATAAAGGAATCTACACAAGCTAGCCTAGAGACCGGAAGTCGTCCTGGGTAGCGACACCTTTTGAGAGGAACGAAGAAAAGGTGGAGCTAATGAGAAGAAAAGTAGGTCTTCAAAGATGGGTTGTCTTTGAATGACTACGAGAGACGACATGGAGAGTCGACAGTAGCGAACGACACCGAGGAGTCTAGAACGACGTCGTGTTTGGAAGATCAATCGACAACAGTGAAACGCTGTCGTGGAGACTCATCCAACACATTTTATGGTCAAAATTCACTCTAACCACCCTATGCCCACCTTAAGTATACCGTACTTGTAGCCTTCCAAATTTTAAATTAATCTGTGTGTTTCATGAACAATTGTAGCAGTCTGTCATTTTCAACCCTTTTTAAGTTTAAATCCAGTTTTGCCAATAGGCCTCTTAACGGAATGGGGCATCATGATCTCGGTTTCTGTTGGGCCTGATAGGCCATATATCTCTGCTTGTTACGGATGTTTGCGTGGAAGGATTAGTTACAAGCAGGCGCCGTCGAAGTGGAAGCCAGGCAACGTAACGACTCACTCTACGCATTTTGTCCAATGTCCAGGCCAGTTTCATGAGTTTCACCTAACGTCATGGATTAGAGAAGTGAAAAAGTCAGCATCCAAATCATTCTCGTAACCCAAAAGTCTTCAATGCTTTGGAATTGAACCGTTGGGGATACTCTTTTCTCAAAACTCCAATAATAGGGATGGATGCTGACTTTACACAATAGCCGTTGGCACTTGGCAGTTCCAAAAAGCATACCACTCCAATAGTAGAATACCTGATTAATCTCTTTACCAAACGCTTATTTATTATATACACATTCTAAGCTCAGTCAGCAATTCCAGATACCACTATGAGAACCCGATCTTTTTCCCCAATCTTTAGACAACAGGGTGAAATTAGCGTCCTCGTTACATGTTCCTTCCTCCGAAATGTTCCCTTTTTTACTTTCTTTTTTTGGCATTTCGAAGTGTTTGAAACAATAAAGCAACAAATGGAATTAAGAAACTAAAGAGAGACATGGCAAATTTACACCCGAAGAACAAACTGTTTTCTTTGTTCTTCCTTTCTTCACTTGGTTCCTGATCTGGCTTTCCTTAACCTTCCACGAGTGAGACGGATGGCTTCTTCGATGACCGTCTCCTTTGGGGCAGCGGCAGCAGCGGGATCATTAGACGGAGGTGCTGCAGCGGATTCGATCTGCATTGCTTCCGGTGCAGATGGGTTTGGCTGTGGCTCGGATGGAGCGGAGAGTGATCTCGTCGGGGCGTTGGGAGCTTTTGATGGATAAGGGGCTCTTGGTTGATTTGGAGCTACCGATGGAGGAATGGTGGCTTGAGGGGATTTAGAACTCACTGCCTCCTCAGCTGCGGCTAGTTCCGTTTGGTGCTGAGTCGATGATGTGCTGGAAGTGGGAGATGGGGGATCCTCCGGTTCTGGTTTTGACCCTGCTGGCTGACGACGGATTGGTGGATTAGACGCTGAACGAGCACTGGGACCTTGTTGCTTCTGCTGCTGCTGAATACAAGTAGTAGAATTCCATTAGGTTCACAGAATGCTTTTGCTAGCATAACATTGTACATTAAATGGCACTATGGTTAACCCAGATATCATTCTCCCTTCCATGCAAGCTTATAATCATCTAGATTTACATGAATAATCCATCAAACAAACACTAGGGACGATGCATAATCCAATCTCAGAAGAATCATTCATAACCCAATAACACAAAAATGTTATGTGCTGATTATTTTTATGCCAACTCTTGGGCAGCTCATCTTCTAAATCAAACAATATCTTATCACCCAACAACCACGAGCACTTTGAATCTCAACGAACACACAAAAATGTTATATGCAATAGAACTGACATCATTTGATTAATACTAAGATATGATATCATCCTGGAGGTAATACCTGAACAGGGCGAGGCCTTGGGATTGATTGAGCAGAAACATACTGCAAAATATCAAAGACTCTTGTCTGACCATAGCTAGCAGCTCTTTGCCAGTACAATATTGCCATGTCTCCAGCTCTTGTCCTTAGCTCCAGCAAGTTGCGGTCGATTTCATTCTCATGTTTAGCAACATATGGTCTGAAGAAAGAGTCATACACATATGTAGTTCCCTGGAAGAGGTAATGAAGAGAAGAAATCAGCACTCATTGGGATGAAAATTGGAAAACTGAAAAGAAAATGTTACATTCTTGTAATAGCTGCGCACCTTAGTTTTGGGGTACCACAGGTATATAAAAAATGCCAACTTCGCCTCGCTGTACATTGGAACCCTTGAAGAAAGCAAAAAAAGAATATTAGGATAAACCCAGGGTTGATCAGATTGCATAACATTCACCATAACCATTCAAGCTATAAGTTATTACCATGAAATAAAAGCATCTCCGATTCGCTCGCTAACAGTCAAAACAGCAACCAGAATCCTGCAACATCAACAGAAACACAAAAGATTCACCGACTGAATGCAGTTTGCAAATATAAACTGGAGAAATAAAAAAGAACCGAAGTTGTAGTGTACCAATACTGGCACCAGAAGCGAAGCTGCTCGATCTCTGGTTTATTCAATTCGACAGTTTTATAGCACTCGTATGCTGGATAGGCGTAGCCAAAAACCAATCTGTAAACACATTAATGTCAGTTTACTTCTGATGATAATGCAATTCCTTTATTATTATGTTTTGAGATATCACTTGAGTAATGGCTGCTATAACTTACACAAGTCCTCTAGTAAGAAATGATCCTAGCATCTTGTAGACCTAGCAAAGAAGGAAGAAACAAGTTAGCCACTAATAACCAAAGTGCAATGACGAGATCACTCAACCCCTCAATTAAACAGATACTAAACTCCATGTTCATCTCTGACACTTGAATCAATCATCACAGAATCACAAAAATTAGGAGCATCAAAGTTCATTTGATGGAATCAATTCCACTTTTCAACTCCATGTTTGCTTCAGTGTTTGTATTAATGAGAGTAAAGTTCGACGGTAATATATCACGATAAGAATCCCTTTGCTCTTGGGAAAATCAAAGGGAACAAGAAAGACGACGACAGTGTTGTTTCAGCCTTGTGTCTCCCGAAATGAACACAATCTCCATTTAGTAAGAAGATTCAATGTTCTTCACAGGTCCAAAGATTAGGGCAACAAGTCCTCGCCGTAAAATTACTAAACAAAGACGGATTTTCAACTCAATCGTTCCAAGTTTCACATATAACTCTGAAATGCCGCCGGAGTACCGAAAGGAAACGAATACAGTACTAGTCGCTAGAGACCAAGAAACCGCCATGAATCACCGGATGGAGAGGTAAATGTAACCGCAATATGCCGAAAAATTGAAGGCTACCGTCACAAATCCACAAGAAGCAAAAACGAGAGAGAGAGAGAGTGCGAGGGAGAAGCATTGATTACCTTTCCAACGGCGTCTCGACTGCGGAGTAGTAAACAGGACGAAGAAAATACACCGCAAGCAGGAAAATGAGGGAGTAACCGCCGGATTGAAGCGGCGGAGGATGAAGCCGACGCAGATCACAGAAACTTCCGCAGCAAGGGAGGAAAAAAGGACTCAGGCGTACGTTCTGACAGAAAACACTGTGATAAAGGACGGCGGCGAACCGTTAGGAAGTCGGCGGTCGGGGAGCGAAGGAGAGAGAGACGGAGCGGAGAGAAAGGTCTGAAGCAACAGCAAGTTTCAGTGGTGTTATAAAACAGAAAACTCTCTTCGTTTTCTGTGGTAAAACTGTGAAAGGGTAGTGATTCCCTAAGCGACAGCACACGGACATTTCGTGAACCCTAGTTGAAAGATCACCCACACACCATTGATTGTCCGGTTGGTCAGCTTTCCGGTCCAACCGCTGGAGAAAAGCACTCAATTAGGCCTGCTCAAACATTCTGAATGACCAAAATAGGTCTGGTTCACCGGTAAAGCGTATTATCTTCTTCCTTATATGAGAAGTCTCATCGTTTTCTTTAGCGTACCGTCCGTCATAGTATTTTAAAAGTGAGGAAACCTCTTGTTTTCAGAACTGGATCGGAGTCTGAACTGGAAAAGTTAGTAGTTTAGAGTTTACCGGTTAACTGTTACAAAATCGTTGGTGAACCGTTGATAGAACCGTTCATGATATATAACATATAAGACTTGTATATTACACCAATTTTAAAATAAAATTATCATTGACCATAAACAAGCTCAAATTCATATCATCACCAAAATATCTAATAAATCATTCCAACCATCTCACAAAAGAAACCACATCTTTTAATTCAAATTAAAAATTATGGTTCTAGTCGGTAGTAGACAACGTAAAGTCGACAATAAGGTTGATGAAGCATATATAAAATTAATAATTATGATTTGATGGTGTTAGTTTATGTTAAAGCATTTTTTTTTGTTAAAATATTGAACCAGTGGACCAATTAAACCGTGTTGGTTCATCTGATTTTATGTTGACCGTGAAAAACCGTTTGCTCCATCAATAACCGTTCAAACAATAAACCGGACCGCTATTGTAACTGGTTTAACGGTTCTACTGGCCCGGCCGTTGATCCGGCTCGGTTCTTATAACAAGGGAGGAAACCAATTTTTTTACAGATTTGTATTTTAAACGAATATGAGAATGGATTTTGTAATACTTTAGGGGGCCATTTGGATGTAGGATTGTATTGAGAGATTTGTGAGAGATTTTAAAACAATCCCTCATTATGCAGGATTTTAAAACAATCCGACGTTTGGGAATGATGAAGAATCGTGTGATTAGTAATTTTAAAAATCCTCATTTGTGGGTTTTAGAAATAGCTGATGGCCATCAGCTATTTCACAATCCCTCGTTCTTATTTCATAATTTTCAAACCTTGCCCCTCAACATTCACTTTCATTCTTCTCCCTTCCTCCTCCTTTCTTCTTCCACCTCTATCCCAGCTCGTCTTCAACGTCGACTTCTCCCTTCCGGACACCTTGTTGCATCACCTTCCTCACCCACTTTGTTGCGTCGCTGGAGATATGGGTTTACGGTGGGGAGGCGATGTCAATTATAGGTTTGAAAACCCCTAATCGTGCGTCCACATAAAATTAATTGACGAATACGAAGACAAATGCTTATTCTGGGTTCTGGGTTCGGGCGATAAAGAAAAAGGAGGAGGAAAGAAGTCGATGAATATGGCGGCGCGGTCGACCTTGCTTCTGATCGGTGATAGTGAATCTAGACCTAAGAAGTCGTCGTGGAAGAGGATCTGTTGTCGAAATCAATGGCTTTTGCATCTCCGACCAACCACTCTCGGATTGAAATCGAATCAATAAATTCGTTGCCACTCCCGTCATCTATCTAATTTCGTCCATAAATTTGCTCTTGTTGCTTATCGCCGGCGGTATCCGTCAAGCTAGGAACAACTTGTCCTCTTCATTATCAATGCTGGTTTCGAACCTTGTATCCTTTAGTGGTACTTCTTTTCTCCTCTTCTTCTCCCTGTCGCTATCACAGTATCAAAACAAATGGTGGTGGCAGAGGTGAAAAGGGGAAGAAGAATAAAGAACATACGAACTGGGGAACTCGGAAGGAATTGGGAAAGGAGGAGGAATAAGGGTAAATTAGTATTTTTTAGTGCTTATCTAAAAAACCTTGTTTATTTCCAAACACATTATTTATTACAAATCCTACATATAAATTCCTAGGTTTTTTAAACGAAGGATTTAGATTAAAATCCCTCATTATTAAAATCACTCATCCAAACGACCCCTAGGCGAGTTCCACATCGATGAAGCTCGAGAGATATCCATGGTTCATAAGTAGGAAATCGACTTTAGTTGACAAGACACATTTTGGGGTTAAATGGAAGAGTTCTTGTGAGAACTCTGAACACAACAAATTTTAAGGTTAAGAGATCGATTCTCCATCGAACGAATTGATGCTTCTCTCCAATGGCTAAGGAGCAGAAGACAAGCACTAGCTTTGTGGCAAACTTGAATAGTAAATCTCCAACTTCAAATTATTCGATGGTGGTCTAGACGACTTTGGGAGTTTGGAACATCTCAGTTATGTTGAGCGTCTATCTATTTCTTCTTATCATGTTTAGCTAGGGACATTTAATACTGAGTCATCAAATGTTTCAACATCACACAATAATGTAGACCTGTTGGGGGAATGAACAGGGGCCGGCCCATAAGGGAGAAGCCCAAAGTAAGTTATTATGGACCAGAGGCGTGGGCCCAACCAACAAGACTGAGAAAGCCCATGGGAGCAGGAACCTTGGGCTGAAGGGCGCCCGGGCCTAGGCCTAGGTGGCTGAGATAGCGTGTGAGACAGGTGGGACCGGGCACCTGGCGAGGGACATATGAGACAAAGGCAGCCAACGGTCGGAAGTGTACGAAAAGCTGATCAGGTGATGTCATGCGCCTCCAACCTCTGACCGAAGTGTCAGATGGTCGAGGCGCATGGTCTAGGGGTGTACGGCGCATTTATGGCGGGTCTGACACAGGGCGAGAGCGACGTGTACCGGTCGATCTTGCCCCGGGTATAAATAGTCGAGTAGGTAAACCTCATTTACTCAGTTTTTCTTCTCTTACTAGAACTGTTCCTTCACTTCTCTCTCTAAAAAGTAGGTTCTTACTTGAGCGTCGGAGTGCTAACGGACCAATTCGGTCCGCTAGGCGCTTGTGTGGGTGCAGGGAGGCGGCTGTGTAAGCTGACGAAGGAGCCAGAGGTGCGAAGCGTAAGAAGGGGGTTACTAGGCATAAACAATTGGCGCGCCAGGAAGGGGAATATAACCCTCAAAGCGTATGGAGGTTACGGGATTAGGAGAGAAGGATAGAGGGGCTGAACCTCATGATCAGGGGACAGAAGTGACAAAAGAGGCGGAGGAGCATGATGGGAAAGGGAGCCCGAGGATCGAAGAGAGCGCGCAAGCAGAAGGTGCCGCGCTCACAAAAGAGGAATTGCTTCAGATTATCGAGAGCCAAGATCACGCGCTCGAGATTTTGAAGAAGGAGGTCGAGGCGCTCAAGAGGAATGGAGGCGACCCACACACGCCTGGATCGAAGAGAAAGGAGCGGGACGAAGAAGGGGATGGAGCGTCCAGCCTTATGAGGCGCACAGAAGAAATGGGGCACCTGACCCGACACTTGGAATCAGATTATGACGACTACAACGGATGGGCACAGAGGCGTGCAGGAAGAGGCTGGGGAGTTCGACAGCCCTTGGCCAGGAGCATTCTTGCCGAGTCGCCGAGCTCAGTCATACCAGCGTTACCAAGCTATGATGGTACGAACGACCCGGAAGACCACTTGAACAATTACTTCACGAAAATGCAGCTGTACAGCAGCTCGGACGCCACGATGTGTCGTGCGTTCCCTTCCACGTTCACAGGGGTGGTGCTAGACTGGTACCACCAACTGGAGGAGGGACGGATCGACTGTTTTGAGCACTTTGCTTCCTTGTTCCTGTCAAAATTCGCTAGTCGAAAGCGCAGGACCCTCACGATAAGCGCCTTGTTCAAGGTCCGTCAAAGGGAAAACGAGCCACTTCGCGATTTTTACGAACGATGGATGTCGGTAGCCATGGCGGTGAAGGATGTCAAGCCCCCTGTCTTGGGGTGTTGCCTGGATGAGTGCACAACTAGTGAAGAGCTGTGTCGGGCGCTTTCCAAGAGAGACGTGACGTCCACTGAGGACCTTGATAGGAGGGTACAGAAGGTCATTATGCTGGAGGAGACGCTTGCGGCTAGAAGATTTGACAGGCGCAAGAACAAGACGGAGGAGGGAGAGGGATACCGACCACAGGCGCCCCGCGTGCCAATGGCGGCACCCAACGTGCCGTTCCCAGGGCGCAGGATGGAAAACCAGAGGCCTGTGCCGAAGAGTGCGGGGAATTTCACCGAGCTAAACGACACGCTGAAAAACGTGTTGCAGTATGTGAAGGATAAGGGTTACCACCTGAGGTGGCCTGGTCCCATGAGGAGGCGCCCGAATGAACAGAATCTCGACAGATATTGTGAGTTCCATAGGGAGCGGGGGCACCACACCGCAGATTGCTATCAGTTGAAGTCCGAGATACAGGGGATGGTAGACAGAGGCATGCTGAACGACTTTGTGAAAAAAGATGATCGAACGCAGAGGACATTCGTAGCGCGGGAGGCGCAGGTAAAGGCGCCTGATGAAAAGCCGGAGGCGGCAGACGGCCATCCCAAGGAAGGAGCTGTTCTACCCCCACCCCAATTCAACGTAGAGCAGGAGGCGAACCCGAACCGCGTAAGATTGACAATTGAGGCCATCACAGGCTCCATAGACTTGAGGCAGAAGTTGGAGGAGGGAAGGCGCCTGAAATCGGCCACCGCCAGCGCGCGCGAGGCCATCCAGATACGCTTCAATGAGGTGCCCGAAGAAGCATGCCGAACGCCTTCCACGGAGGCGCTGGAAATCCGGGGAGTGGTGGCCGGATGCGAGGTCAAAAGGATGTTGGTCGACACCGGAAGCTTCATGGACGTGTTATTTCTTTCCACGTTTGAGAAAATGCAGTTAGCGCCTAGTATGGTGACGCCAGCGGACACGGTGCTCATTGGGTTCTCTGGGGCACCTGCACAAGTTATCGGACGCGTGCGCCTTCCCGTGACCTTGGGCGACGAGGCGCTTTGTGTCACGCACACGGTGGACTTTGGCATAGTCGACTGCCCTTCACCATACAATGCAATCTTGGGGCGCCCCTTGCTGGCACTCTTCAACGGGGTGGCCTCCTCTTGTCACCAAGTCCTAAAGTTTGTCACCTTGGAGGGCATCGGGATATCGAGGGGTGAGGCCTCTGCGGAAGCACGACTCGCCAAGAGGAGCCGGATGTATAATATTGACACGCGGCCTGAAGACTTGCCAAGGGCCGAGGCGGCGGATGAAGAGATACATGTGCCCCGACGCCTTGGGCACTAGCACTACGTTGGACAGCCAAGTGATGTATTTGGCCTCGTCCACGAAGTCTGCCAGAAAAACAGCCTTCGTAGTAAATTCTAGCCTTTTGTTTGAAGCCTTAAAGATTCAATATTTCATCCAATGTCTTGCCTTTGTATAAAAAATACGTAATTTAACGTGGTAGAGGCCCCTGGACTTGACTCGCATCCATGCTTCTCAAATTGAGCTACAAAGTAGGCTTGACAAACACGTTGCCAGACTTACCATTTTCAGACAGTTTCCCAGTTTTGGCATAGCCTTTTGGTCAGGTTCAAAAATGGTCTTCTGGACTTTCTATTGAGCTCCCAAGTACTTTAATGTGTAGAGGGACACTTCAGCTTCAAAACAAGCTTTTAATCTCCAATTTTCATCTAGCCAATTATAAGATATGAATCTCCAAAGTAGACACCATGAAACTGTTTTTTACACTGAAACAACAGATTAGGTCGACCTAATCCTATATGAGGTCGACCGAAAAGTGCATGTCACCGTAGCAAAGTCCTTAATTGGATTATTAGCTTGAAATTCTAAGTCTCGGATTTAGACTTAAACTAGATACTATCCGTAGTTTATATTCACCTTCATATTAAAATAGTTTTGAATATTAATACCAATAAAAAGAATTATTTTGGTGGCTATATTTTACATTTTGGAGTCAAATAAACTCATTTGGATCCATGCAAATCAAACCTACTTCCAACATAACCCAAATTTAAAACTAATAATAATACATTTAAATCTACTTGAATCCTACCCAAAATCACAACCACGTCATGACTCATGAGTCATGTTACTCCATGAATCATTACCTTGTAATTCCTAGTAGAACGTATGCACTTATAAATCTAGATGCTAGTATTAATATAGATTCTTAAGTGTTTGGTAGAGCCCCATACTTATCTAGTTTGGAAAGACTAGAAAACTATTGGGGGGAACGTATGGCCGCATCCGACAGGCGAACATTGCTAATTCTTATTGGATCTGAACCCTCTTGTGTTACCGGATAATCATTATCTCCCAAAGAGACGACAATCAAACTGGACGCTTAGAGACCAAAACATTCATATCAGTTTCCAACATGAGGCTGATGGCTGATAATTAGAGAAGGTATTGAGGATTCACAAATTATCATATCTAAGGCAATTCTCAATTCAATCTATCTACTTAATATCCAACTAATCCAATCCAATCCAATCCATTTAAATTTAATTTCATTTTATCCAAATTCAATTGGATTGGTGGATTCATGGATTGATCCATGGATCCAAATGACAAATTACTATTTAATACTCATACTTTTTATATTTTACATTGTGGTACCTACAATTTATTTTTTATGCAAAACTTGTCATTGAAAAATTACGTTTTGATATCTAAATTTTTTTATTATGACATTTAGTAACTAAAATTTTCAAATTTTACATTTTGGTCCAAAGATTGGATATCATTTGAATCCATGGATCAATCCACCAATCCATTTGATCCATTGATCCAGCAATCCATGAATCCAATTCACTTGTTACCTCTAATCTAAACTAATTTCCAAATTAACCTGCATTTTTTATTATCTTAAATTACTTAATAACATCATCGAAGCCGACGAATACGAACATACCTCCCTTCTAAAGAGGAACACAAATCACATAAAAAAGCATTGAAAGGCTAAAAGCCTTTCAATGCCAGTAAATTATATAAGTTTTAAAATTATATTTCATCCAAAAAAATCAAATCATAGTTCCAAACGATTGCTGTCACACACTCACACCCCACAACTGCAATGATGCAGTAAATTGTCTTGTCAATTTTGGCCATTCTCTCATCTAGAGGTGGCAAATGAGATCCAAATCCATTTATCCAATCCAATCCAATCCATTTAAAATGGATCCAAATCCATTTAAGTTGATCCAAATCCATATCCATTTGATTCATGGATTGGTGGATTGGATTCATGGATTAATGGATTGATCCACCAATCCATTAACACATATTAACAAAAAAAACCTGCTCTTAGACTTTTAGTACTGCCGACACTCGACTCCTACAGTCCTACTCCAAATATTCTCTCCGATCCCATAAAAAAAAATCTCTCCGACGAGGCGAAGACGAAGAACAGAGCCGGCGACCTCTCCGAAGAGCAGAGTCGGCGATCTCTCCACCGCCTGCTCTCCCCTGAGTCTGAATCAGATCCAACGTCGCAACTCCCATCCTGCGAATCGATCCTCCTCCAGCGCCGGTGAAATCTCTACTGCTTGGCTCTTCTATTTGAGAACCCATCTGCGAAATCGACCCTTCTGCAGATAATGAAGATCTGCTTGTCCAAATCCACCCTGCCGCCGTCCCAATCGACCTCTCCACCGCCTGCTCTCCCCTGAGTCTGAATCAGATCCAACGTCGCAACTCCCATCCTGCGAATCGACCCTCCTCCAGCGCCGGTGAAATCTCCGTCGCCTGGCTCTTCTAGAACGCATCCTGCGAATGGAACCCTCCACCAGCGCCGACGAAATCTCCACTGCTTGGCTCTTCCATTTGAGAACCCATCTGCGAAATCGACCCTTCTGCAGATAATGAAGATGGACTAACCGATAAGATGCAACCTGCGGATCGAGATGACTATGGAGTTTGGCCTTGATTTTCCCTCCAAGCGCCTGAGAGGTGAGGCTCCTCTTTACTATCGGTTTCAATTGCTTCTTTAGTTGTTTCCTTGTGCTGCCTTATTGAAGATGATTAGAAGATCCAACCCTCGTTTCAGTATGTGCTCTGTTTAGGGATTTATGGTTATGGAACTTGAATCTTCTTTAGGTGGTTCTCATGTCCTAGGTTGCTATAACTTATACAAAGAGAAAGAATACCATGATTATGTAGTTATCAACTTATCATGATCATCCAACTTCCCCAAATCAGAGGGTTGGAAGTGGGTTTCAAATTTCAATTCAAAAGGGTTGTTTCCGAGTACTGTTCCAATTTGTGGCCAGTGAAATTGAAGTAGCTTGTGTTTATCTGTTGTTAAGAAAACTTCCACTCGTTCTCCGTTTTTAGATCCCTTCTTCTTTGGTTGTTAATGGCGACCTCTTTGGGTTCTTTGTTAATGGTGTTTCAATGGCTGCCTAGCTAGCTAGTGATAAGTATGCAATAGGTAGCTCGGCTGTTATCTTAATGGAACCTTTCTCTTGAAACTTGTAACCAAGTTGCATTCCCCAGTTTCACAAAGCAAGTAAAGCAGATATCAAAATATGAAAACACAGGTCCAGAAGCTACCTAGTGATAAGTATGAAACTGGTAGTCTTCTTTCTTAATAAGCTCTCTGATCTGTGTTTTCGATTTGCTTTCCTCAGTCGGTGCTCTCCCCCACAGCTGTCACGTGTGGCAGATGACATGGAGCCAACAAGGTGACAACATGGCGGCTGCACATGTGGCATGTATGGAAGACTAGTAGCATAGAGATACTCCTAGGATTCTCCACCTAAATGAGAGCTTAATGGTGCACTTATGAGTCACATAATGGGTGACATTTATAGAGTGCATAATGGGGGGACTTAATGGGGTGTATTGATGTAGTAGAGGGACATTATGAGGGGCATTGATGCCTTGTATGAGGAGAGGCCTATATAAGGAGCCATCTCCCTCACTTGTAACTCATTCCATCATTTTTGAGAGTAATACACACTAGAGAGTTCTCCCACTTCTTTGTCTTTGATTTCTTATTCTTTGCTTGCAAGTGAGTTGAGAGAAATGCTGCCTAGCGCTCTAACGGAATTGAGAGCTAGGGCCGCACGATCGAGAGTAAGGTCGTGACAAGTGGTATCAGAGCCCCGTTCAAAGCTTCGACTTTGTGCTTGCAAAGTAGAAGCAATAGCCAGACGAAAAGGAAAAACCTCACCAAAGATGTCGGGATCAGAAGTCAATGACGACGGTGAGAAACATCGTGGCAGAGAGCCTACCCCAGGCGGGAGGTCAAAAGGCGCTTCGAGCACTCGTGATCCTCTCAAGTCTCTAGAGAGGCGAGTCTCAAGGATGGAGGTGAAGCTTTCCGAAGATGTCACCGCCATCAAGGATTTGGGAGCTAACTTCGCCCAAGTCCAAGGCGATGTTCAAGGTATGAATGCTCGTTTGTCGAGCTTGGAGATCGGTCATGATGGCATACGAGAAGAGCTTGTGGCCCTCATCAACAACACCATCAACGCATCCTTGAACAACGCCATTGAAGTTGTGAAAGAGCATGTCCAGGCTGAGTTGGTCGGCGTGAAGGAGGAGATTGCAGATCTCAAGAGTGAGGTCACTCTCGTGAAGAGGGCCATGGCTAGCGGACCAGCCCCGGTGCAATCCGTCCCACGTGCTGATGTTCCAAGACCGAAGAGCTTCGGAGGTTCAAGGAACGCGAGGGAGTTAGAGAACTTCCTTTGGAGTCTTGAGCAGTACTTCAAGGCGTCCGACATCCAAGAGGATGATGTAAAACTTCGTACCGCTCCACTATACTTGGTTGATGTTGCAATGGTGTGGTGGAGGCGACGTGAAGCGAACGTCGAAAGAGGTACTTGTGTGATGGTAACGTGGGAAGATTTCAAGCGAGAAATCAAGAAGCAGTTCTACCCAGAGAACGTGGAGTTTGAAGCCCATTCGAAGTTGAGAAGACTCACCCAGAGGGGTGGAGTTCGAGAATATGTGAAAGAATTCTCGGAGCTGCTTTTAGAGATTCCAGACATCATGGACAAGGAGGCCATGCACGGCTTTCTTGATGGGCTGCAACCATGGGCCAAGATGGAGATGCAACGTCGAGGAGTGCAAGACCTTGCAACTGCCATGGCCACGGCGGAGTCTTTTGTCGAGTACAAAAGGCAAGAGAGCAGTGGCAAAGAGAAGAGTTCGAAGCCCAACAAGGCTGGAGAACAGCAGAAGCCTTTCAAGGAGGGTTCTCGCACTCAACAACACCAAGGTGGTTCGAGCAAAGGAGGTAAGTACGAACCAAAGCCTGTATCTTGTTTCCTTTGCGACGGGCCACATCGAGTGAGGGATTGCCCAAGTAAGGCGAGATTGGCGGCCACGGAAGCTCAAGATGAGGATCCCAAGGCGGCGGAGGCCAAGATTGGCTCAATCCGCAAGCTTGGCGCGGTGAAGACCGACGTCAAGGAGAGCAAGCGTGGGAGGTGCTATGTTCTGGCACAATTCATGCAAGGCGAGTCGAAAGCCTTGGTGGATACCGGTGCCACGGACAACTTCCTTCGCATCGAGGAGGCAAATCGACTGGGTATTGCCTACAAGAAGGGGCAAGGGAGGCTCAAGACGATCAACTCGGAGTCCATCCCGATCCATGGAGTTGCTCACAACGTACCAATGAAGCTTGGCGAGTGGGAAGGCCTCATCGACTTTTCCGTCGTCACCATGGACGATCACCCAGTCATCCTCGGCATCAACTTCCTCGACAAGGAGGGAGTGCTCTTGAAGCCCAACTCCAACACGATGTGCTTGGGGAAGGAAGGGGAGTTCCATGCGGTCCATCTCTTGAGAGAAGATGGCCCCCATAGTGCTCTATCCGCTATGCAGGTAGTGAAGGGGTTCAAGAAGAATGAACCAACCTTTCTTGTGTCCTTGAAAATGGAGGAAGAAGGAGGCTCAACGGGAATCGCAACTCCCATCATCGAAGGCGTCCTCGAAGAGTTCGATGACGTGATGCCATCGGAGTTGCCCAAGAAGTTGCCACCAAGAAGAGAGGTGGACCACAAGATCGAGTTGGAGCCAGGAGCGAAGCCCCCTTCGTGAGCACCATACCGCATGTCGCCACCGGAGTTAGAAGAATTGCGGAGGCAGCTCAAGGACTTGGTGGACGCAGGCTACATGCGGCCATCGAAGTCACCTTTTGGAGCACCGGTGTTGTTCCAAAAGAAGAAGGAAGGGTCGTTGTGCATGTGTATCGACTATAGAGCCATCAACAAGTTGACGGTGAAGAACAAGTGGCTGATTCCCAACATTGCCGACTTGTTCGACCAACTTGGAGATGCGATGCGGTTCACCAAGCTAGATCTTCGCTCGGGCTACTATCAAGTGCGGATAGCAGAGGGCGACGAGCCAAAGACGGCTTGTGTGACGAGGTATGGCTCTTACGAGTTTCTTGTGATGCCATTCGGTCTCACCAACGCACCAACCACATTTTGCACTTTGATGAATCAAGTGTTCGAGCCATTCTTGGACCGGTTTGTCGTGGTCTACTTGGATGACATCGTCGTGTATAGCAAAACACTCGATGAGCATACCGAGCATCTACACCAAGTCTTCCAAGTCCTTCGCGACAACGAGTTGTACGTCAAGAGGGAGAAGTGCACATTTGCCGCCACGGAGGTTCCATTCTTGGGGCACATCATTGGTGGAGGCAAGTTGAAGATGGATGGGGCGAAGGTACAGGCAATCCAAGAATGGGAGCCGCCGACGAAGGTGCCAGAGTTGCGGTCATTCCTCGGCCTTGCCAACTACTATTGGAGGTTTATCAAGGGCTACTCCAACATTGCAGCACCCTTGACGGATCTCTTGAAGAAGAACAAGGCGTGGGATTGGTCGGAAAGGTGCCAAGAAGCATTCGAGGCCTTGAAGGCAGCGGTGATGAAGGAGCTCGTGCTCGTGCTCCCCAACTCGACGTTGGCCTACGAAGTGCAGACCGATGCATCCGACTTTGCAATTGGGGGCGTGTTGATGCAAGATGGGCATCCCATTGC